CATCCGTATGCTTGACAAAGTGCTTTAGCCACTCAACTCCTAGCTCATTAGTCGTCCAGCCGTTGTCGCTAACTGCGATCGCCCAGTCGCGTGGGATCTCTGTCTCCTCATACCAGGCAGATAGGTGATGCTTGCCAGTAAAGATAAGGAACGGTGGGATAGACCAGCCAGCTGCATTGATCCCAGCGATAAACGTTACCCACTCTCGGCCACCTGGTTGAACAGCCTTTGGCCGGCCTCTTCTCTCTGACGCTGTAACGACTAGCTGAGTCGCGATCTTGCCCATCATAAAGCCCGCTTCGTCGAAGTTGTAGACGTCTTCGTCACAGATGCCGTACTTGGCCTTTGTCTTCTCCACAAGCTCAAACCAGCTCTTGATTAAGACTGGATCTTCACACAAGGCTCTCTGCCTATCGTACGCTCGATTAAAACGCGTTGTAAGACTGTTAGTACGCTTGACAAAGTTGCGCGGCCAGTGGACGCCAACCTGGCCAGCGCCGCGCGCAGCCAGCAGTCTATCAGCCATATCTCGCACAGCTGCATAGGTAGGCGAAAATCCACGTAGATCCAGATTAAGTACATGATCAATTATCACCTGCTCTTCTAGCTTGGTAAGCTTCTTTGAGTTGGGCTGGCAATCGCGTCGGGCAGGCTTGCCGACGCGTCGGCGGCGGATTGTTCGTTCTGACACGTTATAGATAGCAGCAGCACTGCGATTACTCTGTATCTGACCAGATTCAATAGAGGATATAGCGAGCTGGATATCTGCTTCATTTAAAGCTAACTGACTAGCGTTGCGTTGAGCCATTATGTATTAAGATGAGAGAGGTGCACAAAGTTGGTGGGGTGCGGCGCTCGCTTGTACGCGGCGCTCGCTTGTAAAACACGTTAGACGAAATGATTGCTACTTACACCTTGCACCGAGGTACCTCCTCTGCTTATCGTCATCGTCAGCGTCATCGTCATCGTTACAGTTACAGTTACAGTTACAGTCATTCACTATGTATGTATATATCCATCCAACCAACCAACCAACCCTCCAACCAACGCTACACAACTAAGCCAAGCCGGGATTCTGATCTCATATCTCGTCTGAAATATACGTACATACACACATACATACACATACTACATACATGTATTCCAAACTGCCCTCGCTACAGCCTATGAAACAACCACCCTTCAACAACAACAACAACAACAACAACAACAAAAAAACAATAAGTACAAGGGTAAATACGTAAGTACGTACTATAAGTAGCTACTTACTTAACGCATGAAAAAAATACAGTTTATTTTTATTTTCAACATTGCACGTTTTGTGTTTGGGGTTGCGGGTTGCTGTGTTTGCGGGGCTGTGTTCGGTACTTGGTTGGGGTGTTGGAGGTGGGGAGGGGGACTTGGCGCATTAATGCCGTGATGCATATCCTGGGTGGTAAGGAAGACGGGGATCGAGGGTGGGTGTTGGATACATGTATACGCGTTACTTGGATGGATGGATGGATGGATGGATGGATTTGGGTGTGGAGTAGAATAGAGTAGAGTAGAGTGGTGTAGAGTAGAGTAGAGTAGAGTAACATGGGGATATCGATGGGATTGGATAGGTAGGCTGGGATACTGAGGGTTTGGAGAGCATGTAGTGGGTGTGTGGGGTAAATGAGTGGTGCGATTGAGATTGAAATCTAGATTGATTCTATTATTCATCTGTATCATATCTATGAGATTTTTCTTGCAAAGTAATGCAGACGGTGTTGTTGTTGTTGTCATGTTTGTGGATTAGTAGTAGTACTTGCGTCGTAGCACTAACTTGACCAAGTACGTAGCCAACGCAGCACCTAAGTAACCGCCGAACTAACCACATAACTGAGTCAGTGAGCACCTAACTAACGAACTAACGAACCACTATAGATAAACAGCAGAAAAGCCACCCCGCCACTAGTCACTCGGTCCATTTCCTCCCACACTCACTCATCTATATATCCACCAACGCAGTTAGTCAATGTACTTACTCCATCTATCTATTTATCTAGACCAATTTACCAGCTAAAATGCTTAACCGGCTATTCTGTATCTCCTCCTAACCTAGTCCATACACATGCTTTTACACATTGATAAGGATTGCTGATATGGAAAGAGGTAGAGGTTTAGCATGGATAAGCGCGTCTTTGGATAAGGCCTGGTGGGAGGAAGTGGATATAGCTAGGAACGGTGTGGATACGTCGATTAGAAGTAGGAGGGGAGTATGGTGTTAGTGCTGTATATCATTGATTCCATTGATTTATTGATTTGTGCTGTGGAGAGTTCAGCGGATATACAAGAGAACATGATAATCAGGTTATGTTATTAGTAAGTATTCCTTCTAGCGCTGACTGATCACTAAGTATCATCATCTGCACTTTGGACAACATAGCCTTGTTATTCCATGCATTCCTCCTCTCCTCCTTCTTCACTGTTCTTGCTTAGGATATCTTTACTTTATTCATTTCCTTGCTCCTACCGCCTCTAAGTAATTACCCTAGTCCTTATCCTTATCCATCACCTCCCCCTTCCTCCCACGGCTATCAAAGAAAAAAAAACCCTGGGTCCATGCGTGAAAAAAAAACCGCACCATCCGAACCATCCATCCTGCACGTCCACACGTATCCATTGTTTCCAGTTACTTATCTATTCTTCAAACCCAAGTTTTTCGGGCCGACGCGGCGCCATTGGATCGGTGATTTCTCCATTCTTGTACCTACAGTACACACCCGCCTACCCACGCACCCACCTAGATGCATGCATGCATACGTAGAAAAAAACACAGCGAGCAAAGAAGAAAAGTTTACTTAGTTCAGCGGCAAGGGACTCCTCCACATAGTAATCTGACCAAAGTTACAAGGGAGACAAGATACATGTGCAGCAAGTTCGCAGGTGGTGACTTTCTACACGCACATGAGTCGAGTACGTACGTACGTACATATGTAAGTAGATAGCACTTACACTTATGATTGATCCCTATACTTGGTTGGTACTGCGTACTAGTAAAACAAGGCTAAAAGGTAACAACGAGACTGACTCGTAAGTACCGCTAAGCCATGCATGCAAGTTCCCTTGTGCTGTATTCTTGCTTGACGCTTGCACTTGCACACGCATCCACATCTTACTTAGTTACATAGTACTACGTACACCTACAGCTATCGGCGCCGAAGCTACGGGCCAAATCCCCCATCCATCCATCCATCCATCCATCCATCCATCCATCCATAAGTACTTACCCATGGATATTATCCGCCACGCCCAATTCCCACATGACGCGATTTGTTTTCTCGAAACTTTGCGCCATGTGGGGCCGTTGAGGGAGGTGCGCGCGCGCGCGCCGCTTCATGCTCATGCTCATGCTCATGCTCATGTTCATGCTCATGTTCATGCTTTTCGCTCATTCTCAGCTCTCACATAAGCCGGAATTTCTTTTCCCCCCCAAGGCCGGGCCTGGCCAAGTAGTAGCTTTTTTTTGTTGTTGTTGGTCTGGGAAATGCACATGTACGTATACGTACATGCATGAATGGTTGAGCACAATTTTCGGTTCTCTTTTTTTTTTGTTCTTTTTTGTTTTCCTAATTTTTTTTTTCAAAAGATGAAGGCGGCGTGGGGGTGAAGTCCCATATATCGATACATTTGATTCTATCCCTTAGAATTCTGAAATTCATTCCTTACAACTCTCTCCCTCGTCGACTCATTTTGCTGGCGCCCCCCCGTCGATCGCGGCTTACTAGTGCTAGCTTGTTTGAAGGTGGGAGATTCATGCACACAAGGCTTACGTATGTAGTTCACACTGACACGGCGGTCGCGGTCCAAGCTCATTGCCCCGTTTCACCCGTTGCCCGCAACGCCGGGAGTGATCGACGGTGAGAAACGTAGTTCCGCATACGCTGGGTGTTAGCTCGTTGTGTCCTCGAGTCAGGGCGTTGTGGTTGGGCCGGTCAAATTGTCTTTTTGGCGATCCGTCTACGTCAGCATAGGTATCCACATTGTCATCTTCATCTTCCAGAAGGAGGACTGTAGCAGCTGTGACAATCATTTTATTGATTACTTTTCGCTCGGGAGTTCCCATTGCAGTCTCAGCACCAAACATCTAAGCACCACGTCCGCCCCTCTCGTCCTGCATGCCAATGGCTGGATCCGGTGCTTCAGGAAACTCCTTCTTAGCCGTCTCTTTTCCCCCAGCAGAGTCCTGATGCTCCGTAGCGTGTCCTCCCCTCCCTTCTTTATGTGCGCTGCTGTATTGCATTAGCCAATCTGTTTCTGCAACGCCTTCCCGCGCTCACAACAGAGACAAACTCACTCCATGCCTGCCTTGGCATTGCTCTCCTGCACATTATGGGTATCGCCACGCTCCACCTTGTCCTGCACTGCATGCGGTGAATCGCCCTCGTACTGGTCCGTCTTGGTCTTTGAGTTGGTGCTCAGGTCTTTCGGGTACTGCTCCACGCGTTTTGAGGCCGATAGCGAGAAAGGCCGGGCTGGAGTGGCGCGAAGGCAAAGGTGCCTTGGAGACTTGATCACGGTGTTGCGAAACATGCTTGGTTCTAGTACTCTTGGGACTTTTGCTAGTGAGATGGCGATGTCGCTGCTGGTTGCTCGTGTTCTGCTATGAAAAACACGGTAATGTCAAGGCGGAAGCTCGTAACTAAGTAGAAGACCAGAAGAAGTCAAGAGAGCCAGCGAATGAGCCATGACGCATTGTTGCATGCTACCGAGCTAATCCACTGGTGATGATGATGTATGACGCTCTGGAATTCAGGTACGAGCACGGGTCCTAGCGCGTCGTGGATGGCGCTATACCTGTTCGGGACGGCAGACGGTGCCCCTCCCCCACATTCTGGGCCATTTGAGCCTCATGGCGGGACCGTCGGGAGAGGCCAGGCCGAATCTGCTTGCGCAATCTCTTGTCAGAAGCTTACCTCTTTTCTTGATTTCCTGAGAGACAGCTTTTGGATAAAGTTTTTGCTGCGCTGATTAGCAGACGCAACACGCAAACTCTCGTACCGCTTCTTTTCCTCCCCACGCAATAACAAGCGCCTTTGCGCAACAGACATCACCATGGCAAATACAAAAGACTGGAAGCCAGAAGACTTCCCCTGTACCCTGTATGTCCAGCATTGCACTCCACCACACACGCTTCTAATTCGCTACCAGCACCCTCCACATACCCTTTCCCACCCCGCACCTCGCGCAAACAGCGCAATCCGCCCTCTCTGTCGACGCCGAGCTCTCGCCCTTTGTGCGCCGTTGCTTCAGCCTTACCACGCCAGCCGATTCGACCGAGCAGTCTGTCCTGCAAGTCGAATATGCGGCGACTACGAACCGCATGTTGCGTGTGGCTGTCAATGGCTTTGTGGAGAGCGTGGGCGTCGTCATTGGCGTCATGAAGGATTTGGATACCGATGTCGTGTATGAGCCGACGAAAGAGGGGCTGCAGGGCGTGCAGGGCCTGGATGCGAGTATGGTTGGGTGAAGAAGGCGTCAGACTATATTTGCTTGCGGGACCGGGGGTTAATCGAGGATGCGATACGGAAAGAATGTTTTGTGTACAATTCAGGAAAGTAAGAGGAGGCATTAACTACAAGTTGTTAGGCCGCGGTCGACAACAGAACATGGTCATGATATGGACCGCGGATGGACAAGGGGTATATTCCGCGCTGCGGCAATGCTGCTAAGATCCAGATGCTTTCCATAAGCTACGCACCCGAAGCTATCATGGCATAGCCTCAAGTTTGGGTGTCCTTCCCAAGGCCTCAAAGGCCAGATACGTGTATAGTTTCAAGACATTCAGACTCTCCATGTTACGCTAACAGCTTCAAAGACTGCCGTGTCATAGGTTTCACATGGAGATTTCAAATACACGTCCACACCTCATACCACTTATGTCTGTTTAAGAACTCAAAGTCTCCAGCTTCTTCGTCGGCGGCTCTTCACTGGGGTCTTCCTTGCCTTCGTCCTCCAGCTTTCTCTTAGCCGCCGGGTTCGTTCCTACCGATCCAGTCATGTTCGCGGTTGGTACATTCACGGGCGTGGTTGCAGCCCGTGCTGGTGGTGCGCCGGATGGCACTGGTGGATGTACGCCGCCGTCCCTGATTTCGAAGCCATCAATCTTCTTCAGCTTCCACTGTTCTTTGATCTTGAGTCTCACCAACTCGCCCGTTGTGCGGGCATCCTCGTAGCTGTCATGGCCAGCGGCTCCTGCTTGCTGAATCTCCTCGCCGAGATGATCTTTGGCGAGCTTCCGCAGCCCAGAGCGAAACGGTAGGCCTTGCCGTGTTGGGTAGAGGAGAACTGTGTCGATGATGACGGGGTGGATGAGACGGATCGTGTTGAGGTCATTTTCCAGCGCATGCCCTACGACCGGTGTCTCGGGCGAGACATGGGAAAGGAAGAGATCTCGCGCTGCATAGGGTGATTCAACGATACGGAGGTCCTTGCGCACCGGCTTAGGATTTGCTGGGTCGTATGGTTTTGCGTTGACAAACTGCTCGCGCGTGATACCCGAGAAGCGAGTGTTGAAGTCTAATATCTGTCCCAGTGGACGAACGAGAACGTCAACGAGCGGCTTATGTTGCGGCCATGATATGACAGTAAGACGCATCATCTCGAGGCCATTGGTGGTATAGCCCATTTCGCAATCAAAGGCTACAGCCGAAGATTTTGGGACCTTGTCGTTTTCTGATGTTTGAATGAATGGCATGATGAGAGATAGTCGCTTCGCGCTTTTGACGTTGTACACATGCGTTTCGTGCGTACTGCAGCCCGGCGATCCGACTTCGGCGTTGCAGCATGTCAATCTCTTAAAGTCTGTGGCGTTGTTGGACTTTTTAGGATAGATGGTTCTACCCCAATGATACCTGCATTCTCCACCGGATGTGAGGGCACCTTCTTCATTTCGATCTGGGAATACTTGAAAGCGCGTTTTGCAGCGGTCACATTCTTCCCATCCAGCAGCTGTATCCAGGGCCAAACGTGTCTCATTCAGCTCTGCATCGCTCGGTAGATGGGTGACATAACCATATTGATCCAGTCCCTTTTGTTCACACTTGAGCGTGCGGAGAAACGTGATTTCGTCTTCGGAACTCAAGCCTGTGTCCACCCTCTTAGGCGGTGGTTTCTTAGGCGGCTCGCCCTTTTCCGCGGCTACGGCTGCTCGCCTCTCTTTGACCCAATCCTCTGGTGTCATACCCTTGAGCTTTACTAGCCGCTGTTTCAGTATGTTCTCGTAGACCGATGGGTTGGATATGGCGATCCTTTCCTCCTCATCGACTGCTAATTTATTGAGCTGGTTTGTGTCAAGGTGCAGAGCCTTGATCTCGGGTTTGACTGCTTTGAGGAGCTTGTCGTTGTGTGGTTTCAAGTACGTGTGCAGTGCCTTTAGAAGTGCCACTCGTTTGGTGAAGGTAGCCGGTTCTTTGGTGAGCTTGCGCGGTACCACGGGAACCGGAGTGTCGGGATTAATGATAGTTTTGGCTGCGACAGCCTTTGGTGGTGGGGATATGGGCCGGGTCGCAGATGAAGGCAGGGATTTGGAGACAGCTGTGCCAGCAAGCGGCTTCGAAGGTGGAGTGTGGGCGGCTCCTGACTCCTTTGTTGCTGGCGCCTTGCCCTTGGATATGTTTGGGTTGACCGAGCCGCTGGGTCTTGCTTGGTCTTTTACAGGAACAGCCTGAGACAGGTCCTGGTTTACAACGTCGTCATGTCTCGCAACTGGCTCAACGCTGCGTACCGCTGTTACTGGAGGTGGAGAAGGCAAGCGGTCAGGTGACTTGGCAGCGTCATGACTGAATATGCAATGAGGAAGTGCGCAGGATGCACCTGAAGGGCATGGTATCTTGGCAAAGCTTCTGTGAGCGGAGACTGAAGGCCACATAGCTGATGGATTGTGATGGTTGTTTTGCCGTAAGCAGGTATGCGGGCGCCAATGGTGCACAACCTACCACGTTAGATTGATGGAGTTGCAGTCAAGGGCGTTCCGCTCAACGTCTGGCTGATTCTGGAGCCAGAGTAAGCGGCAATACTGCCTATGCGCAGTACATGCGGCGAGGCAGGTGAAAGAAGCGAAAGATACGTCAGGCTCGGAGGCGCAGTGCAGTGACACAAGGGCGACAGGTGAGAGAAGCCTGCGCAGGCCAGCACGTGTTCAGCGTGGTGGGCGATACATGGGGAGCCTGCTTGGATGAGCTCCAGAGAAGAGGACGGCTTCGACAAGCTGCAGACGTATCGTTGCTCTGAGTGAAGAGGTCCGCTGGGGTGAGGCGGCCGAAGCCAATCAGTGAAGGAGTGAGACAGGCTGACTTCACACGCGTCTCGGCCTGGCGACAATGGCGCTAAGGAATGCAGGGTCCACCCGACGCGTGCGGACTTTGGGGCGGCGATCCGGCCTCCGATGCCGTCATGACGCGCTCATGGAAAGCATCTGAAACGCTGCACACCCGACGTCGCAACATCGCCCGCTGCCTCCACGTGTTGCGCCCACCTTGCGGCTCGCATAGCCTTCGACGCTTCACCTCGCTCTACAGCCATACACAGCGCGTGACCGCGGTTCTCAAATACCCCAGTGGTGGCTCTGGTCCAGGGCACAGATGCCAATACAGCCCCGCGTGCATAGGTTCCGACGGCGCCTTTCACGGACGAGATCAGGACGTGGGGGCACTGCACATATATTCTAGGCACTCCGCCACGCTGCTCCAGCCCACAGCCTTCCTTTCTCTTTCCTCGCCAAACCTGCATCCATCACCATGTCTGAGAAAGCCGACCACCTCTGCGTCCTCGTCCATGGGTACGTCTCTGCGCCACTTGCGCCACCCCCGTCTGCGGCCTGAAAAGCAATCGCGTTGACCACGTACAGCCTCTGGGGAAACCCCGACCATCTGAAGTATATCAGCACAACTTTGGGCGAGACGTTTCCTCAAGACAAACTCCATGTCCTCGTCGCCAAGCGCAACGCGGGCAGCTTCACCTACGACGGTGTCGATACGGGCGGCGAGCGGGTCGCCGACGAGATCGAGGGCAAACTCGAGGAGCTAGCCGAGAGCGGACACAATATCACCAAGATTAGTGTTGTAGGGTATTCACTCGGCGGTCTTATCTCGCGCTATGCTATCGGACTGCTCTTCCGCAGGGGTGTCTTTGATAAGATACAGCCAATAGTGCGTTCTTTGCCCTGGGCCCAGCACCATCTGCTAACTCTGCCAGAACTTCACAACCTTTGCGACTCCTCATCTCGGTGTTCGGACACCACTTAAAGGCTACCACAGCCACCTCTGGAATGTCTTGGGCGCGCGCACACTTTCCAGGAGTGGAAGGCAACTCTTCGGCGTGGACAAGTTCAGGGACACGGATCGCCCACTTCTAGCGGTCCTTGCCGATCCGGAGAGCATCTTCATCCAGGCACTAGCCCAGTTTAAGAACCGAAGCCTATATGCAAACGTCATTAACGATCGAACGGTCACATACTACACGGCTGGCATCTCGTCTACGGACCCTTTTGTGGATATAGACAATGTCAAAGTAAACTACATTGACGGCTACGCCAATGTGATAGTGGACAGAGAGCACCCAGTCTCGCCAAAAGAGCCTGAGGAAGTACCAGCATTTGCTCAGCGCCTAACAGACGGTACAAGGACCATGATAGGGCGCGCATCCATTGTAGCACTCCTGGCCATCTTCGTCCCTATAGGAGTGTCCGCCTTTCTCATCAATTCTGCCGTCCAGTCAGTTCGCAGTCACCAGCGCATACAACTCCACGAGCAGGGCCGATCTGGAATAGACTATGCGCGCTACCGCATACCGCTGATGATCAACGCAGTGCGGCGAGAGGCTGAGGACATGTACGAAAATGCCAACAATGCACATGAGCAGGAGTATTTGAGCAGCAGCGACGAAGCCGCCATGTCGTCAAAACAGCATTCAGCCAACGGAATGGTACAGAAGAAGTATTGTGATGTCGAAGGCGATTCCATCCAAGAGCAAAAAGACGGAGCGACTCTGAAATTCCCGACCCTAGCCCTCACGCCGGCACAATTCAAAATGATCGAGGCGCTAAACAATGTTGGCTTCAAGAAACACCCAGTTCACATCCACAACCACCGACACTCGCACGCCGCCATCATTGTTCGCATGAACAAGAAAACTTTCAACGAGGGCAAAATCGTCACTCAGCACTGGCTTGATAACTTTGAGCTTTAACTTTCATCTAGCATCTTTTCATCTGTAATACTCGGGACCCTCAGCATTCATCTTTCAGCGTGGCGCATGGCGTACCTTGACATGAGATCATTTGGGGCACACTCATCGCGAGCGGCATGGTCAAGCGATTAATACCCTTTTCATTCTATCTACTTAGACCGAAATACCTTCGTTCTTGCATCTAAGCAAGTTTTGCTCAATGCTTTAGTGCATTTCCCTTTATGCATGTCAAATACATCTGATCTCTTTTCTCAGTAATAGAATTTCCTGCTCTCTTTTGCCATCCGTACCTCATAGATGTAAGAAATATGGATCCTCTGAAACATAGATCAACAAAAAAACATAGCATAGAAGGGAGATGGCATAGAGCTAAGTCTGAAATGAACTCGCCAAAGCAAACTGCTGCAAGCGGTTTGGACGGTAAGTACACATTTTGGCAAAGTGCACGAAGACTCTTGGCGCTTCAACTACCCTTGTGACACTTCCTTACTCGCCAAGCCAAAATACCATTCAACCATCCGCTAGTACATCACCTCTCAGGCCTACAGTTGCAATTTTTATTATGAGCATTCTGAGCACAGTCTACAAAAAATTATGTTTCGCAGTAGCACCGCCAGGATGGCAGCTGTTCCTAAAGACATGGTTGGAGCTACAGGAGTTCGATATCGTTACAAGCAGCTTCTCCAGACAAAAGAACACTTTGGACATGTTTGGCTGGCAACGTAACTACTAACCAAAGCATTTTTTGGGGTGCGAACTAACTTTCTTTAGGAGCGGGTGCGATCAATTTATCTTGAAAACCATTCCCAAGCTCATATTCAACCATTTCGACAAGGAGATTCGGCCCAATGTCCGCGATAGTCCCTTTACACGACTGCCCGTGGACATGATCCCCAATGAGCGGATCTTCGTATTTCGATAATTGAAAGAAGACCTCTTAAGCCTTGTGAAGAGAAAGGTTTCCATGCAAAATACAAAGAAGATTCTGAAAGATAGTCTGACGGGACTAGCTGAGTTGCACAGCCAAGATATTGTACACCTAGGTGATGGGACTCTTCACAAAACATATAGTTCCGAAGGCTGACAAGTGTCAGATATCAAGGCAGACAACATCATGGTTGACTACCATGAAGACAAGAAAGAAGTCGTAATTAACACGGTTCGACTTACTGACCTTGACAACGCGGCCTACCTCCCCAATGGCAGGTATATCCAAGGAATGCTTGCAGGCAACGCAAACTGGCGTAGTCCCGAGGCATTTCTCAAAAGCAAACTCAACAAGCCAACAGACATGTTCTCCTTTGGCGTCGTCGTAAGTCCTTATACACCCCACAATCCCCCGTACTAGTTACTGAATGCTACTAGTGTACATATGCCGTTCTCGGTCGTGCGATATTTGCCCCAGATGCTGATTTCGAGACGCGCATAGCACAGGGCGTGCTACCTGACCTCATTCACCTGCAGCGCCAAGTCTCGTATTTTGGAGACGAGGATGCAATAGCGGGTTTGGAGATGCACCTCGGCGACGACTCATTCAGTAGAATGATCCTGAGAATGCTGTGGACGGATCGGTGGGAGCCACAAATCGGTTACAAACAGTTTGGGAATTGGCCCGAGGTTGAGGATATGGTCTTTATGGATCTGGTCTTGCGCTTGAGGAACTTGGACCCTAAGAGGCGGATGACGGCTCAAGAAGCATTGGAGCATCAATGGTTCGAGGATGTTTGATATTCTGGAGTGCCTGAACCCGTGACATTATTGTATAGACTATCACTTGGTGCTGTAAAACACAACACTCTCCTTCTGTCTATGCCACTGTTTCTTCTGCTTCTTGTTCTGAAAAGACTTGTGAGCTTTGAGTTGAAAGAGGGTGGCTCAAGTGTAGCCATGTCGGTGATGAACTAACACTGTAACCAACTGTTATCCCCACCAGGCGTCATTCGAAGACTCTCTCTGCATCGGTCGTCAGCAAGCAACACACTTGGAGATAGGTAAGTAAGCCCTTAACTCCGCTGTGCACAAGACTCCTTGCACCTGCAGCCCCAGCCGCGGCTTGCGCGTTCAAGCCCCAAGCTCCGATTGCGGTAGATCGTGCGAGATCTTGATTACATGCGGTAAAAATGACGTACGTTTTGCCAGCCAAGGCCACCGGGGTCGCCTTAACGCCGAAATGCCTGTTGTACCAATAGGTAGGCGTCTGGGTATTAGCATTCTGCCGCACGAAAAGTGGGTGGCGCAGACCCCAAACACGCACAAGCACAAGCGAAGTGGTATTCGTGGATCTGGATTAGACCGATGTGTCGTGCTGGTGAGAATGCAAGGTGCTTACCCAAGCTGGCCCAATAGCATGGGGTGGGTGGAGTGGCTTTGGCAATGCAGTAAGACTTGTAAGACTGGCATTAGTGTACAGAAACTATGCAAATACGCTACGGGATGAGCTGTATTTAGAAAAACAAAAGGGTGCATCTTGTAAAATAGATTGGCATTGATTTGGCAACATGTTCGTGCTTAGACAGTCTGATATAGTACAAAGCGTTAATACCCCTTTTCCTAAACTCAGCCACCCACCTTTCTAGAGGCGTTCTCCTTTGAAAGCCCTGACAATGAACATCACAGCACCCTCCATGTATTGAGGAAGAACATAAGTCAAATGGTAGTACTGGCAGGATCCAGAGTCGCAAACCTGATTGAAAATGTCAGTCCACTCTCTCTCCAAACAACTCGCAACGAGCATTACATAGGTGAAAAAAAAACTTACAGGATCGCCCTTCGCACAAACCTGTAACACCTTTGCTTGCAGCCCCTCTGGGAACTCGTCTCCCACTTCACCCAGCCTGAGATTAGGGTCGCCGAACATCACAACCGATTTGATCTTGGGAAACAAAGATGTAGGGAGTTGAGCTGCGGCTCGGTGCATGATACTTGCGCCTTGCGAGTACCCGACTAGAGAGAAAGTCTGGTTGGGACAGGCAGAAGACTGGGAAGTCAACCGCTGAACAATGTCCTGCGTACCTTGTCTTCCGCCAGAGATGATCTGAGAACTAGCCGGATACTAGCAAAGAAAATTCACATTAGAAAATAAGATCAGTCAGTAAACCCAGGTGTTATGTATCAACGTACCTGGACAGGATAGCCGTGCACTCCAGGCAATTGTGCTGAGACATTGCTCACAACAGGGTCGCCAACGATGACGCCGAATTTAGGGAAACTGGGCTCGCTGGTTCCTCGAGCTGGCGTATCTCTTTTAGTATTACACACACACACACACAAAAAGAGAAGACGCAGAGGCGAGTATATCCACGTAGAACTTACCAACCAGAATTTCAAAATCGGAACATCCTTTGGGAATATCGCTCGGTACGACTGGCACAGGCTGTCCCATCTCGACATCATTCTCTGGAATCTCGGGACATTGCTCTTGGGCAGAGCAAAATGGGAGGAAGGCGAGAGCCAGCAAAGGAGTACTAATAAAGAGGGAGTACATGGTGTCTGTGTAGTATTGTTATTTGCTTCTCCTCACATAAAATTTGATGCAGTGTTCTCTGCAAGACGAGCACAAACGCCCGTCCTTATAACTTCTCTGCCGTGTGAACTGAAATCTCTAGATTGTCGAAACATCATGCCAGAGGTCTACTTGGCCTACGTCTGAGTGTCGCGAGAGAAATGCGTTCGAGGTCGCGCGTAGAACGGACCTCGGCAACTTTGCGGCAGCGTAAACAAGGGTGGTAGTGTTGGGATCATCTGCACCAAGCCACATTGTCCCCTTAGGGGAGATTAATACATTTTTCTTCTGCTCTTTTCTGCCGAGGCACGACTGTGATGTACTGGAGAACTAGAGGGGATGTATCTTGCGAGACTGGTGGTTCTCGTTTTTAGTTTGTTAGGTTGAATGTGTAAAGGACTGGCATGATGCGTTAGTTCGATGATGAAGAAACCAACGCACGGATTTATCAGTCTGGAGCAGTAAAAATTTGCTGCTAAATTCTTGGTACGTACTGGGCAACGGACAGATATGTATGTACTGTAGATCCTTGCTCCACCGCGGACGCATATACCGGTAATAGCGGGTCTGCCCTAGGGAACAAGCGACGTGCCAAACATTCCACACACAAGATCCGCGCTATTCTCCGACTTGTCACGGGTTGATTTTCGTCTAAACGCCCCGTGAGAAGCGGGATCTGCCAATCAGGTGTCTTCTGTCACTAACACTAACTCTGTCTGCAAGTTCCCCAGTAACTAGCAATGTAAGTATTCTGACTCTCAAAGCGATCACCACATACTACACCATTTAAAGAAGTGAGCTCCAAAACTGTGTATTTATCCCGTATTTCCATCCTACAGCATGGCTCCCAAAAAGGCGTCGTTGTAAGGCCATGGTCCCCTATACAGCAAAGTTTCACATCGTAGCCGTCTTTTCCAGAATCACGCGATGCCAAACGTCGTTGTACCGAGGCGATTATTTTCTCTATGTGTATTCATTGGTGTTTTGGGGCTTCCAAGGCCATATGGTTACACAAGCTGTTTTGCAGACTAGGCCTTTAATCTTGCTCAGTCTTGGTCCAAGAGGTCATTCAAAACACCAAAGCACCACTCCTAGACAGCATTCTATGTCTTGGTGTAATATCTATGGCCTTGGCTGGCAGAGCCTACCTTATGGCATGTACAGCTAATTGGACAGTTCCTAGTAAGACCACCTCAATGCCTCGGCTGAGGTTCATAGCATCAGTCGGGTTGTCGACATGGCCATTGTCAATGCTACCCACCATGAGACCAGCACCTCCACTTCTAACGAGAAAGAAAGGAGTACGTGATCTGAAGGTCCTGCATGAAACCTCCTGTATAAGAATCAACGTTTGGAACCCCCTTTTTCTACTCAGCAAGCTTCACTTCCAAGCACCTCTTCCCATCATCCGCTCACTACCAATCTTGCAACCTACAATCCCTCTTACCTCAATCAAACCCAATTTCTCTTCACTGCAATCTTCAAAATCGCAATGAAACTACTCTCCATCTTCGCTCTGGCAATCGCCTCGTCCGCCACTCCAGTCGCCATCCCGGCCTCCGCGTCCCTCGAACTCGCACCCCGCCAACTCCTCAACCGCACGAGCCTGACGGAAAACGAATTCTCGCGCGCCATTGGCGGCGGATGCAGAGACGTGATTTTCGTCTGGGCACGCGGGTCCACAGAGGCCGGCAACATGGTCAGTACACAAGTTCCTCTTTACTCGAAAAAGTAAAAAGGAAAGAAACCACCAGGGGTTGTTGTATGTATGTATGGTGTATCTCCATCTAACACATGAACTACTTAGGGCACCATCATTGGCCAGCCTCTGGGCGACGAGCTCCGCCGGGAATACGGTAGCGACCTCGCCATTGAAGGCATCGATTATGCTGCTCTACTCTCGACCAACTACCTCCCCGGCGGCACGGACCTCGTGTCCGAGCGTATGATGCGCGACGTGCTTGAGGACGTGAATCGGCAGTGTCCTTCAGCCATTATCGTATGCGGCGGATACTCGTACGTCCTTTTTTTATGAACATCCCCCCCCCGTCCCTATTTCTCTCGTCTACACCACTAACACAATACGACAGACAAGGCGCAGCCGTAAACCACCGTGCAATCGAGGACCTTTCTGATGCCGTCAAGAACCAGATTGCAGGCGTCGTCACTTTTGGCGACACTCAGGCTCGCGCTGATAACCAGCAGATTCCCAGGTTCCCCCGTGACAAGCTCAAGATCTTCTGCGGTGGTGCTGTTCGCGATACTGTGTGTGACGGGAACTTGGCTGCGGCTGTGTTGCTGCCTCATCTTAGCTATGGGCGTGATGCAGCTGAGGCTGGTGAGTTTTTGATTGAGAAGATTAATGCGGTTCGAGGCGCGAAAGCCTAGGATCTCTCCACCTTAAGAGGCGGTTTGAGCATGGAGGTTGGTTTGGGGTGGACATGAGGGAATGAGGGGAGTGGAGGGGTGTCACGGGATCACAGGTCGTGCTCACCAGAACAAGTTTGAGTTACATCTGGATGTACACAAACATGAACGAACATATGACCCAAATACCGTATTTTTGCTTTTGATTTGAAGAATACTAAGATGTGATTACAGTGAAAGAATGGATCACAATGGTGTGGAGTTGTACAAATGACCATCATGAAGTGCACACGAAGACAGGCAATCACTATACGTGCCTCTTTTTAACTCTCTCCTCACAATTCAGGGAGATAAGGACCTCAATTCTCCGTGTTCGACTTACGCTTGCGTATACGCACCTCTACCGTATGCTGTGGTTTGAGCGTACCGAAAGCAATCTCCAGCATTGGTGGCATAACCGCATCTGTGAACTCTGGATCGCAGAGCTGGATCTCGAACTCGTTCCACAAAACAGCCAAAGCCGCAATCTGCATGACTTCTGCGTACTCTCTTCCCAGCCCAAGGTTTTGGTGGCCACCAAAGGCGGGAGTCAATAGCTCAAGACCTTCCAAACTAAACTCGCCCGATCCGAGGCCGCCCCTTTTCTTTTGCCTGTCTGGGACAAGGAACCTTTCTGCCCAGAACTTTATCAATGGTCGATCTAGGGCGCGGGATCGAGCTTTGTCCCACGGTTGCATGTTCAATGCAACGTCGTGTGAGAATGCGATTGGCGCGCTACCTTTAGGGAGTATGTATTCGTCGTCCAGCAAAATATCATGACCTTTGGGAGGATACACCATATAATTCGCCATACGGAAGCGGCTGATCTCATGTTGCATGGATTTGATGAAAGGCAAAGCCGTGATGTCCATGATCCCATAAGAACCGGCCTTTTCCGAACGATGCTTGGAGGCAATGTCGGTGAATTGTTTGGCCACTTCGGGGTTGCGCAAAATTTCAATAATGGACCAGATTGTCATTGGTATGATGTCTGTAATTGAACTGCATGTACAGTTAGCATAACCACCCCTGCTTCTTACATATGTAATGATCTCTTAATACGCACCAATATATAAGCTGCAGCAACTCGACCGCTCGCGATTCTTCGGATGAAAACTCCGAGAAGAGACTGTCGAATTCTTGAACAAACTTGGACCCCTTCTCTTGGTCCCAATCTGGGTCGTTGCTCTCGACTTTGGCGAATTCCTTCCCAGCATGATTTGTTCGGATCCATTTCTCCAAGCCTTGGAGTAATGTATCGCGTGGCTTTTCGTATGCACTCAAGTCGAGCAGTCCTGAAATCCCCGGTACGTAGCTTTGCAGGGAATCTTCGAAAACCCAGTATTCTTTTACGAATTTGGGATACTGTCGGAAGAATGTGGAACCAAGCAGTGTTTCTACCATGCATCTAGTGAGAACTTGCTGGAAAAATGACCAGGAGTCTTCTAGCTGTGTCCAGGTGCCAAATTGGAACATTTTGTCGTTCATGCTGCTGGAAAGCCTCGAGGCATAGAGCTCGCCTAGATTTGGTAATGAGGCACCAGTCAAGTACTTTTGGATCGATACTTTGCGAGCATGATTGGCTTTGTCGTTGTATTTTTCCGACTTGGAATCATTTGTGCGAGAGCTGGCAGGGGCTTTGAAGACATCTTCGTACTCGTGTCTCACGATGGAATTGCGTTCCGGTAGTGCCAATGCTTGTGCAGCTACCCTGATATGTCGGGGATCCCTGAGGACAACAAAGGTCCGCAATCCCGCCTTTACAGTGAATGGGGCAAAGCTGCCAAACTCCTTGCTAGTGTACATCAGTATTTGTCTTAATAAAACCAAATAGGCGGTCTTACATCAGCCTTGCAAAGAACTTCGGTGGGCCTTCGAAGGCTATGCTAAAAGTATGGAAGATGCCGGGGACCAGATACGGGATGGTTGGTGGCCTTTTTCCTTTGCCAGCATTCTTTGTGCTCTGGAAGAAGAGGGAAGTGGTGAGAGAATATGTGAGAGATACGAAACCGATAATCAACGCAATGACGAGAATGATAATCATGGCTAGTGTTGGGGAGTGTTCATGGGATGGAGTTGGGTGTCAAATGGGCGCGGACCCTTGCGCAAGCTAGTGGCGGATCTCGCGCCGCGTGAGAGCCGCTCCCGTCTGAACCAATAGCAGCCTCCATCGTCATCTACGCATCTGCATTTGCAACATCCTTCGTGATCGGCGGCGTCGATTATGGATTGCAGTACTGATACGGCAGGCGAATTTGGTACCTGGACATTGCATTGACAAAGACTCAGCATTGCCAGAAGAACAGCGCATGTCGTCATTTTGCCAAGGCTGAATGTGAGAGCTGTTAAGCTTGCATAGAAAGCACACGAGTCACTCACTATCTTCATCTATAAGCTAGTGGTCAAGATGCATACAATAGACAATAGAGCCAGGAGGAAATGATGCAGAATTCTGTTTAATGCAAAAACGGGGTATCATATCCAAACGCCAAAATCCACGCCCTCAAAGGACCCGTTGACTACCAACTCGCCAATACCTTGTCCACTTTTTTCTGTCCCTGGTTTTCAAGTCCGTCCATTTCTACATCCTCATCATCCTCGGCGGTCGCAGGCACCTGTACATTGCCAAACTTCTCCTCGACCCTCGCTGCAACGCGTATGGCCAATGTCCGAGTCTTTGCTAGTTCTGGAGCTAGCGGGGCATCTTTCCACGCCAAATTTGGCTGTATGCTCTCCTTGGGCTGGCGATATGGCTCCAGCAGCGATAACAGTGTGCGGTATGTGTTGAGTTTGTTCTGTAGCGTCTGCCGCTGGGCAGATAGTTCCTGCAAGCGCGAGACAGAGGAGAGGTATTCGTCTTGGGTTATTTGGTCGTTGCTATCGCGGCCATGCCATGTGGGGGACAGTTTGGCAATGTTCTCGTCGAGAGTGAGATCGGCGTCTTGATACAGCGCGTTCGCATCGTCTTCGTGGATGTCGGATGCGATTTGGTCATCTTCGTGGTCGTCGACGGGCTGTGCGCCCGAGTCCCAGTACAAGGTGTCTATTTGCTCCACAACGTGCTCAATCATTTGGCGGCTGTAGACTGACCGTGAGTGCCGTTTGAGGTCGCGGTTGACTAGACTTGATTTAGCTTTTCTAGCATCTTTCATTTCAATGAAGCTATACCTTTATCCAGCACCCCCTTCATAACGCTGAGTTCTATGCCGCCATCTTGCGCAAGCGTACGCAGCCGTTCGGATGGCGGTATTCCACGCGACAAGATGTGTTTCCTGGTCTGGAGGAAATGCTGCTTCTGCTCAACAATCGTGGCTTGCTTTGATCCACGAACGGGGGCATATTGACTCATTGTAGAAGTGCTGGGTGGGATGTCATTGGGGAGTTCGGATTGCGGGGATGAATTGGAAGCGCGACGCGTCGAAACCAGGCTTTGCCTAATTGGGACACGCAGACGTGCATCCTGCAATGAGCATTGAATGTTAGCAAGACAACGTCACATCTGGCTTTGAGAGTACCAGACGAGATAATTAGTAGACAGATGGATATCTCCTTGGTTCCACTAGTCATGAAGCAGGCGTAGTGTGTGGCTCAGCCTTAGATTTGAGTCAGTGAGTCAGTGAGCGCTGTAGCGTCCGGCCTTCCAATACGTTCGCATACATTACAGACAAATATACCGTGCTTAATTCCAATACCATCAAATCAGGCGCGACAGGATTCTAATCTGGAGAGCATGTGACCGGTCTGCGTTGCAGAGGCGGACAATATAGGCGATTGTCATTGGTAATCTGCTTGTTGCTAGCGATCAGCATCGTAGACACCTCGAAACTGCATGCCTCTCGAAGCCAGAGAAAACGATTTCTGGTCGCAATGTTGATACCCCTGCGTCCATTAGCCAAGGCGAAGGATAGGGTGTACGGTCAGAACAGGTGGCCTGTGCAGAATCTAAGTGGGGGAGCACGTCACGACCTCGCCCTTGTGTCAACCACAGCGCCAGCAGCATCGACAAGACGAGAACCCTGGTCGACCCTGAATTACAGCCTAACTACGTCCCGGGTGCAAAACTCCATACGCGCAACAACAAGCCTGATAAATGCTACGCCAGCAAATGAAAGAGGTGGACCTTTTGATCCTTGGCGCCGGCTGGACGTCCACATTTCTGATTCCGCAGTTGGGCGACACGGACATTACATATGCGGCCACTACCACCACAGGAAGAGATGCTACCATCCCGTTTCAATTTGACCCCGAGTCCGGCGATGCGGAACCCTACAAGCGCCTCCCTGCTGCCAAAACGGTGCTGATCACTTTTCCGCTACGGGGTCACGGACAGTCCAAAGCGATTATCGGCCTCTATCGCTCCGTTCACGGCGCGAGGAATAATTGGATTCAACTTGGCCAGATTGGTATCTACAACAAGCTGCCCAATGACTGGAGCGATGATGACTCGCCCTATGATAAGGAGGACAGCCGTGCCATTGCTGAGGACGAATTGCGAGCGCTCCATGGTTGCGTTTTGTGTCTGTCGGGACTGTACGGCGGTGAACGCATTCCGTCAAGGTGGCTGCCCCGCATCGCCCAATCGAAAGAGGACATCAAGAAGCGCGGGGCTGTTCATTTCGTTCACGGCGAAGATGTTGCGCGTGCGATAATTGCTACGCATCAGAACTTTACGCCGGGAAAGCGCTGGATTATCGGTGACATGCGCGTCTACGACTGGTACGACCTCATCCTGAGTTTCAGCTGTACGCTTGAGTCTTCCATGTCCAAAGAGGAGCAGGAGACCCAACTGCAATTTGGCAAATGGGTCTGTGAGCTAGTCAAGGAAGAGGAAATCCGTGCTCTACCAAGGGACGTCAGTGTGTTGGGTCGTAAGCTTGATTCCAGAGGCTTCTGGTTCTTCCATGGGCTGTTACCTCGTCACAGGAGATTGGCGTAGAGCGTTGACACCTGAAAAGTTTTTGTAATGCTTTAAAAACAATAGGTAATCCTGTCAGCCTCATTGGCCTGGAGTGCAAAATGCACAGGTTCGAGTCACCGCGCAGAACTCTCTTCATTCTCATTGAACAGTTTTACCATCTAATTTTAAATTGGCTGAAAGTTAACCATGGATACAATGGGATTATGGTTGTATCCTCTTGTATAAGATGTATGCATTCTATCCGTCTCCTTGATTCCTCTTCATCACTTCACTTCACTTCACATCAATATCTGAATCACTAGATTCATAAAGCTTCTCTATATCCATCACATCAAGCTTCTTTATCAACCACCAAAGCCACCAACATGTTTCCTTACCGAGCCCAAGTCTTCAACGGCTACATCGCCTCTCCAGATGCATGCCAACCGATCAACATCACCGGTCTGGCCCTCCCACAGCGGCGGCAGCAGCAGCAGCAGCAGCAACAAGTTGCTCTATTCCCTCTCCCTACACAAATGGGCATGCCACAGCCCTTCTCCTCTACCTATGGCAACGAAGCCATAAATCCCTTTTCTTACATTCCCGCTCAACCTCCCTTCGCCATCCCTCCACAACAACAAAACTTCTTCCCTCTCTCCTTTCCCTCTTCACAGTTCGCTCCTCCTCCCGCTGTATTCCCACCACCACCACCACCACAACTACAACTGCAACCACAACAACAACAACAACAGCAAGGCTCTTCGGCTCAACGGAGCCACCTCGTCACGCCCGCTATCACGCCGCCGCAGAACCGCCAACTCACCGCAAGGCCAAACGCAGCGGCGCCCGAAACCAGCATGAATCCCGGGATGCAAATCCCGGCCAAGACGGTCGTGCTGCCACCGAGAAGAAAGCCCGGCCGTCCCACAAACGCGTCCAAGGGCCTTCTAACGAAGCGCGAGCTTCGTAGTCGTAAAACGCGTAAGCGTAGTAGTGCTTTGGCTTCTGGGGCGGGGACACCAGAGCCTGTGGTTGCGCCTGTGCAACAGGAACCCCCTGTTTTTGATCGTGCTTCTTCGTCTCGTTTGGGTTCTGCTTCGTTTTCTGGTGTACCTGCTGTTGTGTCTGGTTCTTCTTCTTCTTCTTCGTCTTCTTCGTCTTTACCTGCTGTTTTGCCTTCTTTGCCTGTTTCTTCTTCTTCGTCTTCTTCTTTTCTTCCTACACAACCACAAGTAGACCTCTATGCAGGCTACGCCCCCGCTGTCGGCTACCGGCCAGCTACTACTGAAAGTAGCAAGCCGTCAAATTACTTCGGCATGAGCGACAGCGAGATTGACGCTGCGGTGGAGGCGCAGATGGATGTGCTGATGGGCGGTGAATAGGAAACACCGCTGGAACAGCAGCAGCAGCAGCAGCAGGAGGAGGAGGTGGAGCCAGTTCCGCAGAAACAGGTGGCGCGTAATGAGGATGACGATACGGCTGCCATGGAGGCACTTATGCGAGAATTTTTGGATTGTGACGAGAACGCAGAGACTTCGAGTCCTGCTCTAGAGGAGGTGGAGCCAGTTCCGGAGCAGCAGGTGGCGGGTAATGATGACGACGATATGGCTGCCATGATGGAACTTGTGCTGGAAGCGTTGGATGGTGAGGAAGCAGCAGAGACTTCGGGTCCTGCTCCAGAGGAGGACGATGATATGGATTCGTTGTTTGGAGATGGTTAAATACGTAGTACTTGTTATCAAGCCATCACATTCTAATGAGACAAATTATGATCAAATTGTGTGTACTTTGTAGTATTGAGTGGGTATGTTTGTTCGCAGGCCAGAGGTGTGACCAGGAAGCTATGGAGATGCCTATGTACCAAGAAAGTATGCAAATGGGGGAAAGAATCCCCTAGTCTATAGGGTGCATCATGAATATAACAAAGAGATGGAGTCTAAACGAGTGCCACGCCACGCTATGCAGGGTACGGTGGGAAAAAAAATCGACAAAATATAGACACATGCGCAGATTCCATCTATATCTCTCTCTCTGTGTGGCGGACCGTCATATTAAAAAAGTAGTTTGCGCGTTAAAAAGAATGAAGTTTAGACCTCAATGTTCTCAAAAGGATCCCGATCCGGCGGTAATCCCTTGTAGATGACATTGCCACTGGCGTCCAGGCGCGCGTTCACACTCGTGATCCATACACGCTTAGTAAAGGCACTGGTGCGCTCAATCTCATCCCTGGCAACGCCCAGCTCGTCGTGCGGTATCCAGACTGCGGGTTGAATGGCGCGTGTAGCAGGGTGTTGGAAAGACCGCTTAATCAGCTTCTGTCGGGCTTCGGGTTCAATGTCGGCGAGCTCATCGTCTACCTCATCAAAGAGATTGCCGGCAGGGAGGACTTGTGCTTCGGCGTCACGCATAGGCTTGGCGACATCGTCGAGGCCTTTCCTAAGGGTGTGGGTGATGACGTCCAAGGGGTCTTTGTGCTTTTGTTTCTTCTTATGTTTGGAACCGCCGCGTGAGCTCTTGGCCCAACTGTTATTGCGGCCGGCGGCACTCGGCCTTGGTGATCGACCGAACCTACTATCCATGGTGCTTAATTCGTACGATTCCGGGTCCTGGGACGATTCACTGCGTTTCATGTTTCGAGCAGGTGTTTGCTCGTCCGAATCGGCTTGTTCGCGTTCCTCGGATGTCAACTGTGCATCTTCTTGAGCGGTGAGCGACGTATGCTCGTCGGCCTGTTTCCAACGACTGGCCTGCGCTCGTTCCCACTCCGCATCTCTCTCCACTGCCTCATCTTCAAACGTTATTGGAAGGTATGTGAACAGTGGCCCGAACGCTCTGTTGAGCACCATCTGGAAGAGTGCAGTAAAGATGAGCATAATGATCATGACGATGGCGTGAGGGAAGCAGGACTGATTGCCGGCTTCGTCTTCCTGGAGGAAGAACAAGCCCACGAGACAAAGCTCGAGGAAATACAGTCCGGTAAACAGCTGGTTCACAGCCTTGGGGAAGATGAGACCGTTAGTCTCGGCCTTAGCGTAACTGACATAAATCATCTGGTATCGGTAGGTGAACCAGAAGAGGCAAAACGTAATCAACATCATGATCAAGATCAAAGGTGCCACGACCGAGTAGATTAAACCTATAGATTGTTAGAGGATGCGCGCAGCAGGCAAAAAGGCAGACTCACCGATTGCACCAAAATTGGTGTACACAGGTATCATAGTACCCCAGTTGATTCCCGGTCTTTGCAGCACCCTTGACACCTTCTCGCGAGGAGTCGTGTCCATGAAGCGGAGGAAAATGATGATGACCACGGCGCCAATCTGGAGCAAAGTTCCAGAACTGATACTGAGTGCTTGCAGAATCATGTAAGAAAAGAAGTAGTTGGCAGCTTTGGGCAGGTTTTTAGCCAGGGTCTGAGGAACACTCAGAGGGTCATTAAGCAGGTCGTCTATCGCTGTCGTAATACCCGTCGAAATGGATACAACAAGGAACAGTTGGACGAAGACGAAGGCAAAGTAGAAGTTTTGGACAAGCAACTCGCGCTCGCCAAGTGTTGTTGTACCAGTGAGTCCAGCCAGGAAGCGTAGGACGAGAGGCAGGACGGCGAACAGGATAGCCAAGAATGCAGGGGGCAACACACCCTGCACGAAGCTCACCACCCAGTCAGGGAGCTTATTAATGAATCCCAGCCATGGCAGTAAGGTGGTAAGGGTGTCGATCTGCGACAAGGCTCCCGTAAAGGTAACAGGAATACCCCAGAAGATGACCAGTCCAACGATGAGAAGAACGACACCAAAGAAGCGCAGATAACGCTCCCACCATTTCATTGTAAGATTTTCCCAAAGTACATAGTTTGGATTGACTTCGACAGTTCGCGGATTCATCTGCCTGGGAATGTGGTGACTTAGAGACTGACAGGCCATATGCGCCGCAACTTGATGGTTGAATTGGATAAAGGCAGAGTTCATCAGAGGAAACCGTTCTGGATGAGCTTGGTCGTCTGCAATTTCGGCGTTGAGGCGAGCAAGTTCTTTGCGGCTGTAGTATATCGTGTCTACCTTCCTGCCAATCAACGGAAGAGAAGGCCACCATGACCATTTGAACAACGGTAAGCGCATGGTATCTCGGTCGCCTGGCTTGATGTACTTCCTCCAGATAGCGTCTTCGCCGTCTTCTTCGAGAGATTCGTCCCACAATCCAGTCGTGTCGTACTTGACTTTGTCGGCGTCTTTGACTTCCATAGGCAGTTCGTCGTTGTTCTTGAATGGCTTAGGACTAACAAAGTCACCCTGTCCAATGTATATAGCCTTTGTTTTCTTGAAAGGCTGTTTCCACCCAACCTTGGCAGGGGGGTTGTCTTCGTCGTCAGCCTCGGCAGCAGGCGCTTTCATATCCTTGGCGGGAGAGTTGGGGTCGGATGGACGGTCATCAGAAAAGTAGCTTTCTTTGTTTGCGAGGGGGGTTTGAGTGTCGCTGCTTGCACCTCTCTGTTGGTACTCTGCTGAAGTTGGCGAAGACGGCGCAATGTCATCTGACCCGTCCAGAGGGGTTTGTTCTAGCGAGAGATCCGTGGGCTGTGCGCGGCGACTCTTTGACCTGAAAACACCGCGTACATTGCCGTAAACCTTTTTGTTAAAACGGTCGACCCCGCGGAAACCCTCACCGACTGCATGTATTCCCTCACCCAGCAAAGGAATGGGTATGAGGCCGCGCTTGCGACTGGGAGAAGAAGATCGCGATGATGAAGAGGAAGAGGAAGATGAACCCGACTCGGCGAGAACACTCTGGAGCTGCTGCTCGATCTCGTGAGGGTTACCGGCATCCACACCATGGTCGTCAGTCTCTCGGTTGATAGCATCATTCCGTATGGCTTCGTCCTGTTTCCTTTCCTTCTTTGACTTTTTCTTCTCGCCTGCCTCCTTTGCTGCTTTTTCTTCCATCTTCTTGTGTTTCTTTGTGCATTCGATAATCAGGTTTGTCTCGGCAGCTTCAAGGGCTCGCGCTATCTTGGTTCGCTCCTCGACTTTTTCCATGAGTTCGTCATAGTCGCGGTTGATCCAGATATCCTTGATACCGCCGGGGAAGACGTCGTAGAGTGCATCAAGAGCTGCGACAGTGAGCCACTTCTTAGGAATGCTCTGGACAAGAATAGTGGTAGCAGAAGCTCGGATGCGATGGTCTGGTCGTGTGAGGACAGACTGCCTCAGGCGGACGAACTGCCTAAGCGCCAGGTAAAAGTTGAAACAGACCCAACAAATCACCAAGACGGCAAGAATCAGATGCGCAACAAGTCGATTGTGTTTCCCTGGTACGCCCACGTTGGGCCATGCGAACGAATCCAAGCCAGACACGTCGTCGACATCGCCCATCCGGTTCAGAGGCAGGAGGATGGGCAGAATAACAAGAGCCATGGGGATAAAGATACGGAGCAGAAGCTGCAGGTATTGGAGGAAGAGGTAGCCATCGACACCGGCAACGCGAATGAGCTCGGAGTCGCTGATTGTGAAGACTTTCTTGAACGACTCGATTGCGGTCACGGGGGCTGCAATGCGCTTTGCGACAGGCACAAAGGCGGTCTTGTAATAACTGGTTTTTTTGTCAGTGCATGTTGGGCCAAACAAGGCGCGCGTCGCATACTAGATCTTGTAGAACAGGCTCTGTCGCGACACTCCGCCATTCTTTTGGTCGTCTTTGAGCTGTTGGGACCTTGTCTTGTGTAGCTTCCAGTTGCCACTGAGGATCAAGAAGATGGCAATCTGCGCGCCGAAAATGACAGTGGCAGTAGATAGCGAGGCGGCGAAGTTCTCAATGCTCTGGTTTTCTCTTCGCTGGGCGGAGCCGGCGCCCGTGGTGCCTGTGGACTGCGCCGCGCTGCTTGTGGCCGACATGATGTCGTATGTGTGTGTGTGTGTGTGGGGGGGGGTGGAGGTGGAGGTGGAGGTGGAGCGGGCGAGGTGGTATTATGAGATGCGGACTGGTGAATGGGTGATCCCTGCGCTCAGTGGCGGGCGGCCATGGACAGGCGAGTTCAGGAGAGCAGCCGCTACTAGGTGCGGTTGCAAGGCGAGGGCACCAGATTTGGTGGGGTAGCAGAAGTTCAAAAAACCAAGGTGAAGTCCAGAAGCAGCGAGAGGGTTATTGGAGGGACTTAAGGATTCACAGGCGACTGGGGTAGCCAACGTGTTTCAAGCCTTGCATTCCTGATGCGCGGTAGCTCGGGGGCTTGGCGACGTCACTGGCGTCCATGGTCTGGTAGCTAGCCGCCCGCTGTTCGCGCCAAACAGGCGCTGGACGAATGCAGTCTCGACTAGCACAGCGCACGCTTTGGACAGCGGGTGTGGTCCGGGTGCTCGTCTCTGGGGCCCGTTGTTTTGCTTTTGTGGCTCCAGGCGCCTTGTTTGCGCGAACCGTGGCGGCGCCCAACACAACGCCGGCAAAGCCTCCCTCTGTGCCTTGTCTCTGTCTCTGCTGGCAAAGGAGTATTAAGCCTGTGGCACTGGCACCGGCGTGGATCTGATCTGAGCCCTGAGCCCCGTACTATGACGTTGAGCTGCATCTGTCTTACATCGCTGTACCAGGCTGTCTCTTCCGAGTTGCCGCGTCCGGCCTAGCGCACATGCCAGCCTCGCCGCCTTCGTCGCCATCCGCCGCCACACCGCCACATTGCCTCGTAGCGCCACACCAGCGCCACACCGCGCCACGCGACGCACCCACTGCCACGTGAGCGCCGCCCACAACCAACTCGCCCGCCATGACAGGGCGGCATCTGCAGATGAGCCAGTCGGCTGGTTGCATAGCACATGCTCGCCACCTGTGCAATCGCGACTGCAGCATGCTACGCACACAGTATAGAGTCCAAAGTGCAGCATGAACATGTGTCATGAGGCGTGTTCCATGTTAGACGCATACCGTCCTCGTCGAGCTCGGCGCCTTTCCATGGCCCTCGGCCTTTTTCTTATTCCACGCTACTGCGGGCATGTGCCGCACCGCGAAGGAAGCGCACAACATCTTTATTCAAGATGCAATAAAATCGCCTGACGGCCAAGCAAACGGCAGACCAAGCGTGCCCATCTCAGCAGCCCTGTAACATACACACACGGGCAAGACTGCATTCTACTACATTTCGCAATTTCAGCCCTTGTCTGCTCGACCCATGTGCTTTTGGCAGCTTTTCTTGTTCTATAAGGCGAGAGGGGCAGTTCCGAGACTTTCCCCACTCGGCTAGTCTGCGACAATCATTGGGTCGTGATAGGAGTAGCAGAACGTGAGCCTGCAGAGTCACCCATCTTGAGCCCTCCCACTCAGCTGCTCCGCCACGATCGGCGCGAATCAGTCCAAGTGGCAGCATGTCTATGTAACCATGACCGTCAATCTCTCCGCGGGTGGGTCGTGATATCGGCCGCCGGCCGTCGGCTTCGTTTGCCGTGTTGCCGCAGCACGGGGTGATTCTGTTGAAGAGAACATGTCCGAAATGAAAAATAAAATACCGCCCCAGGACCGAGCCAGACGGAATGCCACGTAGCCAAGTTGTTGTTGAGTGTGCTGACGGCTTGCTGTTCTGTCTCGCCTGCAGCCATATGCAGAACCCCCACGTGCTGTCGCGCAGTCGCGTGTAGTCAGCTCTGCCTTCATTGGCTGTACGTCTCAGGGGACCGCGTGTGCGTCATGACAGTCGCCCTGTTTCCTCCATGTTCCCAACACTGTTCAGCCATTAATTACGATCAGCCAGCTTCGCCAATCGCTGCATTGTTCACCAAGGTATACACTTGCGCGCGATGCGGACCTCACGCATCTCTCGCGACGCCTCCCGCATTGTTGCTGCGAGTCGCGCCCAGCGCAGCCTCCGGCAAACCAGATCCGCCGCCAATGCACCAGCGCCCAGTATCAACCCCCCCATTGTCAAGCAGGAAGCTGAAAAGGGTGCGAGTGCTAATTCTGATTCTGAACTGAGCTCCGCCCCATCAGACTCCAATTCAGACTATGAGGCGCAGCCAGCGCTGAAGAAGAGGAAAAGGGGGCAAGGTGCGCCAGTTCTCATAAAGCAAGAGGCATCAATCGCTGCACTTGCATCGCCAAAAAAGGATACCAAAGTCAAGAAAGCGCGTCGTACTCCGGCAAAAAAGATAAAGGACAGCGATGGCAGCATCAAGATTGAGCCCCCTGCGAATTGGGAGGAGATATATGCGCTGACAAGGGAGATGCGCAATGAGAATGTAGCACCAGTGGATACAATGGGCTGTGAGAGCCTGGCGGACAGAAAAATGACACCGCGAGATCAACGCTTTCAGACCCTCGTAGCTCTGATGCTGAGTAGCCAGACCAAGGATACCGTCACCGCACCTGTAATGCGCGGCATGCAAGAACGGATGCCAGGAGCACGTCACATAAGACCCCACATCAATATCCAGCTAACACATACCAGGGCTTCAACCTTGAATCCGTCCTCGCGCTCGAGCCTACCCAACTGAACGCCTTCATCAACAAAGTGGGCTTCCACAACCTCAAGACCAAGTACATCAAGCAGACTGCCGAAATCCTGAGGGACAAATGGAACTCGGATATACCCGACACCATCGAAGGGCTCGTGTCACTGCCAGGAGTAGGGCCAAAGATGGCATATCTCACAATGAGCGCTGCATGGGGTCGGACAGAGGGCATAGGTGTCGACGTACACGTCCATCGCATCACCAACCTATGGGGCTGGCACAAGACACAGCAGCCGGAACAGACGCGTGCAGCGCTGGAATCATGGCTGCCCAAAGACAAGTGGCACGACATCAACAACCTACTCGTGGGCTTTGGTCAGACAATATGCCTCCCAGTGGGCAGGAAATGCGGTGACTGCAAGCTGGCAGACAGAGGCTTGTGTCCATCAGCAGTCGTAACAAAGCGTACAAAGGTCAAAAAGGAGGCCGTCGTCAAGGTGGAGATACTTAACAACGACGCAATAGCGGAGGAGGCACCTAACAACGATGGATTAGTCAAGAAAGAAGCATCTGATAACGACGTAACAGTCAAGAAGGAGGCTGTTGTAAAGGTGGAGGCATCTGACAACGACACAGTAGCGGAGGAGGCACCCAGCAACAGCTTCATAGTCAAGGTGGAGGCCGTTGTGAAGGTAGAGGCATCTAACGACGCAATAGCGGAGGAGGCACCTAACAACAGTGTTATAGTCAAGGAGGAGGCCGCTGTGAAGATGGAGGCATCTGACAACAGCGTAACAGTCAAGGAGGAAAATATTGTTGCAGATGTTGACCAGACCAAAGCTGAAGACGTGGAAAGCGCGGTACCAGACATCGAGGACATTAGAAGGGTACCACGCAAAAGGACAACGCGAAAGAAGTCGTAGCCGGTCATGTCAGACGTACGGTTTTCGTCCCATCACGAATTCTGACGTTCCACCGAATTTTCTGGACAGCTCCAACAGAATCTCGTGGACAGCGCGTCACGGTTTTCCGAGACGTTGTCGCGCTGCAAATAGCAAACAACGGGTGGAGCTAGTTTTGGCGGGCACGCTCGCTACCTATTCGGCCGACCCACACAGTTCCGCGACGGCCTTGCGCCTATTAAGTTTCATAACATCACCACCAAGCTCAAGCAATTCAGTTCATCGCCGTGTCTGTGGTTGTAGGATACACGAACGCGATGCGCTTGGACCTGTAACATCTCTCCTAATCTTATCATTTCCTTTCTCAAAACCGCAACCCGCTCACCACGCGCCTCTCTAGCGCAAACTACCGATAGTCCACGTGCTGTTCGCATCTTCGACCTCAACCGTGATACTCGAGTATTTCGTCGCATGCGCGCAGGCTTGACGCGCCTCATATTGACGAGTACTGATTGAACAATACAGGCCACGTGCTCACAACTCACCCACTACTCTTGGCAACTACAAAAGCCTCCACTACTAAGAACTTGCGTGGAAAGTGACCATATCGAGATCAACCACCCCAAGAGCTCCCAGCCCTTGCATAGGGCTTACCGCCGACGGGAGCATGGCGCGTGCAGACCGGGATAGTCCCTACAATCGGAGCCCATCGCGCCAAGAAGAGCACCCTACAGTCAAGCCGCGCAAGTCGATCAAGTCGTTCAGCATCAAGCTTGAACATGCGCGTCCACGCGTCATGCTTCTCGCATCCTGCATGGTCTATCTCACTACCACTCTCTTAGCCTTTCAGATCAGTGTTGTCAGTGTCTCCAACCTGGTGTGGCCTGAGTACCAGCGAGTACACGACCAGCTTCAAGCGCAATCGAGTGCCCTCCACAAGGAGCAGGTGGTCTATGCCCGGCTGAATGGTGTTCTCTCTGGTCAGCTGAGCCGAAATTTCATGGAGACTTACGAAGACTGCCTTGTTCGCGGGCTCAAGAAGGCAGACCGCGAACTCATCGGTCTTGGTTTCCGGTATCCTGACGTCCGCGAGCAGGTCATGGACTGGACAATGGAGAACTGTGGAAGACTGCAGTATGCACCACAGGTCGTGAACGAAGAGCCAACCCCACAGGAGGCTGTCTTGACGTATTGGGCAAGCGTAAGCTATCGCGCCCGTAAAATCGCCGCGGAAGCCCTTGGGTTTGTCAAGCAAAAGCTTGGCTGGGTTTGGGGTCGTCTTTTTGGCCCCACTGAACCTGAAGATGCTTCTCTTCGTACTGAGAGCGCGACCACCGACGACTTCGCCACCAACGATTATGTCTCCGAACGTATTCTACCCGAAGTTCCATTTGGATTCGCTCTGGATTGCAATCCAGACCAGCCTTGTCGTCTCTTTTACCCAGAAGAGTTGGTTACGCATTACGACAAGCCAAGCGTCTCACCAGAAGTCCTGAAGCATCTGGAACAACGGAACACCAAGCTGCTTGCTTTCGGCACCACTCTCGATCGCATTGGTACAGCCATCACTAAAGTATCATGCGTGGTAACCTACTCCAAGATACTCTTTCTCTTCCTTTCCGCCGTCACATTTCTCAGCAGCATCAGTTCTGAGACCGAGCCGTCACTCATAAATCCAAGAGAGGAAGCCATGTATCTGGTCAAGTCGATGATGCTCGAGCACCTCTCTTCAGCGGCAATCTTCACACTCGACACGTACCCACACATGCTCCCTGATATCAGGACTGCCATAATATTTGGCTGTTTCATGACTGCTCTAGGCCTGAACATGGCTCTGAGATTCCTCCTCTCTAGCTCGCAGGTGGAAACTCTCTCCAATCTCTACAGCACAACCAAAGACCTGTGTTTGCTCGTACTAGGCCGCGAAATACCTGTCGAGGAGAACACGGAGGTCGCCTCCACAGCTGGCGACGACAGTAAAAAAGAACAGAGCAGCAGGACCAAAGACAAAGCACCACCAGAGAAGCGAAGCCCATTCACTTCCTACAGATCACGCCCACGTATACCATCCAAACCCCACCACCGCCTCGCAGACCCTACAACAACAGTACAAGAAGATATTGAGAGTTTGCGTAAAGCCAGACACAAAAACGACACTCGGCATGTAGCTACCGACTCCGACTCCGACTCGGATGCCGACAGCGACGCTTTTGTCAATCTCGCTGCAGACCTCGCGACTGGAACCGATTACCTCGCTGAACCAGATTGGTCTTGGATCGACCGCTGAACAGCACCAGCGCGTCTCAAAATCATGTTATCTTGTCCAATGAGTAACGACACGACTAACATGGACTTTATCTTTGGACCGAGAAACGACACTCATATCATAGACACACAGAGAGAGAGTATGTGTATGTGTATGTGTTGGAGAGTCCAGCCACCAGCAATCTCTCTCTCTCTCACACACACACACATAAACTCTGTTCCACTAACTGCATTTATCCTGGGGTGTTTTTTTCCTTCACAGCATTATACGGCGTTACATATTGGGTCCTCCTCCTTCTTCCCTGATTATTCTTTGTCATGACTAAGCAACACTACGAACGGATCTTCTCGGCTGTTTTCCTCCACTTCTCTCTCTCTCTCTCTCTCTCTCCTTTTGGTTTTGATACAGTATTCCAAAAAAAACAAAAATAGACGTACTTACGACTCTAAAGTCATGAGCGTATTGATTTTCTTGGAGCTTTCTTTCCGACAAACACACACACACACTCTCTCTCTCTCAATTCACGCTTGGAATTTGCTTTGGTGCTCCCAACCCGTGCGCAGAACCGTACAGTGGCGTGACATCAAAGGGTGGGGGGGGGAGTGCGATATGGGAGACGAGAGAAATGAGAGCAGTAGGAGGAGGAGCGAAAAAAAAATTGGTGTTACAATGGATAGACATGTGTATCTTGGGTATGACTACCTACATAGTTACCATTACTTTCAGCTTTTTCTTTCTTTTTTATGGGATTCTAGAAACAAATGCAATGAGGAATAGACGCACATTTTCCCCGCAAAAGACTCAGACCAAGATGATTACACGTATACATGGTGTTTGAAGAAACTATGTAAGATTGAACGAAACAAAAAAAACAAACCACACCACAGCAGACTTTTTTATTCATTGAGAAAGATTGATTCTTTTTTTTGTTTTCGTTCCCGCTGAATAAGGGGTACACGAAGGAAGGAAGGAAGGAAGGAAGGAAGGAAGGAAAACATTTGCATTACACTTCATAAGACACTTGCACCTCATAAATTTGTAGCTAGGACGAAAAAACAAGAGGTGAGAAGAAAGAGAAAGAGAAGCAGCCGTAAAAAAAAAGAAGAAGAAGAAGAAGAAGAAGAAGAAGAAGAGCTCATTTGAAGGTGAAAAAAAAACACTTTCTACTTCCTCATACTATCCCCATTCCCATTCCCATTTGCACCAGCAGCACCACCATTACCCGGCGTCAAACACGTCCTTGCATCTTCCAGCTCAGCCACAACTCTCTCCTCGAGTTCGCTCAGTGCATCTTCGCCCTTTCCTTTAATTCTATTCAGCATATCCAGTTCCCGCTCGTCAACAGCCACAATGCGTTCTCTGAGTGCGCTCTTGCGGCTTAACCAGCTCTCGACGTCTTCCTTGACAGTATCCTTTTCCCAGTCCAGGGGGGCGACTTCGTTGGCCTGGATACCCAGCTTGGGGCCTTGCTTGCGCACGTTTTCGAGGATGGCGGCGATGAGGGCAAGACTGTGGGTTTCAGAGGCAATGGAGAGAGTGATTTTGGTGGCCGAGTGCCGCGACGAAGAGTTGGAGTTGATGCTTGCTGTGGAGCGGGCGAGTTGTTCGGGGAATTGGTTGAGGAAAGACGAGATTTCGGCGGCGATTGGAGGACCGACGGATAGGAGGAGGTTGAGGCACAGGGGAAGGATACCCTTTGTCCAGATCGAATACATGCGGCTGGGGTTGTCAAAGGGGCCGGTACCGTTGATGCGACGGTAGTAGTTCATGATGTTTGCCGTGTTGAGCTGGCTGAGAATGCCTTCAACGGCCATGGTTTCAGCTAAAGCTTGGATGCTCGAGAGGGAGAGCAGGAAGAGGATGCTTAGCTCGCCGTAAATGGGATCCTCCACGCCGTTGTGTGATATTGCCAGGCGATCGGCCCAGGAGAACAGGCTAGTGGCGTATCGCACTGTGTTGTTATTTGCAAAAAGAAGCGCTGCTTGGTGTTGCCATTTGGACATTTCTGGTATGGCAATGATGCGCTGCAGCAGCGCAGTGAGGAGAGCAAAGTCAGATGGCAAGACAGACAAGGGCTCGGCGTGCAGTTGCGTGGCCAAGCCACGGAAGCCTTTGGCTACCGTGTCGGTTAGAATCTCGAGGAGCTGCGTCGAGATGGGCTCGGTGTAGTTGTTATGGCTGGCTGGCATGGTGCCACGGAAGCTCGAGCGGAACGAGGCATCCTCAGACTGATCGGTTTCCTCAATGAGATGGAAATGAAGAGCGAGGTAGAGGATGCGTAGCAAGGAGCGGTAGTAATGGACTGCATCTGTAGAGAAGGCATTATCAAAGTCCGGAGTTGAAGCGCGGATGGCGCTCCATATCGGGGCGAGTAATTGACGCGCTTCTGTAGTCCGAACCTTGGCCTCTACAAGCTTCTTAAGCAGAGCAAATGCCAGGTCTGCTCGCAAGACCATGAGCTGGCCGAACAAGGCCTCTGGTAGATTTGACTGGGTGTTGGCGGTCATGCATTTTTGAACGACACCGACGAGTACCTTGACGATTCGCTCATCCTTGGCCACGACTTGGCTAAGCTCCAGAGTCAACAATTTCCAACCTTGGAGTAGTAAGACTTGAGATTCTACCAGTCCCAGGTTGTAGTTGGCCTTCTCGACTTCCGATGCGAAACCTGTGCCTTCCTTGGGGCCAGCCCATTTGCTGTTAAAACCCAGGAGTTGCTGAGCAAGGTCGATATCGTAGAAGAATGCTCGTCCAAAGTTTTCGGGGTATAAAGTGGTCCGCTTGAGGTTTGCTAGGGAGACACCGGGGTACTGTTTCTCCAGGTTCTGCTTCAAATATCCGTGTAGTGACGTGCTGTAAGATGGTAGGTCCAAGGCATTTTCTTCCAAGTACGTCAAGCTGGGGACGATATCTTTCAGCACAGTGACATCGCCTACTTGGCGCGAGCTGTGAAGGTACATGGCAATGACCTCGCAAGCCAAGGATGCGAATTTGTTCTGAAACGAGCGTTCCAGAGTCTCTTCATTGCTGCTCATTCGCGGCTGCTTGGACTGCTTTGCCATCCACTTCAGGAATGTGAGCAGTTTCTGAATAAGGTCTTTACGTTGTCGTAGATCGCCCATTGCCCAAGACCAGTTATTTTGCGCGGACGAGACGAACTCGAGCATTGCACTGAATAGTGGCCATGAGATGCCAGCAGGTTCCTTCTCCGGTAGGGTCATGCTAGACAGCGCATCAAAAGCTCGTGTGAGTAGAGCCTTGTTTCGCGAGTCTGGCGCCGCATTCTTCTTGGTTCGAATCGACTCTCGTGGAGTGTTCCCAGTAAGCAGATAGAGAGAGAACCATTGCTGTTTGCAGGTTACTACAGCCGAAAGCAGGTTCCATACGTTTCTTTGGATGTCCACTATCTTCAGTGGCTCATCCAGTTGAGAAAGCACGCTCAGAAAGTTCTTCGCTGTCCGGGGTCCAAGATGGCCGAGGAGCGAAGGTGGTTCTCGCTGCTCACTCTTCTTCCGCGTAGTCTGTTTTGCGTCTCCTTCGACTGTTTCCGTCTCTTCTTGTATAGTAACACGGACAGCGCCACGGACCAAAGCCTCCAACAACAGTACCACCTGAGACTTCCACTTGTCACTTGTGGCGTACAGTCGGGCTAATAACGGTGTAGCTTTGAAGAGTTGTTGTTCCAGATGAGTCCAGGGTTTGTTGAGTAGCATAGCAACTCGAACAAGCAAATCGGCGAACGCCAGTGTACTTTGGGTTTGTTGAGTCCATAGTGCACCCGATGTTGTGAGCAATGTGTTATCGTTGGGGCTGACCCCGATGATCAAAGACGTCATTAGCGGGTTCGTGGGCATATCGGTGTCCGAGGGAGCAAGATATAGTTGAGTGAGATACTCAGCAATAGGTGCAATGGACTTGGTGAGCTTGGTGGACAGCTTTGGTGCATCGTCTACGCTGTATGCAAGACTCAATATTGTGGTAAAAACTTCACAAATGGCAATGTTGATCTCGGCGCGATGGTCGGGCTGTGTGTACTTCCAGCTCAGGGAGCTCTCGTATATGCTGGCGAGTGTTCGACCGAATGTGAACAAAATGGTGCTCATGACCTTGTCCGAAGTGCCGCTTTCAGCGGGAGCAGATGCATTGAACCGACTGAGTGCCTTTGTGGGAACTTTGCGGGACACAGATCGTTCGACAGCATCCCTGACGAGCCCCTTGTAGAGTCGGATGCATCCAAGGAGGAAGTCGTATCGCCCAAGAACCATTTCAGTGCCGATTAAAATGGTTGCCAAGCTTCCGTTGCCATCACCCTCCAACAATCTACTCCTCGCAAGCCATGGCCACACTCTCTGTGGGGAGACAATGATCAAGGCTTCCAAGAAATGGGTGCAGTTGACCAGTAGCTCCAAAGATGCTTCGTTGCTTGGTTCCTGGCAGAGGTAGAGGAGCTCTTCTTCGAGGATTGCGAGCACAATGTTCACAGTGTCCAGACTGCTCTCAGCCCCGATGCCGAGTGCCTCTAAAAGCTCAGGCGAGCAGATACCTTCGGACGAGTGCAAAGATGAGTGTATCAGGTCGGCGAAAAGCCCAATGACTTCAACGACACTTTCACGAGACGCGGGTTGCTGAGTAGCAGTTTCGACTTTGCTGCTTCCTACGGGATATGTTGAGAGTAGTTCGACGAGGTATGACAAGGTGGAATGTTGATGATGCCAGACTGCCACATATGGCTGAGAGTTGTCGTCGACTATGATGCCCTCTGTGCCAGCCGGGATGGTAGAAAAGCCATCCGCCTGTGTCGAAGTGCCCGAGGCCATTAAGCGACGTTGGCCGCGGAAGACTGATGAACCTGCAGAAGAGAATAGGGGAAGATCAGCTGTAAGCTCAACCCAATTGGCGTTCTCCTCCTCGCGCGTCAACTGGTAATCGCGGAAGCCGTCTGGAAGTCGTTGCATTAATCGATTATGGTTCGCCAGCTTGTCAATGAATGAAGGCATTCCGTTCTGCATCGTCCTGTCTCCACGAGTCAAAGCGCTGCAAAACTTCAAGAACGGTGTCATCTCGTAGGGATAGCGTAGGCGGGCTTCGTTCAGCAGGAGCGGTCTCAGAACATATTCGTCCTCCAGGAAGTATGCAACAATCGGATCAGCGTGACGGGCCAACTCTCCATTCTCCCACCTGCGGAACGTATTGTCGCCAGCCAGAATAGTGTAGGTAGTGACAATGAGGTCTGGACTGTACGCAACAATGTCGCTCCCAACGGCAGCGCGGACAAGGTGAAGGAATAGCAGCCGAACCCGGTCTTGCGATATCCGATCGATGGATGTCCCGAATGCGGGGAGACAAGTTTCGACGAGTTGGTTGATGATAGCTAGAACACCTACTGCTGAACTAGCGGTCGCCAGCTCCTCATATGGCATCTTCCCGTCGAATAGCTCATGGCTCTCAAGTTTTGAGATAACCAAAGCCGCCTCCTCGAGCGATGAGGGTTCCGGCTCTGTGTTTCCCGGAGCGTTTGATGCTTCAAGGAGGCGCTCGCGTTCTTGCTCCTCGTAGGTTGCGCGGCTCGTGAGCTTCCACGTGATGATGGCCCAGGCGAACATGGGCGGTGTGGCAGGACTAGCACCCAGTATCTTTGCTTCCCCAAATATGGTGGTGATGCTCTCCACTACGGTAGTGTTCAAAATGTACGACGAAGAGTGCCAGGTGTTGCAGTCGCCAGACTCGAGATCGTCCATGATCCTATCTACCTTCAAGATGGTCAGGGACATGAGTGAAGTCAGGAGTTGTATGACCGGGATGAGAGGCTCCTGGCGGACTGTGACTGCGGGGAACTCGCGGAAGAAGCTGCGGAAACTGAATGCCTTGAGCCAGTCTTCGATGGTGGCCGCCGGGAGAAAGTCTTTGGCGACCAGGTCGGCATGTACCAGGGCCAAATGAAGAATGTGCAGCAACTCGGTGGTTTGAGCGACAACCCACTTCTCGGATGCGGCTTCCAGTATCGAATCGTCGACATTCCATGCATAGCCAGTATCGAGAGCGTCGCATCTCTTTGTAAAGGCCTTCAGGCACTCATCTAGCGCTTTGCCGCCCGCAGGCCCGTCCTGCGCCGCAGCGATAGTCTGACCAAGCTCTTCGATCCATCCGGCACCAATGCTGAGGTACTCGGTCCCGTATATGGTTTGGTTGCGCAGACTGGAGGCGCAGCCCCACGAGACAAGCAGCTGGCTTATGCGTATGATGGAGGCGCACGCCGAGTGGTAGACATCGAGGATATGCAGGCGGCGCTGGTTCTTGTTGTCGAGATGGGCGGTTCGCGAGGCGAGCGGTGTTGCGAGGATGGACGAGTTGGGGACGAAGGTAGAGGCGCCCAGGTTGGCGATTCCGGCAGCATCTTGCACGCTGAGCGTCTCCTCCTCAGTCAAGCCACTCAGCAGCTGAGCCGCGGGCCTGCCTTGCCATTCCTGCACCACGAGCTGCAAGGCTGCGTACTCGGATATTTGCGCCTCTTTTGAGAGCCACAGGCTGTCTTCCTTGATCTCCTCTACGTCATAGTGCTCGCTCTGGGCCGGCGTGACGCTGATGGGCGCCGTCTTGGTTTCGAACTTTGTCTTTTCCTGCGACGATGGGTCTGCGAAGGGCGTCCATGGATGGCTAAGGGTGTCGACGTTTTCCTTGGCGGTGAGAAAGGCGCGTAGGGCGTCGCTCTTGGACGCGGTTTCGGGGTCGCAGAGGGCGCGATATGCGACGTCCCAGGTGCTGGAGGAGCATGTTAAAATGTTGGTGGTGGGTGTATCGGAGGCGGTAAACATACACGAGCTGCTGCTCGCCCTTGAGGCACTTGCCCAGGTCGAAGTCGGGCGATTGGAGGGGGGGCATGGCTGCGCTTGGGTGCGCGACGTGTAGGCCAGCTAGCCAAAGGCCATGAAGGGGCTGTCGAGGCGCGGGAGGGCAATGGCCGATTGTTTGGCGTGAAGGTCTCGGAAAGTCGCCAAAGCCAGAGCTCACGCGAAAGTCGGGCTAGCACGTGCAGGGATCCGCGCAAGGCATCTTTGCCAGCCAACTTTGCTAGCCGGCTGCCTTTGTGTCTCCAGACGCAGCGACCAGCAATGCCATGCAATCTCAGCGCGCGGACACGCTGCGACGCCATGCCTAGCAATGCGATGCCATCTGATCTCGATATCAGCTATCAGCAGCGCGTCGTCGTGGCGGCCGCACGCTGCACGGCATGCCTGTGCCTGCACCTCCGCGTTAACTCCGCAGCCTCAATATCTGAATAGTGCCATCCCGCCTTGACTCACCCCACCACGTCGCCCCGACTATTCACTCTTTTTCCACCGAACCCGCCGGTGAACAGCACCTTATCCTGCCCTGATTACGTCTCGAAGCCCCGCTTGGCTCCAGATACCGCGCCGGCAAAGCACCGAGCTTCAGCACCGCAGTGGCGGGAAGCTACTATATTATACATAACACATCGCCCCAGGTGCCTTCGCACAGTCAGCTTACCACTTGCTCCAACATGCCGTCCCTCGAATTGATCGACCACTCGCCTCGCAATCCCACCCCCTCCCCGCCCATACCCACCGCCTCCAACGTGGTGCTCATTGACAACTACGACTCGTTTACCTGGAACGTGTACCAGTACCTTGTCTTCGAAGGCGCTGTTGTCACGGTGTATCGCAACGACGAAATCACTCTTGAGGAGCTCATTGCAAAGAAACCTACACAGCTGGTCATCAGCCCTGGCCCTGGACACCCAGAGAAGGATGCCGGGATTAGCAATGCTGCCATTAAGCACTTTAGTGGCAAAATCCCCATAATGGGCGTGTGCATGGGAGAGTGAGTTTCCACCGCTACCTTTTCAACCCCTCATGGTCGTTGTTGGCTTTCATTCTCTGGTATCTTTCCAGTGCCGCCAATGTAGACTCTTGCAAAGGCCCGCACAAAATATATGGTGCACTATTAACAATCCGCAGGCAATGCATCTTCTACAGTTATGGAGGCACAGTAGACGTCACTGGTCAGATTCTCCACGGGAAAACATCACCTCTCAAGCACGACAGCAAGGGTGTGTTTGTGGGCGTGCCCCAGAACGTACCGGTGACGAGGTACCATTCTCTCGCTGGTACCCATGGCACGCTTCCAGACTGCCTCGAGATTACTGCAACCATACCCGCCAACCCAGACGCCGAGGTCAAGGAAGTCATCATGGGTGTTCGTCATAAAGAATATGTTTTGGAAGGTGTGCAGTTCCATCCAGAGAGCATTCTGACCGAGCACGGGCGTGTCATGATGAGAAACTTTCTCAAGATGCAAGGAGGCACCTGGGCCGAGAACGAGCGACTACAGAAAGAAGTTGGGGCTGCTTCTGGCGGCGCAAAGAAGGGCAAGCAGACGTCCATCCTGGAGAAGATTTACGATCACCGCAGGGCAGCCGTTGCTGTGCAGAGGGAGATTCCCTCTCAAAGATTTAGTGACTTGCAGGCTGCATATGATCTCAATTTGGCCCCGCCTCAGATCAACTTTCCGGAGCGTCTCAGGCAATCTCCCTATCGGCTTTCGCTCATGTCCGAAATCAAGCGTGCATCGCCTTCCAAGGGCATCATTTCCCTGTCGGCATGTGCACCTGCTCAAGCGAGACTCTATGCCAAGGCTGGTGCCAGCACTATTTCCGTGCTCACAGAACCAGAGTGGTTCAAAGGCAGCATCGACGACTTGAGGGCCGTCCGGCAAAGTATTGAAGGAATGCCAAACCGACCTGCTGTGTTACGCAAGGAATTCATCTTCGACGAATATCAGATCCTCGAGGCCAGGCTTGCAGGTGCCGATACTGTCTTGTTGATTGTCAAGATGCTGGAAGAGCCAGTCCTGAAGAGACTCTATGACTATTCCAGGTCGCTTGGAATGGAGCCTTTGGTTGAGGTCCAGAATGCCGAAGAGACCGAGATTGCGGTCAAGCTTGGCGCGCAGGTCATTGGCGTAAACAACCGAAACCTGGTAAACTTTGAAGTTGACATGGAAACAACGAGCCGCCTGATCAACATGGTGCCAAAAGAAACAATTTTGTGCGCCCTGAGCGGCATCGCTGGTCCAAAGGATGTCGAGCCATACATCAAGGGTGGCGTTGGTGCAGTGTTGGTTGGAGAGGCTCTTATGCGCGCGTCAGACACTGCACAATTCATCTCAGAGCTCCTAGGTGGGACAATTGCAAAGGAAAGCCGAACATCATCTCCTCTCATGGTCAAGATCTGTGGCACACGAAGTGCAGAGGCTGCCAAAGCTGCGGTCGAGGCGGGAGCCGACCTTATCGGCATGATACTCGCTCCTGGGCTCAGGCGCACAGTGTCAACGGAAACAGCCCTTGCCATTTCGGAAGCTGTACATACAACCAAGAGGCCAACTGGCTCGAAATCGGGACTACTGGCTGACTCGAAGACCGCGTCCGACTTCTTTGAGCACGGTGCATCGCGACTTGTTTCGGATGGTTCTCGCGCACTCCTCGTGGGAGTTTTCCGGAATCAGTCGCTGGAGTATGTGCTTGAGCAGCAGCGACTGTTCAACCTAGATGTTGTGCAGTACCACGGCGAACAGCCAGTGGAGTGGGCAAAGCTTGTGCCTGTACCTGTTATCAAGGCCTTCCACCCGCATGACCATGGCATTGGTGTCAGAGGGTACCACGCCCTACCGCTGTTGGATACAGGGTTAGGAGGCTCTGGTCAGCAACTTGATTTATCAGACGTCAAGGCAGTACTGGCAAAGGACAATGGCATCAAGGTCATCCTGGCTGGAGGCTTGAACCCAGACAACGTGCAGACGGTGCTCGCGGGGCTTGATGAGTACCGAGATCGCATTCAGGCAGTCGACGTTAGCGGCGGTGTGGAGGAGGATGGCCAACAAAGCTTGGATAAGATACGTGCGTTTGTAAAGGCAGCTAAGGGCCTGCAGTAGACGTGTCGAGCTAAGCGGAATATCTAACAGGTTATCGTTCGGACTAAATATCTTGCCAAGTGCCCATTAAACATCCATGGATAACGTCTTTGGCTAGTTCCCGTCATCCGTTCGTCTACACTGTCCATGTGTCTAACATACCAGTAATGCCAGACCCGATACATGCCACTGTCTTTCGTGGATAAGGCGGTCTGGGAGCGTAACTTGCACGGTTGGCTGGTTCTTTTACTTCATGATGGCAGCGCCACCGTACAGACAAAGACACTATTACTTTAAGCGCTGGCAACCACCAAAAAGTAAGACAAGTCGTAGCAACGACGAAACCAAATCCAAGACTTATTTATACTGGCTTTATCCCCACTATCAAAAGCAGCCACCAGACCAACAGTGCCTCAACACTCCAGCAATCCAGTCCCATGCAGTCGACCTAACCATCCATTTTTAGCAATGGGCATCCTCAACAACCTCGTCATCGCCACCAGCGGCACCCTCCCGCACGACCCCAAGCAGATCCGCTCGTGGATCGAGCGAAACGGCGGGCGCTTCTCCCCGAGCGTCACCCAAGCAGTCACACACATGATTGCCAGCAAAGCAGCCTACAAGCAGCCCACGCCCGCCGTCCAGCAAGCAGCCGACCTCGACATCCCCATTGTGAGCTACGACTGGTTCGACGACTCGCTGCAGGCGCGGCGCAAGCTCGGCGCCAAAAAGTATCTGTGGTCTACGATTCGCAGCGAGAAACGTACGAGGAGAGAACTCAAGCGGCGCGGGGCCGAGTTTGACGGTAAGAAGTTTAGAGAGGGGTGTGCGCGGATTAGGGAATTGACAAAGTCAGGTACGTTGGAAAGTAGTGCTGGTGCTGGTGTCGGTGGTGTAGCTGTTGTTGCGAGCAAGCCCAGAAAGAGTAGGAGTTTCTTCTTCTCCTCTGCGGATTCTGCGCTGAGTATTGCTGCTGCTACTCCTTCGCATACGACGCCTTTTGTCTCGGCGAAGCAGGATCTCCTGCGGAGACGGGCGGAGAGAGACGCAGCAGCTACGCAGGGCCGGAAAGCCGGGCATCATGGTAGCTCAAATGCAACCACTATTTGCAGCTCGTCTGCTGCAACGACGGCGTCTGAGAAACACGCGTCGTCTCCTTCTGCGCTGGGCAATCCTACATATGGTATAAGAGCACAAGCTAAGACTGCCCATTGGAAAGACGAGTACCACTACTACCAGGACGTGACTGGTTTCGAATACAAAATCGTCCTCGTGCGCACCGACTACTCGAGTAATTCCTTTGCGCAGTATCACGTTGGGTTGCTGGAGAGCCACGCGAAACCACATACGTATTGGGCGATTGCGCAGTTCAAGCCTGCCAAAGCTGCGCCGCCGGCCTCGAACGAGGACGAGGAGGGCATCAAGACAGTGACCTTGAGCAACGTAAACGAAGACGGTAGCAGCAATGCTCCTCACCCAGAAGCCACTCGCCTCACCTCGCTCGTTACCAAGCCCGCGCCCACGCCAGAAGCCCCATACATGGGTGAACTCTGCCCGCGAAACAGCAGCTTTGCCGCGGCCTCGAGAGCCTTCCGCCACGCCTTCCGCGACCTTACGCTACTATCGTGGGAAGAGCGCTTTGCTGACGTGGACAAGACGCTGCAGAAAGCACGCGCACAGCATCTCAACATCGAGCCGTTTCTGTACAGCAGACCCAAACCCGGTATGCCGATGGGGCTTTTGCCGCAGGCCGCAGGCATGTTTGTGGGGGAAGCCAGTGGGCTCGAAGCCAGAGGCGATATCGAGGATGGCTATTTCAGGGGCGTGTCTGGGTTACCGGGGATAGAGGCACCTTTGAGTGTGAATGGGACGATTGGGCATTTGTTGGAGAGGGAGAGGCAGGAGAGAGAGAAACAGGAGGAAGAGGAGCGGAAGAGGCTGAAAGGGAAAGGGAGGGGCAAGACTGGGGAGAGGTGGTTATATGGGTGATGGACTGATGGGATGGCTGAACTGAGGATTTGGGCGAAGGATGTTACTCGGTATATGGGATGCGAGGAAAGCCATTGCATACAATTAGGAAGGGTGCTCAACCGGGGTTTGGCCGGTGAGGTGAGAACTACATGAGCCGGAAACCATGTTCTCTATTTGTTCATGGTTTCTGCTGATTTGTGAGCAGTTCGGCAACTCGAAACTCTTTTTTTTTAGTTTTGCTCTCCAAAGTTTCCAGATGCTTGCTAGATTCGGAGTTGACAGGGCCAAGACGTCACGCCGCTGGGTTGGGTACTTCGATTGTGGAATTTCCCAGTTTTCAACTGGATGGGGCTTTATTTTCCTGTATGTATATATGCGGCGGGTTCCTGTCTTTGGCACTTTTAGTTACGTCATTTCTTGAATGGTTCGTCTTTGCCGCTACCACTACCACTACCGCTACTTTGTTCTTTTGGGCGAACGAGAAGAAAAGAAAACAAGGAAAAGAAAGGAGCTAGTGACTAGAGCACACTGGATAGTCGCTCCTCACGGTACCTGATCCGGCGTGCCGGGTTTGCCAAGCGCATAATTGCAGAATGCCTTGTGCAGGATTTGGGGCGCATGCTGCTCAAGATGGTGGTTGCATACGGGGCGAGGTCGTTGAGCGGAAAAGGCAATGCGTAGAAACAAGCTACCTTGTCACGTGGACTGCATCCGCGACATGGTATCCGGGACAGCGTGGGACTACGGCGAGCGTGGAAGGGCGAGATTTCCAGTCAGTCCGCGGGTGGGTGAATGTATGACATAGTGAGAAGGATGAACAAGCACAAGTGCAAGTGCAAGTCGCGGCGAGGTGCGGATCAGGGTCTCGTGACTGAGTGTCAGGATTACGTCACGGGCCAGGGCCTTGGCGTCTCGGCACAGGACGGATGCGTGCAGCAAACATCACGGACACGAACACTGAGGATGGCCGTCTGTTATGTTATGGCAGAAAGACTAATTGGCGATGCGCGTCGCCGCACAAAGCGTATCAGCATGCCGTGTCTCGGTAAAGCGCATGTGCATGCTCCGTCACGATCAGCCAGATGTTGCTAGCCGCAAAAGGCTGAGTTGCGAGAGACATGGGTCGGGCGCTGGCCCGTCCGGGTCTCATTGGTGACGTGAGGCCTTCGCGGCTCGGAAGCCTGGGCTTGTTCAACAGGGTCTTGCAGCCATGCAATTTCCCTTCTCCACCCACCTCAAAACAAGGTCGCGACGAGCTCCAGAGAATTGCTATTGCGCGCGCTCCGAACTGCTTGACCAGGTCGCAGCCAAAGCCCCAGCTGCTAGCCTCGGCTTTTGGAAGAATTGCATCGCAGCCAAGCTCCCGCGCCGTCAGCGCATTGTTTCCGTAGCTTCCGCGGCTGCTCTCCAAGCTCCACTACGGCAGCCCGAAACCATCGCTCCTCCACTACTCAGCTATCCCAGCACATCTCCGACATGTCACAGAATTACCAGCAATACGGCGGAAACCCCTACGGTCAGGCCGAGGAGGGATACGGCGCGCAGTCCAACCCGTACGGTGGTGGCGGCGCCGGCTATGGCTCGTCCAATCCGTATGGCGGAGGTGTAAGCAGTTGCCTTGCCGTCGATAGCTTCATGAGACTGATGCGACAGCGCAGTATGACGAGCAGCAGCAGCAGCAGCCGCAGCCGCAGCCGCACCTCAATCCCCCGGCGCCGCTCCAGCGCCATGGCGAGTCCAACTATTCGCAGCCGTCGCAATACTCGCAAGGTGGCGCCTTGAGCACTACCAACTCGCATGCGCAAAATGTCCCTCACACCGATGTGCCCATGAACAGCTTGCCGGCACAGGACAACGCGAACCCAGGCCTGGAGGCGCCCGGGCCCAAGCCTCTTAGCCGAGAGGACTTCTTCGCGCGCATTGAGGGCACCAAGCAGCGCATCGGCCAGCTGACGGCGGATATCCAGGCCATTGCCAACGTTCACCAGCGCATGCTCTCGTCGCCCGACAACCGCTCCAGCGCCGAACTCGAGAGCATCGTCACCAACACGCAGATCAGGAACACGCAAATCAAGGACGAGATCAAGTTTCTGGAAAGAGATGCCGCGCGTGACCCCAATGACAGGACAAAGAGGTCTCAGGTTGAGGCGCTCAAGCGGACGTTCAAGAGCCAGCTCGAAGACTTCCAGCGCGAGGAGGCCGACTACTCCAAGAGGTACCGTGAGGCGATTGGGCGGCAGTACCGCATCATCAACCCGGATGCTACGGATGCCGAGGTTGAAGAAGTCGCAAATGCAGACCTGGGCGATGAGGGTATTTTCACGCAAGCCGTACGTGTAGACGAAGATGCGCATTGAAACAAACATGACTGACAGGCCCGTAGCTCAAGTCGAACCGCAGCGGCCAAGCAGCCAGCGTTCTCGGCGCCGTGCGCGCACGTCACAACGACATTCAGCGCATTGAAAAGACAATGAGCGAGCTTGCTCTGCTCTTCACGCAGCTCAATGAGCAAGTCATGTACCAGGAACCGCAAATACAGCAAACGGAGCAGCAGACTGTCCAGGTCCGAGACGACACGGAGAATGCCAACAAGCAGCTGGACGAGGGCATCAAGTCGGCGAGGCGCGCAAGAAAACTGAAATGGTGGATCTTGCTGACGGTCGTGGCCATTCTCTGCGTCATCGCCCTGGTACTGGGACTGTACTTTGGGCTGAAGAACAACTAGGTCGTGGGCGGTGGAGTAATGATGTGTATGGCTGGCTACCATGTAATGGCTGTGATGCAGGGCGGGTATGATGCGAACACGGATATGTATATGGGAAAAGGTAATGTCTCGTCATGTGTTGAAGTGTTTTTTCTTCTTCTTCTTCTTCTTCTTCTTCTTCTTCTTCTTCTTCTTAGCAGGAGTAGTAATCCGGGGTTGCTCACGTGGCAGCAACCAATGTGTATATGGGACGTGGGCAGAAGGATGCAGACTAGCGTTGAAATCTTGGCAGAATGCAGTAGCTCGTAAACAAGCCTTTTAGCCCAGGTTGGGGGCGATCCAGGATGTCGTAATGCGCTCGCTAGCAGGGCCTGGACTGGCCATGTACATGTAAGTACGAGGCGCTGTCGATAGACCAACACGTCGTGTGCAGCTACAGTAGGGTAGCAGTAGCCAGATGCAAGCCTCAAACTGCTCACTCATGGCGCGCTTTCGTGCTCCGCTATTGGCAAGCGCCTATGTAGGCAGTGCAGGGAGGCCGGGGGAAGTGATACGGGCGCATATCTCAGCACCCAGTAAAGTTACCGTTACAGTTGGCGAAGGACCGATTGGCGTCTGTGGTGTCGGCATGTGGCACGCACCCTTGGGTGGAATCGCCACGGCGGATGGCGCAGGCGCAGTCACAGTCGTATGGCTGGCGCATAGCAGAAGGCATGTCGTCATGCCGTCATGTCGCCCAATCTCAGAGTCTGCCCGTCGAGCGTGCGCTAATTTCGGCAGGGTGACGGCGATGGGGACGGAGCGGGACCACGACGGAGGCGTGATTCGGATCGTCGCTGCAGACCGGTGGGCGGGCAGCGGGAGCAGCCAAAGCAGCGAGGGATGGGCAGGCCGACGCGTGTCGCAGCGAGCGGAACGGGTGTGTCGGTGTCGTGGGCGTGTCGTGTGGTGTGGCATGGGGGGCAGTTGATCCAAGGCGGCGGCGGCGTGTCTTGGAAGAGCTTGCCGGGGCGCCTGGCCAACGCTTGTGTGGGCCTTGGCGCCTTACTCAGGGGTTGGCGTCTTCGCTGCCTCTGATCCGCCGCCCCAGCCGCCAATCAGCGCCCCAGGCCCGGCCTGCCTCCAAATTTGGACGCGTCGCCTCCCTGGGGCTCCCCCCAGCCCTAGCCTGTTTCCGATGCCCTCATTTTTCCCTTGATAATCAGCCCTCCCGGCATGCTCCTTCACTCTCGTCCGCCGCGCCTGTTGCTTCTTCTGCCTCACCTTTTGTTGCCCTTTGCCCTAATCCCATCGCAACTTCGTACGCTCGTTTCAACGGGAGTTGCTGCTTCCTTGCTGGCCCGCACTCTTCTCCCTGCACTCGTTTGCCTCCCTCTTGACTTGACCACACCCCCCCAAAAAACCCTCAGCTGTAATTCTTCTCGCTTCCCACGCACAACTCGCTCGCCATGAAGACCCACGTCCTTGTTGCCGCCATGGCCGCCTCTGCTGCCGCCTCGCCCTCGCCCGTCCAGAAGCGCGCCATCACCCCCATCACTGTCAAGGGCAATGGTACGTTTCCCCCCGTTGGCCATTGACAAACGCAGTCGCAGTTACTGACCGGCTCCAGCTTTCTGGGCTGGCAATGAGCGCTTCTACGTCCGCGGTGTTGACTACCAGCCCGGCGGTTCCGCCAAAGCCGCCGACCCCATTGCCGACGCAGATGGTTGCAAGCGCGACATTGCAGAGTTCAAGAAGCTCGGCATCAACACCGTCCGTGTCTACACGGTGGACAACAGTGCTAACCACGACACGTGCATGGGTCTCCTCGCCGACGCTGGTATCTACCTGGCTCTCGACGTCAACACGCCCAAGTACTCGCTCAACCGTGCCCAGCCCCAGAAGTCGTACAACAAGGTCTACCTGCAGAGTCTCTTCGCCACCGTCGAGATGTTCGCCAAGTACGACAACACCCTGTTGTTCTTCTCGGGTAACGAGGTCATCAACGACGACAAGACGACCGACTGTGCTCCCTATGTCAAGGCTGTCACTCGTGACCTCAAGTCTTACATCAACGCCCGTGGCCTTCGCCAGATCCCCGTCGGTTACTCTGCTGCCGATGTCGAGTCTAACCGCTACGAGATGGCCGCCTACATGAACTGCGGTGACAACTCTACCCGCAGTGACTTCTTCGCCTTCAACGACTACTCGTGGTGTGACCCCTCTTCTTTCACCACTTCCGGTTGGGACAACAAGGTCAAGAAGTTCTCCAACTACAGCCTCCCCATTTTGTAAGTCTCGGGTGCATCTAAATACCCCCCACGCCCCCACACTAACGCTTCGCAGCCTGTCTGAGTTTGGTTGCAACACCAACAAGCGTACTTTTGAGGAAATCAAGACCCTCTACAGCAGCCAGATGACTTCGGTCTACAGCGGTGGTCTCGTCTACGAGTACTCGCAGGAAAGCTCAAACTACGGCCTTGTCGAGATTGACAACGGCCAGGTCAAGGAGCTCGCCGACTTCCAGGCCCTCAAGAGCGCCTACTCCGGCACCCCCTCTCCCCAGGGCGACGGCGGCTACCGCGCCTCCGGCTCGCCTTCTGAGTGCCCCACGCAGTCCAGCACCTGGGACGTCACCCTCAAGGCCGACCAGCTTCCTGCCATTCCTTCCGGTGCCTCTGACTACTTCAAGAACGGTGCCGGCAAGGGCCCTGGTCTCACCGGTGACGGTTCCCAGGAGGCCGGTTCGTCCGAGTCCAACATTGCCGACGCTGGTAACGGTGCCGTCACCACTGGTGGTGTAAGCCCCAGCGGCACCAGCACCCCCAAGAAGGGCGCTGCTTCGTCTGTCCGCCCCATGGACTTTAGCCTTGCTCCTCTGGTCGCTGGTGCCGTTGTCCTCGCTTCCTCGCTCTTCGGCGGTGCTCTTATCCTGTAAGATAGGCCTCGTTAATCCAGGATTCGTGTGTGTGTGTGTGTAGTGCCTCTTTCTATTCCCCTCCCTCCCTTTTCCTCCACTTCCAACAACATCTGAGCCCATCGGGGGGTCATCCCCGTAAAGACGGTGGTCTCGCATCACTGTTCATGCAACGACCCAGTGCGGGCAACGTTCGATCTGGGATTAGACACACGGACTACTTGTTTCTTGCTTTCTTTCTTTCTTTTCTGTCAAAACCATGTTCGGTCTAAAGCGAGGCAAAATCTTTTTCTACTTTTTTTTGTTAAACCCCAAGCTAGATACTAGTTAGAGAGAGTTTTATACATACGCTTGCCCGAGAGAGAGACAGACAAGGGGCGAGAAATTTTGATTGGCGAAAACTTCTTCTTCTTCTTTTTTGTCTTTTCTCTTTCAAGAAAGAATAACGTGCTTGTTCCGCCCTTCACACACACATCCTTAACCTAACCTAACCTAACCCAAGTACCCGTGATTTATTGCTTCTTCTTCTTCTTCTTCTTTTTTTTTTGCATCATGTCTTTCTTTCACTTTGTCGAGTTTTATTCCCGCACTTTTTGTCATGGCAAGAAAATATAAGAGCAATAGTCTAGAGAGAGAGAGAGAGAGAGAAAGAAAAAAAAATGGATAAAATTTGAATTTGACTATGATGGTGATGATAATGATGGTGAACGTGAGGTTATTTTATTGTTGTTGATGTTGTTGTGGTTGTTGTTGTTGCTGCTGGGTGTATACTTTGGTGAGTGTAGTTGGCACGTGGCTATACAATGTTAATCAAAAAAGCAATGGAAAAAGAACAGCGGGCACCAGGCACTTCACATCACAGACGATAGACACATGTTTATCCACACTAACATAACCATTGATTGCATCTATCAGATTTCAAACACACCACCCATGCCAACGCGCACATCAACAAGGTCTGGTCTCCACCCCTTGAACTGCACCAGCCCCCTCTTGACCTCGCGCACTCTCTCGAGCCTGTTCTTCGCCTCCTCTTCCTGCGCCCGTCTAAACGCATCCTCGTCAATCTCAAACTCGTCAAGACTGCCGAGGCTCTCTTGTCTTGGCTTGGGCTTGTTGGCCGCGTCGCTTCGTCTATGCGCAGGCGTCTGGCCAGTGAAGGCCGAAATGCCGGATTGGATCACGTCCTGGAACGACGAGTGCGTGCGGTTGGGTGGGTGTTGGCGGGACGGTGCTCCAGAAAGGTCAATGTCATCGAAGCTGTTGGGATTGTTGTAGGGGTCGGCTTGGTCGTCAATCGATGGTTGCATGTCGCGGCGGCGGTCGCGCCACACACCGCGGCGAAGCTCAAAGTTTTCTTCCTCGAGCTCGCGGACTTTGGCAAGGAGACGGTCACGCTCCTCATCCAAGAGCTCTTGCACGCTTGAATCTTCGATAGAGCCAAGATCAGCTTTTCGGCGACGCTGCTCTGCTTCTCTAAGACGTGCGTTTTCATTGCTGAGTCCTGTTATGCGGGTTCGCATCTCGGTAGCTTCGCGCTCAATCTTCTTGTGTTCCTGCAGGCGCGCCTGGTTCCTCGCGTCATTGTCGCGATGTAGCTGTGTTAAAGTCTCAATCTTCTTCTCCAGCAACTCAGCCCGAGAGACCGAGTCTGATGCCTTGCGATTGGCAGTGCCCAGCTCAGCCTCTAGTTGCGCAATGCGAGTCTGCGCAGAGTCACGGTCTGATCCATCCTTTTCTGCCTGATCGCCAGCCTTGTCCAAACTGGCCTTGAGCTCCTGCAGCTCAGTTTTTGTCGAGCTAGCCTCCTGCTCTGCCTTTTCCACTGCACTTTCCAGGCTTGTAATCTTTGACTGAAGCTCGTTGTTCTTGTTTGTTTGTTCCGACAATTGTCTGTTGAGATTTGAAATCTCTAGCTCAAGCGATTCAATGGTTGCAGACTTTGACGCAACTTGCGCATTCAGGTCGTCAATGGATGCGCTCTGACTCGGGGACGCAGTCGAAGTGCGGCGTATGGATTTGTTGCTTTGCGATTGCGCCTGTGAGAGTTGTCTTTTGAGTGATTCGACTTCTTCTTTCTGCACCAGAGGTCAGCGGCTTGTCCGGAAACTTGCACGAGCCATGAGCACTTACCAATTTGTCGGCCTCCTTGCCTTTCTCAACCGCTAGAGCGACATCTTCCCTGCTTTCTCGAAGCTCTTCCAGCTCTTCTTCGCCCTTCTTCCACCTGTTTGCATTCTCCTCTACTTCACTTGCTAACCTCTTATTTTCCTTCTCCAACTCTTCAATCCTCTGTGCTTGTTCTCGGTAGACTTCACTCGTGACCCCGACGCCCGGCGACAAAGGACTATTAGCAGCTCCTGAGCGGTAGAATGATTCTGATCTTTGTCGCGACTCGACGGCAACCGAGAGTTTACGACCATGCGATTGTTTGGGCACATTCAACTCTGAGGGCTCCTCGTCTTCCTCGTCTTCCTCAGCTGGGGGTGGCGGTACACTGGTGGCCTCTATAGGTTCAGGTGCGACTTGTTCGGACTTGTCGTCGGTACTCGTTGCTTCGGTCGTCTCGGTCGTTGCTTCGGTCGACGCCTCGGCTTCAGCGGGAGCCTCAGTCTTTTCCTCTTTCTTCTTTCCGCCTTTCTTCGCTTTCTGTTTCTTTAATTGTTCATACTATTACGTATGGTTAGCCATTATGTTTCTTAAGTCATAGTTGGAGTCAGTCGCTGCAAGAGCATGAAACCGCGTTTACAAGTTGTGACCATGATGATCCACTACCAAGTGTAACAATTAGCAGGGAGGGATACATACGCGTTTCTTGGCTGCCGCAATCTTCTCCGCCTTCTCTTTGTCTTCGTCAGCCATGTTGTGCTAGGTTTGAAATCCTTGGTTCAGCGATTGGTGAGTAGTCGCGTAGCTGAATGTGGGGGAGGCTTGCTCCAGGGCTCGATGATGCCAACTTGCGCCGCAGATTGCGCTAGCACGTATATAGACTAGTGGCACAACCCATGAACAGCCACTCTATCGCATTCACCATATGGTTGGATAAACGAAGAGGTTTAGGGTTTTCGTGTGAATCAGAAAAGAGGCCAACAAAGCAGCTTGCTCTCTTCAATTCATGTCTGTGCGATAGAAGTATCTGTGACTACATTATCATATGTACAAAGATAGAGTCAATCAGTTGTTTAAGACGTGTATCTCATATTCGAAAGATCTCAGATTTCTTTCTACAAAATAGTTCGCTGGGTTAGAGGGAAGCGCTGCAATTGAAGGTAAAGAATTGCCGTCACTACTTCGTATATCTTTCTTTCATTCGTTAATACCATCTGCAACAACTTAGATCCTACAGCAATCTACTCAACAACAGCAATCATGTCAAACAGGCATCCCAAACATGTGTCTATCAAATTCCTCACTATTCCCGCGGAGCATCCACGTCTATAAGAAGACGCCACCAGCGCACATTATTTGCAACATTGGAACAACAATTCCATGATATTAGCACGGTGATTAACTAGATTCCAATGCTATAATTAAGTTAACTAGTACTAGCCACAGACTTGAATAATTACATGCTGCTTGAGCCTGCTGAATAACAACAAATACGCTTATTCCTCCAATCCCTCCAAGTCACCCTGTACTGCCCGAAATATGTCCTTCATCTCCAAGTACAGCTTTGGATTTGGAAAACCCTCCATCTCTCATATGACCAGGAAACACCTTCCTGCGTAATCCATGAACGTAAGAAACATGCTGTGTGTAGTAAGTCGTAAATCTAGCTTTCAGCAGTCGCGAGGAAATCTGTTTTGTCAGAAAATCAGGTCTTTGTTGAGTAGTGCCAAGTCTCCACTCCACTGCTCTTCATAATTCCAATATTCAAATTGAGTTTGGTCCTTCTGTGGGGCGCAACAGTCGGTTTGTAAACGGGACTAACCAGCTCAGAATATCCTTTTTCTTTTGCACTTTCAGGCCAGCCCTGCTGGTCGCTCTCTTCTAGGAAGAGCGGGCTATCTCCTTTCTTGCACTTTTTTAAGAACGGTCTCTGGTGCTAGTCCAGGCCTGATCCATCTCTAAAGAACGCATTAAAAAAGCCAGGTACACCGACGTGTACATGTCCCAGCTCCTCCTTCAGCACATTGTCAATATATCTGCGGTACCCCGACGAGTTCGCGAAGCTGCTCGTATTGATAGCCATGGGTATTTGCGGTGAAGACAAAACGTGGCGAAGAGAAACGTGTGATGTAGGCGGCGATAGCAAGAGAAGGCTGCCGCTGGACACAATACCTAGGTATAAGCGTAGACCAAGCAGGTTTAGCACGACGTCGTCACGCTCACCAAGCATTATTTGCGCATTGATTGTATGTTTCCATGAGTGATTTCAAAGAGATGATGCAGCCAATATTAGGATGTTTGTCTTATGCAGCTCTAATGCGCTGGGAAATTCGCCGTGTTAGCACGTCGAAATCACTCATATCATCAAGTATACAATCCGACATACTCTTTCCCTCAGAGATATTGAAGATATTGCTCAACTCTTCAGTTTACATAGCAAGAGATATCAGTTAAAGAACATATTTTCACATTTCCAATATCTAAACATAGCACAAGCAGCTTCAAGATAACTACTTAGTCGACGGGCTCGGGAACTGTTTTACTTGCAACAAGCCTAGACACTGGGGTCATTCAAGAGCTGTTGCAACAGCTCACTTCGTCTACCCAGATCATAGAACTACCTACAAATGGTATCTCAATGCCTACTAGGAATCTATCAGGTGTGATTCACTATACACTATGAGCGACAGCATATTATCCAGCTTTCTCTCTATCCATATCGTCTCAGCCGTCCGCCCTTCCAGCATGCCATTCCATGGTGATTTCCCAGCAATCGGCTGATGAAACAAGTCACCATCATCAGAAGAAGAAGAATGATGTGTTTGGATGACGATACGACTTTTTTTTGCTTGAGAACTAGAAAGAGAGCTTAGAAAACGAACTTTGACTGCACCGACTCAAACATAACCAGCGTCGATATTTCTCACTGAAAAAAAAAGTAATCTAACTCTACCCATGGCTGAACGCGCACGCAAAATAGTCGAAGAGAAATATAATTCGTACTTAGCTATGTGTGTGTGTATACATGTATGCATCACTTCAACCGCACATTACTTAGTACTGATGAGAAAACAGCATCACCGTCAGCTTTTATCACGACCATGTTCCTACTACATACATCACAGCAGGAACCTTCGCATATCATGACCATACCATTTGAAGACAAGCACAAAGCCCTTGGAGAGAAGAGACGAAATCTGCTCCAACAACGACTTTCTCTCCCCCCCCCCCCTCTCTTTCACGCACGCATACTCAGCCCCCTCCCCCACCAAAACCAGCTTAAATAACAGCCAGCAAAGTTCCCAGGGGACCACCTACCTACCTACCTACCTACCCCTCAGTCCCCCCCCCCTCTCAGCCCCTCAACCCCTCACACCCCCCACCCCCTGGGCCCCCCCTCATCCCTTTGTCCCCCTCCCTCGTCTAGCACCACAGGCTAGACCCCACTTGAACGAGACTAATCGTCACAGCACAAGTGCAAGTGCAAGGCTGAACTGGCGCTTGGACGCGCGGCCCCCTCGAAGCCTCACACTAAGCAATAGGCTACTTACGCGCATAGTGTAGTAGTAGTAGATTAGTAGTATTGGTATTGGTAGTGGTACAGCGCAGTAAGCTTGGCACTACATACTCAGCGCTAGCACACTAGCATTAGTTGTTATTTTTCTGGGAACAAGAATGAGAACAGTACCGTTATTTTCCGCGAGTATTACCATACACTTACGCGAGGATGAGTATGGATCCGACAACGACTCCAAACAAAGGGATAAGTGCATAAACAGATTGATGGATACAATGTGTCGTTTTGACTAAACCCCCTGCGTGCAATGCTATATTCCAGTGTGATGTGATCTGCCGAATCTCAGATACCTTTATCCATCACACACACACACACACATATATACCCATGTGCTGCTAGCCCCCTTCACCCTACAGCCAGATTGTTGAGGCGTTACATGCAAGGATCATGTGGCCATGTATGTTGTAAGTTTTGCATGCATGTCAGTCAGCCAAAAAAGGTGCAAGTTGTCCGAAAAAACCTGAAACTGGCATAGTTTGTGAAGGGGAGGGATTAGAAGGATAGGGTTCCTAGGAATTTAATCAGTAACCCCCTTCCCTCCCCGACCCAAGTATTAAGTTTTATATATAGGGTTAAAGGGCAGAATAAGAAAAAGGGCGGCAAGTGTACCGATAGGTTTGTTTGGGAAATGTAAAAAAAAACGTAAGAAGATATGCATTGTTTCTTATTTGATTCCATTTTCTTTATTGGTTCCAAATCTTCGTAAAGCAGAAGAGAAGGCAGTTGCGGATCCGTGGTGAGTTGAGCGAGGCAACGCTATCAGTTTACCATCAGCTCACACTGGGCCTGGTTATCGGTAGCTTCGAACCAAAGGCAGCTACCGTGACAACGAATATGATAACAACGCCGCCGTCACTTCCACGGACGTCCTGTTCCAGGCTGACTGGCGCTGGCGGCCTGACTCGAGCCTTGATAGGCGCGCGAGCATGCAGCTGATGAACCCGGGAACGGGCGACAGATGATGCGTTAGCGCTTCCCGACATGGAGCTATGACTTGCTGCATATGCATGGCGTCTGTAAGTGTACTTGCTTGTGAGGTGACTCGCAGGCTGCCATGGCTAGGCCTGCACGGCAGTCAAGATACAGCAGTTGGTGGCGTTTCGCCTAGGCTCAGGAACGCGTCTCGTCTCATCTCGTCTCGAGCTGCTGATTTCTACCGAGCATGGAGCCAGTCTTGTGTTATGGACGTCAGCAAGGTTGTTGGTCGCAGCGCTGTCGTGAGTGACTTGATGGGAAGCGTGACAGCGACGTGCATAAACTTGCCGCGCTGCAACACTTGTCAAGCCTTGGAGTGACGATCAGGCGTCTTGCAGCTGTCGGGCCAATTGGCGGTGGTTATGCCGACATATCCATTGTTGGATATCGTCTTGTGGGTTGTTATCCACCATGACGTACAAATAAAGTTGCCTGTTGCGCAGTCGACAGAGTTGGCGCTACTGTACTTTTGCCACGCGGAGGTATGTAAACTCTGCTTCTACCGAGCATTCAAGGCTTTTGATGATGAGGTGCGATTGGCTTCGGCTATACTAGCCCAGCCATACGTTTATTCCTGGAGGCTTTGAGCGAGGTGGACTCACGCGACGGTCCCAAGGGACGCCTCGTTGGGTCTGTCGATCGAAGATTGTCGCGAGGGGCCAAGGGGCCCAATGACAGACGACGGCAAACCAACGTGAGAAATAGACTCGAGTTGGCGCGCACTAAACAAAAACGTCGATAATTGAGAGTCACCTACGTGTACACTTACTGCCTGGGGGTAGGACATGATGGGTCCGTATATGGTTGGGAAGTCTTTGCCCAACACGGAACCAGTGTACGTAATTGCGGGTTATCGATATGTCGTTACGTAGGGTAGGTCAATGTCAAAGTATGGTGCTGGCTGTGGGGAGCTATCCGAGGGTCTGGCCAGTATCCCCTTACGTAGGTGTACATGTAGGGTAGTGTATGAGCTCTAGTCATGGGCGCACGTTCGCTAGGGTATAGTGTAAGTGTAAGTGTACGAGGGATCGGGGGCTGCAAGGGGCCTCTGCAAAAATGTTGACGTGGTGCTTGGCTTGGCTGAGGTCTAGGGGATTCAGCTGTTGCCGCAGCGACAATCAGCCCATTGGGGCACTGAAGCCGTTGTCTCTGTGAGTCTGGAGCTGGCGGGCGATGGGGCGTGGTTTCAGGCGCGGTGGCTACATGTGGGGTAGAGCATCTGGTTCGTCCGGGGAAAAGATGGCCTAGGCCTGAAGCAGGTGAGCAGCAGGACGGAGCCAGCATAGGGCGACGAACCACGGGCGATCATGGGCATGGCACCTAGCCGAGTGGTTCCCAGGTTGACGAGGTGTTTTTTCTGTTGGGACGGAGCGTGCGGCTCTGCGGGCCTCGACAGCACAGGAGCGGTGCGGGCAGATGGTTGGCGGACGAGGGCATTGCAGCATTGGGAGTACAGCTCGGTGTAGTAGTATAGGCAGCGATTTGCTTGGTCGCGCAGATTGCGAGAGGCCGGCGGCGCAACGCAATCTCGCAGAATTTGCTCATTCGTAGTGCGACGGGCGCCGGAGCCATGACAGCGAAGGCGGCGGCGGCGAACAGGCTGGTGATGGGAAAGAAGGAAATAGGACAAAAGAAGAAGAAAAGCGAAAGCAGCAGCGCGCGCGGGGGGCTCGGATCGCAGGCGCGGCCGTGGGGGGCAGCCATGTGGACAGAGGGGAGGGTCAGGTGGCCGGGCAGGGAAGGCGCAGCGGTGGCTACGCGGCTGCCATTGGCCAGGCCGGCCACCCAGCCCGTGGCGCTTCCCCCTTTCGGCAAGCCGGCACAGCAAGAGGCGGAAATTGGCAATCTCGCTCGTCCTCAGGCATCCAAACAGCACGTGAAACGAAATTCGCAATTTGTAGCGTGTGCCAGTGTAGAAGAAGAGAGCAGATCTCTGTCTCAACGTATCGCCGCCCTGCCCACGACTGGCCGACTGTTGCCGCCCTGCCCGGCACGTTGGCCGGCGCGCGCGACGTTTTTTGTCCCCCCCCTGAGACAAGCACGAGCTGCGAGTTTGGTAGCGGAGGGCAGCTACTACCGACACCAAGTACCGTCGGCCGGCACGGCGTGAGAGGCTGGCTGACTGGATCAGGATGGATGGTGGGTGGATGGTGGTCTCTAGACGCGTCTGCGGCCGTGGCAGTGCACTGCTAAGCTCGCCCTACTTTTTGACTTTCAACACTGCCACTGCCACTGCCACTGCCACTGCCGGCAAAAAGCACGTTTGCGCGGCCGGGCGCTGACGTAGATCCATGGGGTGAGGAGTGAGCATTACGATGTGTACGTGGTGTTTGTGCTAATTGCTGCCACATGTTGGATGGCCTGGCAGCGAACGGCCCGTCATGTCACGTCGGCTAGGCCTATTCGGGCGGGCTGGCAACCGCCCGTCCGAGCGTGGCTTGGCAATGACTGCTTGCGTGCCAAAACGGCCGCACCGGGTGGAGCGCTCGAAATGAAGATGCACAAAATCCACGGGGCCATTCTCGGCCGCTTGCGTCGAGAATAGACAGACCCTGGAGATCATCCAGATGATGCAAAGAGCGGGCACGGGAGACATGGTACTCCATGTTCATGACGTCGGAGACCAGCAGTGGCAGCCAATTTGACAAGACACCAAACACGTCCCGAGCGCAGCACCAGTGCAAGCGAAGCCCCATGGCTACTCCCGCACGCAGGTGCGCAAACGGGCGCGGCCATTTGGGGAGTTATTGTAGACACGACAGAGTCGCCGCGCCCCAATGGCCATGCAGGGACGGGACCCTGTGTATGTGCGCAGGCGGCTAAGCATGAAAAAAAAAATTCGTACTTATGTAATTAATACTGGAAACATTGGAGCGGAGACAAACAGGGCCACGTATATAATATGGAGTGGTATGTAATAGGATGTATTAGGGTGTACCCACGAACGCCAGGTCGTGGTGCTTGGTGTGGGGGGGTGCGAGACACGGATGCGTGTCAGGCATGATGCGGCCATTTTCATGTACAGTAGGCTACGACTATGCGCGCGGCGGTGCTGCAGAGCGCGTATGTATATATGTGCGTGTGTGTGTGTGTGTGTATATACGCAGAGAGGCAGCCGTTGTTCGGCATCCAGGCTTGGTTGGGGCGCATGCTCCGTGTGGGCACATGGACATAGACGGCTGCTGCTACTCCCAGCACGACTACTACGACATGGCCACAGTAGATGCTATTACATGGAAGACCCCGCGGCGGGCTGCAACGCGACGCTGGGCGTGTGGTGGCCAAGACGGCGGTGGCGGGCGTGATATGGCATGACATGGCAAACCAAACAGACTTTGCTTCTCCCTCGACGTCAGCCTTGGAGTGGCAGGCTCGCAGCGCGCAGCTCCCGCTTCTCCGCATTTCGTCTACCATGGCTATTTATGGGTGGCCAGGACGGGCTTCAGTCAGACTTCAAAGGGGCATAGCGAGGCGCCGCGGCCCCTGCATGGCACTGGCATCAAACACGTCGGGGGCAGCCTGGTGATCCGGGCTGCATATCGAATCTGCGCTTGGCTGCCTGTCTGGGACGGCGGCGAGCACCCCCACCGCGACCGCGCACGGTGAAACATTGAGCGTCTATGGTTGAGTCTCGAGGCCAAACACGCCCACGCCCACGCTCACACGCACGCACACGCACACGCACACGCACACGCACACTCAGGCTGGCCCACGCCCGCCACGCCCGCCCGTTGCACCGCCACGCCTGCCGCCGCCCTGCCAGCGACTGCGACCAGACTGCGACGGCCACTGCACTGCGACACCACCGCCGTGGAGAGGCGTCGGCTGGCGGCATGCAGCCAAGACCGTCTACACGTCGACATGGATCCATGTCGACGTGCGCATGTACGTCTATGTACTATACAGGCAGGCGGGCAGGCGGGCAGGCGGGCAGGCAGGCAGGGCAAGCCGACGCGGGCGGTTGCTTGCAGCGCATATGTGCAGACGGCCGTGTCGAGAGGCCGTGAGAGCGTGAGAGCGACGGTACGAGGGCGAGCACCGTGTTTCGCGCCGATGCAGCGGACAGACTGACGTTGCAAGAGCCGCATCCACCCGGCTCGTCCTGCTCCTGCTCCTGCTCTTGCTCGCCCTCCTCTCTTCCGACTCTTCTCCGACTCGTCCCCCTCGTCCCCAGTCAAGTGACGCAGTTGTCGTGTGGTGCCTTGGTCGAAACCAGCTTTGGGTGCTGGCACGGCAAACTGCCACACGGCGCTAGCCAAGTTTCCCTATCGCTCTCGCCGGCCGTGGTCAGGCTTGGCTAGCCGAGACGAACTGTTCCATCGTGGGTTTGCCGGCCATCGAGTGCCCAAGAGGGCCGACTGGGCCCGTCATGTGCGTCGCCATCAGCCATCAGCCATCAGCCCTCTGCCACCCGCACACGCACACGCACACGCACCGGCCCAGGCACGCCCGGCAGATAGCCAGGGCAGCGCGCCAGCCAGCGCAGCATAGTGGTAGCGAGCGCAGAGCAGCGCAGCGCAGCGACGGCGGCGGGTGCAATATGTGCTGCCTCGACCGGGCCCACACGCAGCCAGGCAAAACAAAGTACCGACAGCCTGCGGCGGGCTGGCGGGCAGACGGGCAGCCTGGCGGGCAGCGCGTCCCAGCTCGAGTGGCCCAGGAGCGAAATGAAGAGGGAGCCAGCGATTAGCATGGGCAAAAGCCACGAGCTGGGGATCCCTGTCCCCCGCACGGGCCTGCTCCCACTAGCGCGCACCCAACCTGGGCAGGAACCACCGACAAAAGCGACGAGTTGCCCAGGTGCCCGTCTCTCACCCACTCCGCCTATTCATCGTCAACACCTCCCCGCCATCCTCGCCGCGCCCTCTCGACCCCCCCTCCCCCCTCCCCTCCCTGGAGCCCATTGTCGCTACTCACATCCCAATTGAGGCGACTCTAGGCATCTGTCCGCTCCTTTCCCCCCGTCGTTCCTTAATTTCTTGGGTGTACTGGCTTCACTCTGTCCAACCGCTCGCATACCTAGCTGCCTTCCGCCTACCGATCCTCTCTCAATCACCACCGCAAACACCAACACCCACAACCATAACAACAACACCCAAAAAACCCTCACCGCCTTCTTCTCACGCCATACTGTACGCGCACCACCTGCCTCGCGTCACGTTTCGCATCGCCCTGCAATCTTGTACTGACCGTTGCGCGTCAGTAGTAATCGCGCCTCCACCCGTACCTCGACGGCGCTTGTTTCGTCTCACGCCCGTTGTGCCAGTGTCTGTAGCACCTCGACACTTGGCTTCGTCCAACCACAGTGCGCCCTGCTGGATCCTGCAACCTGCTCCCGGAATCCACGCTGCCAATCCTGCCTGCACGCCAACCACCGTCCTGCGCGTCCGTTGGCGACACCATCCCTAATTTCGTCAAGCCTCATTACCGCACACGGTTGCGTCAGCAACGCCAGCCAGCTCCTCCAGCATGGCTCAGACCGCCATGCCACGGCACCGCGCTACACAGTCGCAGTCTGGCATTGGCTCGCCCCTGTACCAGCGCCGACAGCACCCAAATGCCGGGCCCGTTGAGCTTATCCCCAACCCAGAGTTTTCGTTTCCCATGCGAGGCCCAGATATGCCCCCTTCAAATCCCATACCTATCAACCCACGCCCAATGTCACTGCAAGCCTATCCCACCGGCCGCCGAGGGTCCATGCCGCACCACCGACAAAAATCCATCAACGCACTGCCAGACTTTTCCTTCAATCCGGCCGGCACGTCCAAGCCAGCCAGGGAATCACCCCCACATTCGCCAAACACGCTGGCGGTGCCCGGCTCGCCCTCAAAGCCCTCGCATGGACACAAGCGAGGAGGAAGCGAATTCATCGGTGGCGACGTCCGGCCCGGAGGTACTGCGTTGATGAGCAGCAGCCCGACCAAGGGCGACGATGCTCTGCCTGCACCAAGCGCCACCCTGCGACCAGGTCCGCCACCTGGCCGCCGTGGACACGCCCACCGCCGTTCAGGTGCCATTTCTTCGCACGACCTCACATCAATTATGAGCCCTCCTGCTCCCGCAACAACCGGCAGTGCACCTAGCACGCCCTCCGAGGGCAATCACTTTGCCCTTGGCCACAAGTTCAACAGGTCCATTTCCCAACCATCGCTGCGCCAGCACAGATCAGAAGATGATCCTACGCGGCCCCCGTCCAGAGCCCGGGTCACATTCTCTGATAGAATCGAGACCATCCGTCCACTCTCAACAATCTCGTCCGAGACAGAACGCTCCTTGTCTACATTCCGTGGACACTCTGCCGCGAACAGCCTGTCATCAATCGTAAGCGGCAGTGGCCCGGTACCTCCTCGGCTCGGACGGCCCACGCTGAACACAGTTCCGGATGAGGATCGACCCAGCACAGCCGGCATGGTTTTGGACAAGTTTATCAGCGGCAACATGAACGCCGAGGTGCCTGAGCGCAAACGACCCGTATCTGCCGTCTCGCCAATGTCACCTGCAGCCCCCACCGTCCCATCCCCCGCTCCCAAAGTGCAGGCCAAACGACGGAGCCTCTTCCACAAGGACCCCCGCCAAGGCAATGACTCGGTGCCGACTCTTCCTACCAGCGCCTCGGACCCAGCGCTCTCAAAGCCTTTTGACACGGCTTCAGCCTCACCGGCGGCTGACAAGGATGAATCACCAAAGACGCCCAAAAAGCCAAAATCTGCCTCGCGCAAGGGCAGCCACAAGCCTCGCAAAGTCAAGTCCTGGGCAAACTCCATCATCACTCGCAAGGGAAAGCACAGCAAGCGATCCAAGATGCGCTCGCCAACGCCACCGCCCACCAGCATGGTTGTTGATGGCAATGGCGAAGATTCGGATGAGTCGGAAGAAATCGACTTTGAGCCAAACTTTGATGACGATACCACCGTCACGATTGTGTCGCCCACCGACGACTCTGGAGCCCAACCCAAATTGGACACCAACTATACATCTTTGGAACCTCGTCCGTTGCAGCGTGTTGATTCTGACATCATGAGCCCAGTGATTGATTTGGACGCAGCGCTCGGACCCTTCAACACTCCCAACGGGACCGCGCCCCGATCCAATCAGCGTGGCTTTTCGGCACATCGACGAGCCATGCACAGCGCCAACGGTATGTCGCCCTCGCACCGAAGGACAGAGAGTGCGCCCGAACTGGTTCCCTTTGAGAATCGATCGTCAGCAATCGCAAACGCTTCGCCCATGGACGACGTCTTTGAGGAGGAGGAGCCCGAAGACGAACTGACGCTCCCCACAAAAGACGCGAAACCCGAAGCAACTGGCGCAGAGGCTGAAGAGCCAAAGGTTTCGGTAGTGGAAACAGATTCCGAACAAGAAGGGCCTGGCATCAAGTGGAACTTTAGTGACGGACTTGGCTTCAACGGAACACCAAAGGCACGCAAAGTCGTTTCAGTAGAGCCCATCTCGCCCCGAGCAACCCCGCCTGCGGAACAAGGAAGCGACAAGGACCAGCTGTCAACACAAAAGTCCGAACCAGTGGAAGTGGTGGAAGACTACGAGGAACCCCGAACATCATCTCTCACACATTCTTCAGACTCCACAGTCACTGCTCAGCCCACCGAAGACTCTCCCAAGCAGCGCCAGCCCGTCATGAATCTGACGCTTCCACTTCATCAGCAGAGTCTGATGACGCCCGACACCATTGCGTCGTCTTTCTCGTCACCAGACTATGGATCCAGCCAGCTTTCGTTCGACACTGGACGTGGAGGCACCGCATCTTCGTCCATGACTGACTACCCAGTGATGCCATCGCCTCGCTTTGGCGAGCCTGGCCCAGAGGTTCGCATCTCGACCGAGGTGCCATCTTTGACATCTTCAAGGTCGACCATGACGAGTGGCATGATGCAGAATGCCTTCCCACTTGTCAGCCCACGCCGGTTTGGTGAACGCACATCATCCTTGTCTTCGGATCCTAGTGATATGGAGTCCCGTCGTCGTAAGCGGTCCAGCATCGCTAGCCTGTCTCGTTTGATGGGAACCTCGTCGTCGAACAGTGAGCGCAGCAAGCTCTCCATTGAGCAGCGTCCACAGTCGGAACATCGCGAGCCGTGTCGAGACAAGAAGAAAAAGAACAGCAACTTTGGGAGCAGACTAAAACGGTTCTTCCAGCACACGAGGGAGTCTTCTCCATCGAAAACCTGAAACCATACGTATGTGATTTGGCACCATCACCTCTTGTGCGTCTTCGCCCTACAACCCACCAGCAACCCGCGGCTGCTTCCCTGTAACTGTCGCCGGATACCACGATTTTACGGCTTCGCTCGAATGAGCCCAAACACCTTTCCTCTCGCATGACCACGGAGTTTACCAGCGAATGATTATCTAATGGCGCATAGCAAACCTGTGATGCATGCATACGCGAACCGGACTTTTTATTTCCTTTTCTCTACTCTCCTTGACTGCGGCATATTTTCCTTGATGAACACTTTGGAGGACTGGAATCTAGGCATCCTGTGATTGGCATTTGGTGCATGAAACTGAGCTATCTATGGGTACTTTGACCGGCTTTCTCTTTTCCTTTTTTTTGGCGGCGGCTTATGTTCACCGCCCTCGACTCTCGTTAAAAAAAATTTCCTTGCATTTCCTAGTGTATCGATGGATATGGGCTTGGTTTTACCGCCTTATTCGGTAGCAACAGACTGCAAGTTTGGCAGATACGGCACGACGGATCTCTTTATTTTCTCCACAATCATTTTATGAACTAGCAACTATACACCGAGAGGCACGCGTAGTGCGTTGGGGTGACAGTTTGCAGGGGGAGCATGTAGGTTGACATGGAAAGGTAAATCTTGATAGGTGATCTTGTACCCTGAACTTGAAGGAAACTTAGCTAGTGGATTGGGCTGAATGATAGAGCTGCAGTCTTGAACCAACAAATCAATCAAACTCTGTATATCTCAAAACACTCTTCTCCAAACATGCAATGTGTGTAGTATAGAGACACGCTTTCATCCGGACCAGCATAGGTAGGATGGAAACCTTTTACTCCGGTGCAATTTGTCCTCGACACAAAGTGTAGTAGGATCCATGGCAATGGGCATGGGCATGGGGGGGGGGGGCGCAGCTTATCGTTATCGCAACCCGCTATATTGCTATCAGTGCCCATACTTACATAGCCAAGGGGGGGGTGGATGGTTCCCGCAAGTTTAAAATGAGCGATCGTCCTCGTTCCGCTGTCACATTTTGTTCGCATGCGTGTATTCAGCCTGTCGCCCGCGCCCCGGTTGGTTCCCTTTTGCAAACGAGGGCCAGTGCTTCCAATGTAATACGCACTAGACTCCCCAAGAAAAGCGCCGTTGTTGCTTTGCACCCCCTCTCTCTCTCTCTCTTGCGCTTGTTGTTGCTCCGCCTCCCGCCTCCCCCCCCCCACCCACGAGCCGTTGGCCAGTGTCTTTCCCCCTCCCCCCCTCCCTCTCTCTCTCACCCCCCCCAAATCCTAAGGGCCCCCGTGATCCGAGCGAGCCACCAGCCTGAGCGTGCGTGCATGCGTTCTTTTTTTCTTTTCTTCTTCTTGGATCCTTCAATAATCCTGCTCGCCCCCCCCCCTTGTTTTTACTTACTCGACTTGTTTTCCAAACCACGCCTCTCTCTCCTCGGACTTCAGAGCACGAAGGAGCTTGCGTGTGTGTGTGTGTGTGTGTGTGTGCGTGAAATAGAGGCACGGGAAACTCCAGATAAGAGTATCCCTTGCATTATGTTTCCTTCATTTTGTGTCAAAATGAAAATGTAGTATATATTCCGCGCGCAAACATATTAGTTATCTTGTCCTTTTTTTGGGTCTGCCGGATGCGAAGTAGGGGGCATATATGGATGGATGGATGGATGCCTCAGCAATAGCGGACATTATGGCAGGTGGGTACGTAAGGTAAAAGGGGGGAGGGGGATGGTGGGAACGGAGACAAACTAAAACAAACCTCTCACCGAACCGAACCGAACCGTTTTTGTTTTTACCCCGTTTCCCCTCCCCTAAGATAAAGGGTCTCCTAACATTGCCATTGTATTATCATGTTTCAAATCCGTGTCCAATCAATATCCCATCGCTTTTATGTGCTATATAATAGTCCGTTGGCGGGATATAGCCCGCCCCCCCCCCTCAACCCCGGTTCCCAGATATTCCTTCGATCCATCTAATAGTGGCATCTTTCTTTTTTGGGGCGCTTTCCGTCTTGCAAACTGGATTATAGATGTGTGTATGTGTGTGTGTGTGTGTGCATTCTGTGCATACGGGTATGGATATGTATGCCTACGTAAGTACACCGTGTACACACAGACATGGGTAGAATTGTCTAAGCCCCATTCCTTCTTTCTTTCTTTCACGCTTTAACCATATACATACTATACGCTATAAGTCAGGAAAAGGAACCACTGCAAAAATTACAAGGGTCCTCTCTCTCTCTCTCTCCCGCGCACAAGCATCCCACTCGACCGCATGTCGTTCCCGCGTAGGTAATCCACTTTTGTCTTTTTTTTTTCTCCCGCTCTTGTCCGTTTTCTGGTTTCTGGGCTCTCTCTCTCTTATTCTTGCCGTTTTCCGTCTTTTTTTCTCTCTCACGCTTCTCCCGTCCATCGTGTCTTCCCGTGCATCGTGTGTTCCTGTTTCGATGAGGGATTCTGGAACCAAGGGGCGCGCCTCCCGCGATTCATGCGGTCAGCAGCTACGTACCTCTCCCCCCCCCCCTTGTCTTGTTCTGTCTTGTCTTGTCTTGCGTTCCGTTCGATTTTATTTCTGTGCTTTCTTTTTTTTGGTGTGTGTATGGTGTGTATGTCCATGGATGGATGGATGGATGGATGGATGGATGAATGGATAGGTAGGTAGGTAGATAGCCGCTGCTACATCCATACATCCATATCTACATGCAGGGATACAGTGGCATGATAGCCATATACAGGGCGTTACTTTACTTGGCACGTACTGTACATGTGCAAGGATCACCATCATCATCGCCATCGTCATCACTGTCGTTGCCATCGACTCCTCCCGCTCCAAACCATGACATGTAATGGTATCCCGGCCGACCATATGGTGAAACACGCCGATTGATTAAAAGCGTACCTGCAGCTGCATCGGCGCATTTTGGCGAGCGCGGCGCGGCACGGCAAGCGCCCAACCAGCCAGGGCGGCTTAGTTTCCTCTTTTTTTTTAGAGAGGGGGGGAGCGGGGTGGTCATTCCTCATATCGCGTGTACTTGGATGTATGTATATGTGGTGTTTGTTATGATTTGTTCATTCTAAGCTGTGCCTTGGCGCGCGCGACCTTCTTCTTCTTCGTCTTCATTTTTTCTTGCTTCGGTGTACGGCGCTTACTTGGTGAGCGAACCACTCATAGAGGCGTTGATATAAACAAACAGAGAAAACTGGTTTGTTTGTGTGTTTTGTTTTGGTTGTTTGCTTTTTCCTTTGCTTTCAGCCGAGGTCGTACACGTAAGTACACGTTCCGTACCGTACCCACGTATTCGGAGCGAGACAGGCCGCGGCGCGACTCGGAGTCTGACTGACTCTGACTTCTGACTCTTGTAACGGCTGCCAATATTGGTTCCACGGGACGGGTAGTGTGCACGTTTTATTTTGGGGCGTGCTGTGCAGACGGCTTGCTTACATGGACTATTGTTTTGGCTTGGACATGGTGGGCTGTGTGGGCTGGGCTGCACAAGTCGAGGGTGCATAATAGATACGGTTGTGCGTGTTGTACTTTGCGCGCACGTCCATGTTTGCACAGAGCTTCTTCCTTTTGTTTTTCTTTGTTTACTTGCCAAGTTGTGGAAGTCGTGTGAGTGTGTGAATAGTTGATTGCTTTTTGTCCGTTGATATGCGCGCAATATGGCCAAGCATGCATGTTTGCATGTCCTGTGGTGAATCTGAATGCCCGAGTTTTGTTTCGCAACCATATAACACTAGAGTTTTCTATCTGGGTTGAGGACGCGATACTGTCGTTAGGCTCACTGAGCAGAATGGACATGTCAAGAGGGTCACATCAAGTCCCTGACCCATTAAACGTCAATCTAGACATGTGAATTGATCAACTAGACGTGACTGAAGTGTCAGCACCATGTTCCGTTCGTATCCTCCAATTTACACGCAGACATGTGAGGTGGTGTCATGTCAGGGACTGGTAGCACCCATGTGCAACCTACAATGAGCGTTATAACTATTGTTCGCTGCAAACTTCTTGCTAGGCGTTGTCTCTCTCAATCTATGCTACCAGAATCATTTTGCGAATACACGTAAAGGCTGTTCATTCCAACAATGGAAATTGTGTCGTGAAGGTACCTGTTGCCGGCATTAGTGGGATGTTGTGTTGGGGACTACAATCGCTCTTGGGTCAAGATGAATGAAATAGACTGTAGCTATCTATCTTTTAGCTGCTTTATCATATGACTCATATGTAGTTTATGAATATATTTGCATACAGGAAATTGCTGTATTGATATTGGTATACATGCTTTGCGGGTACAGTAACCATATACTCAATGAGCTTATTTATTACAGTACGGCGACCTTCTAACTTCTGTCTAATATCCATTTCCCTCTTCGTCCAGTCATTGATGTGGGGGAGCGTAAGTGGATGTTTCTTGAAGAACAGAAATCTTTAGATCGGAAAGGGTACGAGAAATACCTAGAAAGGAATGTAGTACTTTTGAGTGATGACTAGACTACTTTTCTAGAAGGGCCATCGTCTAGAGAGGCTTGATTCATGTACTCTAGGCGTATGAAAGGAGGCAGTGATATGTGAGTGAATGTTAACACGTGAAGTATCTCTTGAAGTTGCTACATTACTACCGCAGATGCAAGTTGAATGAAGAGCAAGTCCCTTCACATTCACCTCTTCGCATTATAGTATCCCAAGGTCACATTCTTATACAGAATCAATGTCTCAGTCACAGTTCACTTGCTCGTGATGTCAAAGCTACTTGAATACACTCCAAGCCCGTTATTCCCTTCACCACCCCGCCAAGCCGACAAACAACCGGGCTCAAGGTCTCTCATGGTGAATATCAGACGCGACCCACACACACTCTAGTACAGCGCTATCCAAAGTGCAATATTTACGTTGTCAATTCCATTGCCCCTCTTAACAACACTACTCCTTAACAACACCACTCAGATCCTCTTTCTACAGAGTCCTCTGCTGCATTGTGTGGGCTTCAACACCACCTCTGAACATACACGACACTCGCTCAAACACTGTGTACATGACCCTCGCCACGAGTAATAAAGGCCTTGGATCTGTGAATGCTGATACGGCTAGGATACAGATCAAATACACACATACATACAGATTCAGATATTGTAGCTGAATACCAGCACTCCACGATCCAAGATAACAAACCACTAAAGTCGAAGCAAAGAAACCGCCATGGGCGCAGGCATGTCTAAAGAGCAGAAGAACAAGACTAAGGGTAAGGACAAGAAGGGTAAGGGCAGTGGTCTGGATAAGGATACAAAGTGCCAGGAATGTGGGTATTCGCTAGTGTCCGCGACTCTGGGACCGAGTTTGAATTGCACTGCATGTGGGCCCTATAGGGGCGTTATTTCGTAAAAGGGGTACTGCTGCAAAGCAGCTGGGAGGGAGGGAGAGGGGATATTCGCAAAAAAAGAGATATTTGGAGAGGATGATCGAAATTCATATGTTAAATTGAGAAAATTTGATGTTTGCATGTCATTCGTAAAAAAGGTTATGCGTTTCGTAATTCTGCAACAGCAAAATAGCCCTTGTTTTCCACGACGCCTCGGTCTTTGACGACTGCCGTGTACTTGACAACCCATTGCGGCTCTACATCGCCCTTGAGTCCCTGCTCGTTTCCTTCGCCTGCTAGGACGCCCGAGCCATTCTCGCCCGCGCCTAGTATCTGTCTCAGAGTGCCTCGTGGCAGGATGTTTGTGCAGTCGTTATGTGTGAGAAGTTCAATCTGTTGCTGTTTTGCGTACAGAATCAAGGGCTTAGGTACGACACAGCAATCGCGCACGTTGATCTGATTCACACTGGGCTTTATCTTGGTATGTTCTAGGAAGCGCGTTAGTCGCGTGACGCCGAATTCTGCAATCCCGAGTTTTGAAACCAGGCCTTCTGCTTGCAGCTTCTCCAGCGTATGCCACGTGGTTATCATGGTCTCAATGTCTTCGGGTGGCACGTCTGCGTCCAGACAGTCGCCAGACGAGTTTTCGGATGTGGATTGGGTTGCGGATGGGGGAGAAGGCGGGTCGTTGTCTTCCAAGTCGGACTCCTCGTCGTCGGCATCAAAAGATATGCCCGGGAAGCTTACGATCAAGAGATCTATTGATGATGTGCCCAGCTCCTTGAGTACCAGTTCGATCGCTTCTCTTGTCTGGGCGCAGCGGCGGTCGGTGGGTATGTTGGGCAGGTAGAATAGCTTGACTGTAATGTCGTACGACTCTCGGGGCTCGCTGAGGGGTGACGGGGTATGTGTGGGAACGTAGAGGGCGGATTCGGTCGCAGTGGTCCATGTTCGGTAGTTTGGTTTTGCAGGCGCTTGAGCGGGTTGGTGGGCAGAGAAGTTTGCGCGGAGTGCGGACGTGAGTTCGGTGTTTGATTTTTCAAACAGAGGACGGCGTATAACGGAGGGTCCGCCAGACATGATGTTCCTGGTCTTGTCAGATTGGACGGGGGATGCGAATGCGAATGCGAACGGGGGAGTCATACGAGGTTGAGAGCACGAGCTTCATGGCTGCGGTTTGTATCATGGAAGCCGCTTGCTGGATGCTGTGGTGTGTTTTTGGTCGGTCCTATGTCTCGCTGTCTCCCCCTCGGATCGGCGGTGGTATATGGCTCGAGTGAAAGTTCAAGATGATGGCCGTTTGTCAGCCAGTGGGGCGCGTTCAGATGAGGGTCGCAGGTCGCGTATGGGGCGCAGTAGCGCGGCTGCACCGAAGCGCACAAGCCAAGAGTCGGGAGAGGAGGGGTTTGTTTTTGCGCAGGGGGAGGAGGGCTATCACTATTGGCGCATAGAACACAGCGCATGTGCGTATGTATATGTGTATGCATGTGTATGTCGACGGCGGTTGGCGGGGGTTTGGGCGAGGGCGCATTGACGTCTCACAGTCGCGGGGCTGGCCTGTGACCGCCGATGGCCCAAGCTGCACCTTTCTCGTACATTGGGGCCACGGCCACATGTACACCACCTCCCTTTGCCAGCACACGACACCATGACAATCAAGTACGAGGCTGCGCCCATGCTCTTTTGCGCAGCCGTTGCTAACCCGCGCAGATACCTCATTCTGCTCTCGCGCCAGGGCAAAGTGGTTGGTCCCCCACCCCCGAATGCAAAAGTCCCCTGCTGAGGCCGCGTAGCGTCTGGCCAAATGGTTCACCACCCTCGCGCCCAAGGACAAGGCCAAGATCGTCAAGGACGTCTCGCAGCTGGTGCTCGCCCGCCGCACCCGCATGTGCAACTTTCTCGAGTACAAGGGTCAGTGAGTTGCTGACAATGCCGTCTTCGCCGCGCTCACACGCCCGCCGCCAGATACCAAGGTCGTCTATCGCCGCTACGCCTCGCTCTTCTTCATCGCCGGCTGCGACGCCACCGACAATGAGCTGATCACGCTCGAGATTGTCCATCGCTACGTCGAGCAGATGGACAAGTACTACGGCAACGTGTGCGAGCTCGACATCATCTTCAACTTCCAAAAGGCCTACTTCATCCTCGACGAGCTGCTGCTTGCTGGCGAGATGCAGGAGAGCAGCAAGAAGAACGTGCTGCGGTGCATAGGACAGCAGGACAGCCTCGAGGATATGGAGGTGAGTGAAGTGTGATATGGTCCGCTTCGCTACGCCTATAGCACCGCCTGGCTGACGCGCTCGTCGTCCAGGCCGAGGACGACATCGTTACCAAGATAATGTAATCCCTCTACGGAGCATACAATTACATTCCCGCGACTTGGCGGTTGTCAGTGCCCAGTCCCACTAGTCCTCACCGACTGACCGTGCCCCGGCCTTCAGGATGACGCCATCCATGTCGATGCCTTCAGAGATCGGCTTCGCGAGCATGGCATTCTGTGAGGAATCACCTTCAGGCTTGGACACACGACCACGCTCCACGGCGACAGACATCGGAACAACAGGCGCTTTGGTTAGAATCACGGCATGCAGTCGTCGGCCGCGGCGCGCATCATGATGCCCAACACATTTCAAGGATAGGCGTTACGGCGGAGCGATACCACACGGCGCAGGGAGTCGGGTCATTGGAGAACGCACTACCTGCCATCCTGCCTTGTAGAGCGGATGGCGGTAGCTGTACTCTATCTACTACAATCAAACACCTCGGACTGGCGACCTTTGTTCGACACAGTTAGGTCTGACACAAGTGGTTCACCGGCCTCGAACGTGATTACACATCATGCCATCGAGACTTATGCCCTTGACATTGTTGCTTGCTCTCCTCTGTTTCCGTCTTGTTGCTGTACTAACCCTAACCACGTAGCAACAGATCTCCTCCACAGCTGCCTGGCACTGCACATCTGCATCTCGTGACAGCAATTGGTTCGGATCAATTCTTGATCTTCTATCCAGAGCCTTGCCATGCACACATGAAATGAAACATTGCCGAATCCAGTGAGGTTCTTTACCAGGCAATCTCTTGTCCCAGTCCACATGCTCGACCGACTTCAGATGACACGTTACTTGCCCGCGCACGTTGCGCATCACCGGCACCCACTGACGTCAGCGCTCAGCACCAGTTCTCAACTCCAATGCTCAACACCAGTCCCCTCTCGCCGTTTACCCATTCGGCCTTATCAACTGCTTTTGTTGGTTGAGGAGCTGGGCTTACGTGAACCAATCAGGAATCATAACCCGACACACATGCCCTTGTTAGCTCGGTGTCACTGCCAAGCGGATCACCGCCGTCTCCGCAATCGCGACCACGTCGTAACAGGGACACCTCACACCACACTTCCGCCGACGCCATACACATGTCCACCGCCTGCTAGACGACTGTCTGGCCGAACAACAGTACTATCTCCTCTCTGCAGCCAGCCTAGAGTCGTTTCTACTCGTTGTATCGGTTCGCGCAGGCCACCCCCTCCCGACCGCAACACCGCCTACAACCAGCAGCCACGGCACGCTGACACCGCCATCGCATTCTCGATATTACAATCACATCCGAAATCACATCCACAAAGACTCCTGTTGAAGAGGACCCGGGATTGGCACAATGAAGGTGGGTATTCGATGCGAAGGGGCCAAGGCGGGTGATGATGATGTAGCTGATCCGGTGACGCAGTACCTCGACCTGTGCGCCCTCCACGAGGTCAACCTCGCCCTCAACTTCGACACCCAAGACACAGCCATCATCGGCGGATGCGACTTATGGACTGTAAAAGCAGCTGGGAGTGATAAGAAATTATACAAGCGCATTGAGAAGACGCTCGAGGAGCGACACAAGGACCTGCTATCCGCAGTTGCGGGGCTGTCGGAACAGTCAGCCGCGCAATTCGCGGATCAAGTCGATATCTCAAGAGATACGCCATTCGGTAGCTTCAGCGAGGCAGCGAACCGCCATACCTTTGCCTACCTCATTGCAACGCTCAATGCAACACACATTGACTACGACTTTGCAAATACCCTGAACCCGGACGAGTTCCGCCGCGAGACCATGCACAGTTTCATGCACAAAATCGATACTACCATGTACTACCTCCGGCCGCAAGTCTATTCCGCCGGTCTTCCCGCAGGCGCCGTAACACCACTTGGCTCACCGATTTGGAGTCCCCGCTCATGGCAACTGGTTGACAGCGAGATGGACATGTCCAACTGTGAATACTACGCCTGGGAGCCGTCAGACGACCCTTTTGCGGATGATGGTGCAATCTGGAGTCACCATTTCTTCCTTTACAACAAGGAGCGCAAGCGAGTTGTCTATTTCTATCTTCGCGGCATATCTGCTCTTTCCAACTCGCCCAGCGTCGCCATGTCGCTCATGTCAAAGTTCAAGGCGTCAAAATACGAATCATCGGCCAATGCGGGCAGTAGGAAGCGTGCCGAATACTGGCTGGGAGCTCGCGCCAAGAAGGGTCTTGAAGCGTACGGCGAGAGCGACGAGCTTGACAATATGGTGATTGATCACCCAGGCGAAGTCGTCGATGCCGAAGAGGAGCAATACCTTCCTGCGAGAGAAATGAGCATGGATGCTGAATACTACTACGAGAGCGACGGAGATAGCGACGTCGAATCACTTGTTGGCAGGGAGAGGACCGTGGGCAAAGTACGGACAATGAGTGAGGGTGTAGTGGAGAAGATGGAGCTCTAGGTTCCGCTCCCCTTGTCCACTGATCCCATTGCCAACCTAGGATTGCTGGGAGCTGTCGCTGGCCGGCACTCAACATGCCGAAGCGGCCTGCTCAACATATTTGCTGCTCTGTGCAGATTGGTTTGTGCTACCCTATCATTTTTCCAGCATTGGTTGCGTCTGCCTGATGAGTTTTTTATTGTTTTTTGTTTACTTTTTTTGGTATTCTATCTCTTCACCGGCTCGTGAGAAGACGACCATGAGACTGACACAAGGCTTTACGGTCGGTGGGAGCGACGCGTTTCAACGCCTTTGTTTGCATATCGTCTGAGCCTTGAGATACCCCTGCTATTTTTTCGGTTAGTCTTGAGTATTCTTGCTTTGATCTATTAGTCATGTGGTTAGCATACCTTGGGAGATGGTAATAGGGGGAGAAAGGTGGATCACGAGTGATGACGGAACGATGGGATGATGGCGTGTGTTTGTAAACGATTTTCATTTATTCTACTGAATCCTGATATTTAGTATTATGATAGTGTATGGGCATTTCAGCGTGATGCGTATGTGTGTGTGGTGTGGGAATACTGTATGTTATATTGCTTTTTTTTTCGTTTACGTAGCGTTTTCATGGCATGGTACATGTGGGGTGTTTGTCTTGTCCCAGTGTATACTAAGTAATTGTTGCACGGGAAGAATGGACAGAGTGCTATTTTGCTTTTTGTGGGTTACACCGTCATCTTGTCTGACCGTACGGGTGATACTGATGAGAAAGAGAGTTGAGAAGGACGAGAAGATTCACAGCGAGTCACTAGCCACAAGCTCCTTGTATGCAAAAAAAATATAACATTGAATATATACAAACATTAGGATAATAAAAGAAGGAGACTAACAAGAATAAAATAGCTATCATGTCTTTTTTCTTTTTAAAGAAAAAAACTTTTCTCTAGCGAGACCAGGACATATTTAGTAAGTGTATAGTAAGAACACACGCACAGTATACAAGGATTAAGTGAGATCGTAGTGTGATTATCAGCTATATTCTTTCATCTCCGTCTTCTCCTTCTCTCCTTCTCTCCTTCTCTCCTTCTCTCCTTCTCTCCTTCTTCTTTCTCGTTTCTTTTTTTTTCCATAACTCACACCTTGCACGAATGCCGGATTCCAGCTTGTCAACGTGGTAAGGGGGGGAAGGGGAAGGGGAAGGGGAAGGGGAAGAGATGTGATACTACTCATTTATTTATCTATTTATTTATCTGTACCCCATGCGTGAACTTGGCCATGCTGACGCAAACAGCCGACTTTTTTTTTCTCTTTTTTTTGTTTTTTTTTCGTACAAACGCAGTACTAGAGGGAGACGATATATAACACAGTGTGTGATTGATTCATTTGTGAATCCAGCACGAAGATAGGAGCCCTGTTGAAGCTTTTGTCCATGTTATTTCTTTTCTCTCTCTCTTCTTTTTGAGTTTTTTTTTGCGGAAGTAATACTTTATTTACGACTCGCGTGAAAAGGGAATAAAAGGATGAAATTAGAAGATTTTTGAAGATAGCGGTTGAGGTAGTGTACTTGGTACCCGGGACACGGTAGGTAGGTAGTTAGTTGTATGACACGATTGGTATTTTGCGAAGATGGCGGATTTTTTTGGGGGGGAAATATAAGTGGTAGTGTGGATATACATGTAGTCTGCCTATTTTCATCTTTCTTTTTTTGGGAGGGGGGTTGTATTTCTCTCTCTCTCTCTCTCTCTGTGTGTGTGTGTGTGAAGCTAGACAACAAGCGTGCATTTTTTTTCGAAGATACAAGGCAAATTGTAGCGGGGAGCAAATATGAAGCTTGATGAATGTTGGGGGGGGTGGGATCCTGGGTCTACTCAGGAAGAAAGGGCATGCATGTATGTAAGCACTTGGGCTTGTGGGGGGTGTGTGTGCCAGGGCAGCACATTTTTGCATATTTCTGCACATCAAACACTTTTCTTTTTCTTTTTCTTAATGCCTTGCATGCAATGCATCTTGCCTGTATGGCCTGGGGTATTCGTCCTCTCGGTGGAACCACAAGCATCTGTTTTCAAACTGCGGCTGTTCTGGGTAAATTCTTTGCGCTTTGCGTTTGCTGGGCAAACCCTCCCCCCCCTCTCCCTCCCCGCGGGATTCCGGCGGCCATGGGCAGGCTGGTCTTGCTACAGGACATGTTCGGATCGAAACGTCTCGTCTTGGTTATGCAAAAATGGCCACGTGCAGTATACGCTCTATCGTGGGGGGGGGGGTTGTTGTATTTTTTATTTTTATTTTTTACGCTGGATCAGTGAGGGTGTGAGAGAGAGAAAGTAGAGAAACAATGAAGATTGATTTACACACTTTGATACTTTTGCGTTTCTTTCATCTTATACATTAGGGACAACAACAAACACAATCCGTTACACAAGTTCACTTAGGCCCGGTAAGCTCGCACTTGCAAGTATGTAGGTCAGCAGCGAGGTAAAGTGAAACTACGATGGGGGGTAATTTTTTTGGAGACATGGACATGGCACGGCATAAGCTGACTAGACTGAGCTTTTTTTTCGCTCTCTTTCTCTCACACAGAGAGGCTTTTCTCTCCCGCTCTGAGTGTGGGTTGCGAAAGTAGTAGTCAAACCTTCAAAGAGACATCTACTAAACAATCGAGTCTGTGCGGGATAAGCGATGTGTACTGTAGATAAGTGCTTGAGCGAGGCGTGAGCGAAGGCGGCTGTTGTGTTCCGCAGTATTCCGGTCATGTGTGTGTGTGTGTGTGTGGCTATCTCTCATAAGCCTCAACAACAGCGATGACGACGACGATGATGATGATGATGATGATGATGGCGGGCTGTCATCGAGTCTAAGCAAGATATAGCGCCGTTACCAATCAAATGTTGGGTAAAGCCAAAGTCAAAAAAAGTAGAAAAGGGAAAAGTACGAACAAGGGAGAGAAAAGAGGAAAGGAAGCAAAGACAGAGTGAGAAAGAGAGAGCCAAAAACGTTCTAGCCCTCTGACAAACATTCAGGCACAAGGGTGAGTAGCGAAGGTAACCAAGAACAGCCAATCTCTTGTTGGTCTTTACTCAGATACCAACGTAATATCTCTTTTTTTGCCTCGTCCGATCCTCTCCTGTCCTGCCTCTTTCTTTCTTCTAGGGGCGTTAGGTAATGATTGGCCGTTTCAGATATTCCAGGGTGCAACCATGTAGCACAAAGCACTTTGTACTGGGTACTGGGTACATACGTACCGTCACAGCACAGCACAGCACCGGAAGAAACCCAGGACAGAGACTTTGGCTGAATGGAGGAATTGTTTGGGACAATCATCTGCGCGACAACAACCGAAGAAATTGACACAATTCCTCTTCTCCGTGGGATACAGTACCCCCGGCTGGGCAGTGGGGTTTTTCACGTCTTCGCCCGCGATGCTGATGTTATCATTGCTCTTGGCAAGGAAACCAAAAAAACAAACGGCTTGCTGCGCCGATGCGCGCGGCATCTTCCATACGCTATTCTTTTCGTTATATGGTATACGGGGGACGACCATGTGTGCGATCGGTCAACAAGTCCAGTGTGGCTAACGGGCGAATGTACAGATATAGCTGTATGTAACTCTCTCTGGCCAAGAAAATAAAGATGATCCCTGGAGGGGATTGGATACATGTAACCGCAGTCTGGTAGGTAAGGTAATGCCCTGGTGCATGGACCCCACCACCGTTGATGAAACGACAAAGCCACGATAAAAACACCCGGTGTTGCGTCAGCTGCTACGTAACGCCATGCAAGTCATACAGCGCGGTGCTCTGTGTAGATGCGATGAGCCGAGTGAGAGCGGGCGTTCTGGATTTCTTGTGCGATGGGCCTTGGGTGTCGTGGTCAAAAGGGGATTGATTTTCACTTTCCGACAAAAGGCACATCTACGGATCTGTTTCACCGAGGACGTCCATGGCGAGCAAGGGGGCCTGTCGGGCGTCAGAGAGCAACATGAACAGGAATGCCATGAATGGGCCCACTTGGCAGCGTCTGGGAAGGCTAACTTGTGGCCATCTGCCGCTGTTGAGCCGTGGTTACCTCTTCTTGGGCTAGATGGGTGGATACAGGGTGGAGATCTCTGGGGCGCGGAGGGAAAGGGTTATGATCGATAGCGTGGGATGCTAGTCGTTAGGCCAACAGGATGTTCCCGCACGTATAATGACCGCGTATAGTAGAGCGTGGCTTTGCGACAAACACACTCGAGGTGTTGTTTCCCATTGTGGATGTCATGTCTGGTGGTGTGATCGACGATACCGAGAGAGCCAAAAAAAAAGAGTGGGACTGCAAAAGAAAAGAGAAAAAAAAAAGAGGCTCCTGCATTGCATGTTGAGGCACCAGGGCGCATCTGTGGGACCTTTCAGTTGGCTTTTATCCAGGCCGAATGCCTTGCCCATCGACACTAGTCGGGTGCGGCGAACGGCAGATCCTTGCGTCGTGTGTAGGCTGCAGCTCGATCCAGTGCATTCGAAAAAAGAAAAAAAAGGTACGGACCAGCGTGCCTGGACATACATGTAAGCGAATGCCAGGCAAGAGGCAGGTCAGCAAGACACGTGCAGTGGGTTGGGCTTTGTCGAGAGTTGGTTGGATTAGGTGTAGGTGCCGTCGGCCAACCGCCTCGGACTCGGACGCAGGCGGCTGCCAGAGCAAAAGCTTACCGAAACCAGAAGTGTCACAAGTACCGCACGTTCCGGACTGGAAATGCCACTGTACCGGCTCTGGCGGAAAGACTTTGGGTTGCGCCTATCGGAGAATAGCGACATGGGCTAAGTGTTGGGGCGGTCTTGTCATAGGAGTGGGAGTGGGAGTAGGAGCATGTTGGTGTAGGCGTAGGCGTAGGCGTAGGCGCTGGCGCTGGCTCTCTGCTCGAGGAGCGTGACGCCAGACGACGGCCGTCCTGACTCGGCGTGGCGTGGACACACGAGGCCAAAGGGCAGCGTGACTGACTTGTCGAGGGCGGTCCCATCACCATTGCGTCGCTGTCAAGGTACCGAGCTCCAATTGCGAAGCAGCAATAAGAGTGGAGCGTAGGAAGCGGCGAGGTACAGTACACCTACCAGTACGTACCCAGCCATGCACACTCGATGCAGGCTACTGCGAGCCTAGCGGCGCTCCAGTGGCGTGTCGATACCCACCAGATCTAGCTGTCCTGGTGCTTGTGCAGCATGTTGGGTGCTCGGCGTCAGCACCTCTGCGTTATATTTGGGCGCTCAACATGGAGAGGTCCAGATGGCTGCTGTCCAGGTGGGCTGATGGCTCCCGTTGCCTGCCATGCGTCGCTTGCACACACACTGACGGGCAAGGCAAGGCAAGCCGTCGGACGGACTGCGAGCCATATACGCAGCGCTTTAGGAATGTGCTCAAGCTCGTGCTCGTGCTCGTGCTCATGCACATGCACGCCTCAGGCCTTTGTGCCCATCGCTCAATAGTGGCAGCGTCATGGGTGGAGCTGCAGGGTGCAAGCCAGGCGTGGCGGTTCGCATACCTTTTGCTCAAGTAGACATACATATGTACGAGGGGCAAAGTGTCTGGGGAAGTGCATCGGGATTGCTTCAACGAGCTAGCGGGCAGCATCGCTTCCAGTCGAGTGTCGCTTGATGGCGAACGGGAGGAAGCAGGCGCTCGTCATCCACTGCCTCTCTGCATGTGCAGCCATGTCGGTCGGCATTGGGTTGGCGAGCCGTCGACGACACGTCCCGGTGGTTACACGGGGAGGGGAGGGGAGGGGCACGCCATGGCAGCGGCAGCGGCAGTGGCAGTGGCAGTGATGGTGGCAGTGGTGCTGATGATGGTGCTGATGGTGGTGGTGGTGGTGCTGGCCTTGGTAGTGGCAGTGGGAGGGCGAGGGCCAGGCGGTTGCGGGTGCGGGTGCGGGAAGGGCCATCACGTGACGGGCCAGGCATTGGCGCACCAATGGCGGGCGAGCTGTGGGCGGCCGGGATATTTTCTGCAGCAGCGCGCTCTGCACTCTGCGCGCAGGCAGCGATGTCAAGCAACGGCACGAGGGAGATCAGGGTGGCTCAGCATCGGTCTCCAGCCACGATCAGCAGTTGACGCTGATGGCGAGCCATGGGCGTGGCAGGGCTGCCATGTTGGCATGCAGCAGTTCACGCCGGGCTTCTTCTACAAGGCTTCGATTGACGTAGATGGCTTCGTCCGTGTTTGCATGGCTACTCGCGCAATGGCATGCTCCGCGACAGGTCGTCTCATTTCGCCTGCGACGGAAGCCGGAGAGGCAGCCGCCAATGGCAGGCGGCATGGATATTGGCTCGCGGGCGACGAGAACAGCAACGGTTCCTGGGGGGCGCTGGCGCTGGCGACGGGGCTGGCCTTGCACGGCGCGGTGCTGGCGTCCGATGCTGGGTTTCAAGAGCCTGTCCCGTTGCTAACGGACACGGACACGGACGGGCAATGGGGCTGTGGAATGAATACGCGCACAGGAATGCGTCTTGCATGCGCGACCCATGTCTCTGCGCCCGCCTGGCGGCTAGCCCAAAGCGACGGCCAAGGCCTGACAGCACGCTATGTACGCACCGCCGCGCAGCACGAGAGCGAGAGCGAGCAGGCCAGTCGGAACGGGCAAGGCCTTTTTCCCACTGCGCCCGTCGACGTCGCCCGCTGACATCGGTGAGGCCTGTCCGCTGCGACGACTCCCGCAAACTTCCCCAGGAATTGGGCGGTCCAGCCTGCAGCGCTCGGACGACGGCAGCGATGCGCGCTAGCCGCAACCAGCAACATCTGGGGTAAAGTCGGCGCTAGCGCCCGCGCTAACTGCGTGTGCGTGCATGGGCCGCCTAACCACCCGGCCACTCAACGCGCCGCATGACCTCGCCCACACGCCGCCTGTCACCGGCCACGCCTGGCTGACCTGGCCGCCCTCTCTGCCTCTCTGCCTCTGCCTCGCCCGGCCCCAAAGAAGCAAGGCAAGGAACAAGCAACAGCTAAGCAACCAGACAAACAACCAAACAACCAAAACACTCGCCCACGCGCGCTGGCCGAAACAATGCCCGCCCGCCATGTGCACGCACTGCCTGCACCTGACCTTGGGGCCGGCCAGGCCAGGACCCTGACGTCCTAGGCCACGCCCAAGCCGCCCTGGACTTGGATTACGCATGACGGCATGCTGAGCCTGCCTCGCCTATCCGCTATCCTTGGCTGGGCCCAAATCCGACGCTGCCACTGCTGCTCGACGTCGCCTCGTCAGCGTTGCATGCCCTTTCTCCATGCTGCCGCTGCGCTGCACACCCCGACGCTGGCCTCTGTGGCAACGGACCATCCGCTGCTTGCTGCCACACCCAACCAGATCGGCAGCCCACATTGCCCGGGACCCCTCATCTATATGTACATATGCTACAATACTATGTGCGCACCTACATGCAGCAGCACTGTCCAGCCGCGAGACGAGCCCGTGGACCGTGGGCGCCGTCGCCAGCGCCAAGCAGCAGCAGCAGCAGCGCACTCGACGACGACGACGACGACCTGGCGAGGCCGTGCTGCTGATCGCACACATATACTCGCACACACACGCACGCCCATCACTGCCGTCCGAGGCGAGCAGACAGAGGCGCGCGCAGACGGCCGACCCTGCTGAGTGGGCGGCGGAAGTACTCCGGACACAGGCCCCTGCGGCAGAAACGCCGTTTGCTGGGGAGCCACTAGTCGCAAAGGCCCTGGTGCTTGCTTCTGCTGCTGGCTGCTGGCTGCGTGCTGGCTGCTGCTTGCAGGGCCCGTCCAACGACCTGGGGGGGGGGAGGGGGGCAGGCCCGCTGGCCACTTGCATGACACTCTGCCCGGCTAGCCTGCGAGCCGTAAAGTCTGGGGATCTGCTTACCCTTCTATAATGCCGCCCAGTCTAGTACACTAACCCGCCAGCCCTTCCAGTGACATCGCCACGGCCGCCGCCGTTACTGTTACTGTTGCTGCTGCTGCTGCCACTGTTGCGCTGCCACTTCTGCTGCTGCTGCTGCTCCCACTGCCACGCCTGCATCTCTCTCCCTCTCTCTCTCTCTTCTTTCTTTATCGCCCTCGTTTCCCGCCCCTCCCCCCCCTCTTCCATCCGCCCTCCCTCCCCCTCGTCCCACGAACGCTGGCCTGTGCTCAATTCCCCAGACTCGGCGTTTCGACCTGCCACACACACACTCACCCTCACACACTCACATCGCCCCCCCTCCCGCCAGCCAATCGCCCCACGGTTGCCCCATTGCTCTCTCTCTCTCTCTCTCTCTCTCTCTCTCCTCGGGACCAAACGTTGTCTCTGCCTTGTACTTAGTCTAGCCTTTTGGTCCCGTACCAGCAAAGCGTCGCCCGCCCGTCCACCCACGACCACGACGACCACCTCTCTCTCTCTTCGCTTACACAGACGCTTACATCAAGGCTGGACCCTCGTACGCTGCCAGCTCCCACCACCTGCCATTGCTTACCTCCGCCGTACCTTTGCTCTGCCGTCTACAACACATGTACGGGCCGATCCAACTAAAGTCAATCCACTGCCCCTTTGGAATTCTCTCGCCGCCCATCGTAGCCTCGCTCTAATTGCTCGACGTTTTTGTAACCCGGCTTCTCCCCCGCCGTCGACAAAGCTTCCTCGTCTCGCGCAATTGACCCTGCCTGCCCGTCTGCGCTGCTACCTCAAGATCCGCACTCCGTCTGGATACATCCTCCCCGAGTACGAGCGCCCTGCTCAACCTCCCGCTCTTCTTACTCGCCGCCTGCTTCGCTGTGCACCAAGCTCCAAGACCCTAGTCAAGGTACCGTGCCTGCTCCGTTGCTCTCCTGTGCCACCCGCTGACGTTGATGTGCAGCTGTCGACTCTGCAGACCGTCTTTGTCCAAGTTGGCGAGCCCGCCGCCCGCGCAAGCTTCACGACTCTCCCCTCCCCCCCGGTTTCAACCGCCATACCAGGCGGAACTGACCTGACGAGCATATCGACTGCCCACGCATAGGCTTTTCCGCCCCGAGCCAACTGTGTTGTTGGGCCGAACCAAGCTGCCCCCCCCCCCCCTACACAGCCATGGCCAAAGTCGAGAGCACGAGCCTGCCGGGCCCCACGCATACGCCGAGTGACGATTCCAACAGCTCTGCCAGCAGCAGTAGCAACTGTGAGTGCCTCACGCATCTAGCAGAGATGACGCCCCCCGCGAGCTAACGGCATCTGCCAACTGCAGCTTCAACGTCGACCGTAAAGCCCGAGCCGTCGCCACCCGCCGCTGTCCAGTCGTTTCCCCCACCCAAGAACGACAAGCCTCGGCCGCACATCTGCACAACGTGCACGCGTTCCTTTGCACGGTTAGAGCACCTGAAGCGACACGAGCGATCCCACACAAAAGAGAAGCCCTTCGAGTGCCCCCAATGCACAAGATGCTTCGCGCGCCGCGACCTGCTCCTGCGCCACCAGCAGAAGCTGCATCAGCAGGGCGCGACTTCCGCCCGTCCCCGCACTGGACGCAGGGAAAGCACCACCGGCCTTCCCTCCAACGCCTCTGCCCGCGTGCGCAAGAACTCGATATCCAGCCATGCCGGCCCCGGCGCCAAGGGCAACACCATGCGCCCGCGTGCAAATACCATCAGCCACATTGATCCCAATTCGTTTAGCAGCTTCCTTGCATCCGCGATACCAGGCGCCAGAGGGGGCCACTCTGGCCATACCCAACATGCGAGCCTTTCGGGCATCAGCCAGTTTGATTACCGGGGCATGTCGACGGCCATGGGCAACCACGGACAGCCTCAGGCGCTACCAAGACTGGACACCCACCTTCCATTTAGCATGGGCGGCGGCGGTCTTCGTACAGCGCCAATACAGGGCATGGTTGGGCCCGACGACCGCGAACTCGAGAAATTCTTTGGATCATCAGCCGCGTCTACCATCAACCCGAACCAGCTGCATCACTTCAATGCAAGCGTCGGAATTCCACAGTCGCCCTTCAAGCGCTTCGCGAATCCCTTTGCCGGCAACAACCCAATCGAGGAAGATGACTTCAGCTGGAGCATGGGCATGGACAATTCCTTGGTATTTTCGGGTGCAAACGAGTCGGCCCTAGACGGCTCATCACCGTCAGCCATAAGTACGGCGAGTCAGGGCGCCTTCCATGACATGATGCTAGACGGCTCAAGCCAGCCAAACTCGGCTGCCATGTGGCACAATCCACTTGTGACGCACGCAGGCATCAACCCGACAACCTTCTCCCTCGACTCCATGGCCCCGATGTTCCCTGAGCTCACGATGAACACCAGCACTTCTCAGGAACTTGGCGATCAGGGCGTGCAGAATGATTTCTACACGTCGACGCCGCCTCCTTTAGCGGCCATGAGCCCTTCAGCGGGGATACCCGGTATGCCGAACCAGTATTTTCAGACGCCCATGACATTCGCTTCTGATGCTCACAGCATATCCTCTTCCTCTGTCAACGGCAGCGTCAGACACAGTTCTGTTTCCTCCTTTTCAACTGAAACAATCACAGAGTCTACGAGGCAAGCTTTGATGCACAACCTGAGCCAGGCCTTGGGGTACGGCCAAATACCCCAACGGAGGTTCTCGCAGCCAGCCATTAGTTCCCCTCTGTCCTCGAGCGGGGCCTCCAAACACTCAAACCTGACCGGCTTATTACCCAGCACCATGGACATTCAGCGATACGTAAACGCCTACATTCAGTACTTTCATCCCCACATGCCTTTTCTACACATTCCAACACTATCTTTCGATACCCCAGCATACACATACCAGCTCCGCACGGCGGGCAATTTCAACCAAGATACCATGGTCGGTGGAGGCGGCTGCCTGATTCTTGCAATGGCCGCCATTGGCGCTCTCTATGAATTTGAACAAAACACTGCAAAAGACCTGTTTGAAGCCGCAAAGAAGCTGATTCTCTTCTATCTTGACGAACGCCGCAAAGCCGGTCTTTCCGCAGTCAACGGGCCCAGTGCCGCAAACGACAACATCAACAAACCGCCCCTGTGGCTGGTCCAGGCCATGCTGCTCAATCTCATCTTTGGCCTCAACTGCGGCGATCGGCAGGCTGCAGAGGTGGCAAGCACGCATTGCGCGGCCCTTGTGAGTCTAGCCAAGGCTGCTGGTTTGGACAAGCCTACACCTCCAGAGCAGACTTCGACTTCGCCAAGCAATACCAACGGCGATGTCAACATGTCCGACGATGCAAGTTCGCAGACCGAGCAACAAAAGGACAGTGTAGATGAGCATACCCAGTGGATACAATGGAAGAAGGTTGAAGAGCGCAAGAGAACTTACTTTGCCATCTTCTCCATGTCCAGCCTGCTTGTTTCGGCGTATGCACACTCACCCCGCATTTTGAATTCTGAGATTCATCTAGATCTGCCTTGCCAAGAGGATCTCTGGTCTGTCGATAATCCTCAAGCATGGGTAGCAATGGGAGGGCCCATGCTGGCGCAAACTCGAGGCTTGTCCTTCATCACCGCCATGACATACCTCCTTGAAGCTAGCACACGGCAATCCACGTCCAGAATGCGAAACACATACCCACAGGGATTTTCAGGAGGTCAATCGATGAACGGCACCTCTGAAAGCGATATTCGACCAAGCACTTTCGGCTGCTATGTCTTGATCAACGCAATGCATGTCTATATTTGGGAAACCAGGAACAGGCACAACGGACGCTTGTGGAAAGTCCACGAGACTGAAGCGATGCATGCGCAAGTCGAGCCTGCGCTTAAAGCTTGGCAGGTTGCTTGGAGAGCCAATCCGAATCACAGCCTCGAGCGACCGAATCCTTTTGGGCCCTTGGCCGCTGACTGCATACCGCTACTAGACCTCGCCTATGTGAGGCTTTTTGTGAATCTTGGTCGAGCCAAGGAGCTTCTGTGGCAGCGTGACTATGACGGCATGGCGAATGAACTAGCAAGAGGTCTGGACGTGGTAGGCCAAATGGACGATACACCTGAGCGCTCCTCCCCTATGGATCTTAGCCACTCGTCTTCGCCAGGCCAGACGGGATCCAATGACCACATCAGTCCTGGACGCGCCAGCAACGGCCTTCCCAACAGTCCTTCATCCAAACGCGAAAGGCATCTTCGCAAAGCTGCCTTTTATGCTGCAGACTCGATTGCCATGTCAGATAAGCTAGGCTTGTCGTATGGCGACTTCTCTGCCAGGGATTTGCCCAACTCGTCGGCATTGTGCACATTTGATTGCGCCCAGGTCCTTGCTGAATGGGTTGCAACTCTCCAAGATCGTGTTGGGCGCTACCTTGGTGTCTTGGGCAGAGACGAGGTCAATTTCTCAGAGGTACCAGCAATCTTGTTGCTTGAAGAGGAGGATGTGAAGCTTTTGCAAAAAATCGCCGACATTCTTCACAACGCCGACATGAAGTTGGCCTACGATATCTCTACGAACAACATGCCCATGCTGGGTAGCCTTTCGAACCTGGCGCATTGCGGATATGGCACAAAGCTATTAATGGTGACGGCTTACATGCTTTCCAAGTCCGTTGTCTGGCCCGGTAAGTTTACATTGGAGCGTGATACAAATGTGGGGTACTAACACTTGTGTGTAGTCATCCATATCCAAGCTCGTGCACTCGAAGCACACGCCCAGTACATTAGCCAACGCGCAGAAAACTCTACCATTCAGTAAATGTCCCTTCTTACTCGACCTGTACACCACCAAAACACATGACGTATTTCTTCGGCGGCTCTTCTTCGTTGGCCGTCCCTGTGCCTTTGCCAGAGTACGTATATCGGTTGTAATCTGACCGTTTCGCGACGACGGCATTCTTCTGTCATGTCTTCCTTTACAGTTTGCTTCATTTCTGGGCTCCGAAGCGGCGGTTCTGACACTTTGTTGGTATGGCCAGCGCCAGACTTAAGGGTGAATCATCTTGACGTGGATATTTTTAAACGTACAGCGGGTTAATAGCGGCGCCTACCTATTTTTTTCTGACGGCACGTTTGACGATGACGAGTGTTTGATCTTTTGGTGTCTGCAGGCGCTTGGGGGAACGCTGGGCGTTCCATTGTTATGTTTCGGCGAGTTCTGCACTGGAGTTTTATGTAAAGGGTTCCACGTATGAGACATCTTCTGCTGGCGGTGCAGACCTATCTCTTTTGAGATTGCCAACTGCTAGGATGATTGATAGGGACGATGCTACGATACATTGCCCGCGATCACGACAATTATCTTTGGAACTGGGTTATTGGCAGCGGCGGGCGCACATGGGACCAATGTCCAAAAAGTGTTATTGATGCACGCAGTCAAGCAACTTGGTATACGAAATGAATGAAATGCCCTTTGCATTGCAGTGTTGTCTTGCATGGTATTGCACTAGGCGATTGTCCAGCCGTCACAGTTGACTATACGGTTATTTAGAAGCGCTTACAGATGCGTTTTCGTAGGGTCAACTATAAAATGACCTCAGAGTGTAATGCAATCATATGTTCTAGACCATGCTTTCCCCTTGTTTTCCACGGTAGCAAGGAGAAGGGTAGCAGTAATACACGGCGGAACAAGGACAGAAGACGAAGCGATGCAATTCACAGCGACATAAATATGTATGCAGTCTATGCCCAGAAAAGCCCCAACGTCATTTCATTTCGCCCTTGTATTGTGAGCTCCAACAAGATGACCTCATCTGCGCTTGTCCAACCCACTTGGCCCCAGTTGCTGAGTGAATAAAAAAGAAATTAGGAGAGAGAAAAAGGGGGAGGGGGCAGGGAGAACGGGGAGAACGGGGAGAACAGGGAGAATAAAGGACATTAAGTCCTCAAAAGAACCACCGCTGTTGAATGTGCTTACAGTGAGATCTAGCCTCTCTCTCTCTCTCTCATACACACACACACACATACAGTGGCTTTCCCCTTCTTAGACCAAACACACGACAGAGGGGGGTGGGGAAGCAAAGAACGAAACCCACCCCCCCCCCCCAAAAAAAGGCCGATAGGAAGATTAAGGTTAGGTAGGTAGGTAGGTACTTAGGTAGGCAGGTACGTAGGGGGGGGGGGAGCAGCGGGGCTAACTTGCGTACGTAAAGCCGTATTTTCTGTACAGCGAAGTGGGAGGGGCTTACCTAGATTAGGTATTTACCCCATAGGAGATTTTCTTTGTACCCACCTTTTGCTACGTACGTAGGTATATGTATCTATGTGTGTATGTGTGTATGTGTGTATATGTGTATGTGTGTATGTGTGTATATGTGTATGTGTGTATGTGTGTATATGTGTATATGTATATATATGTATGTGTGTATGTGTGTATATGTGTATATATATATATGTGTGTATATGTGTATGTGTATATATATATATATATGTGTATATGTGTATGTGTGTATATATATATATATGTATATGTGTATGTGTGTATATGTGTATATGTATATGTGTGTATATGTGTATGTGTGTATGTATGTATGTGTGTATATGTGTATGTGTGTATATGTGTATATGTATATGTGTGTATATGTGTATATGTATATGTGTGTATATGTGTATGTGTGTATGTATGTATGTGTGTATATGTGTATGTGTGTATATGTGTATGTGTGTATGTTATGTGCCCCCCACCCCCTTCCCCACACTCGGGCCAGATATCAATTTTAGATTTAGTATGATATGTACATGTACATGTGTCTTGCTATTCTTGTACATACATACATACATACATACATACATACATACATACATACATACATACATACATACATACATACATACATACATACATACATACATACATACATACATACATACATACATACATACATACATACATATCTGGGCGCGAGAGAGAGAGAGAAAGAAAGAAGGAGAGATCGAGACCTGAACCCCCCCTCCCCCTCCCATCAGCCAGCATACCTAACTTAACCTAACCTAACCTAACCTACCTTTACCTTTACCTACCGTACGTAGTTAGGCGGGTAGCACCTGATTAGTTAGGTAGGTAGATAGCTAGCTGCCGCGCGGAAGCAGCGGTAATGCGGCCAACGTATCGGGGGCTACTCCGGGCTTTTGCTCGCTGCTGCTGTGACCAAATGCACGTCGTGTGGGGACGCACTGGGGCCTTAACTTGGCTGGCTGGGTCAGCGGATCAAAGGGGGGGAGGCGCCGACGTAATGTACGTCTATGTACGGAGGTGGCTTTTAAAAGTTCTTGCTAACAAGAGTGATAGATTACTACTAAAAATATAGCTAAAGCTATATAGATTAGTCTTACCACCTCTTTTTATACTTACTACTGTTTTTAAGCTTAATAATTCTTCAAATATAAAATAGAATACGCTTTATTTAAGCTTAAATTTAGTATTAAAGTAGCTTATTTTAGTACTACTTTTATACTTTTATTTTTTTACTTAGTTTTTTAGTATGCTTTTATATATCATTTTTTTAAGCTATAGCTAAGCTACTTTAATAGTATTAAAATTAAGTAAATTACTTAGCTATGAAGTTACTTTACTATAGTATTTTAGTATATAGTTTTTTAAGTATAGTAAGTCTAAAAAAAAGCTTTCTTTTCTTAATAAAAATATATAGTCTCTTTTTTTAGTACTTTTTTATAAAAAGAATTAGGTTTAAAAGAAAAACTTAAGTTTAATAGTACCACTAATTAATATTGCTCAAACTACTTTCTTAATTAAGCTTACTTATTTTTTTTATTTATTTCTATTATAAAACTTTATTAAGCTTATAATATAATTTTTGTTTTTTTATACTTATTATAAGCTTTTATACTTTTTTCATAAAAAGCTTTAAAGCTTTATTTAACATTTCAATTTAAAAAGCTACTTTTTTTTTAATATAGATTTAAGCTTTTAAATATAATAAAGACTTTTATAATTATATATAAAGTAGCTTTAAAATATAGTTCTGAAGTAGCATTCTTATTACTTTTTAATAATACTTTTAGTTAACACTTTTTTTAAGTATTACTCAATATAATCGCTACTATAATAGTAGTGAAGTATAATGAAAGTCTTATTTAACTGAATAATATCTTTTTAGTCTTTAAGTATTTAATTTTTATAAGTAAAATACTACTTAAGTTTTTTCTACTTTATTTCTTTCATTAACTTTAGCTTTTTATTAGCTTTATTTTATTATTACTAGCTACTTAAAAGACTTTTTATATTATAAAGACTAATATATCATAGCTATAAGTACTAAAGTTACTAATAATATTAGTATAGCTTTTCTTTTATACTTATTATAGTCTACTTTTGAAAAAGTAGTATTATATTTTTTTTAATTATAAAAGTAGCTTATATATAAAGTATTTTTAAAGTACTATGAAAGAATTTTAATTAAGCATATATTAAGCTCAAAGCTTTACTAGTAAGCTTTACTATAAATTAAGTTAATTAACGTGGTTCATAAGCGAGCGGACACCCCAAGTGAGCGGACACCTCCCCACTAGCGCGTCGACGTTCATACTACAACGCATTATGTCTTAACTACATTAGATTTAATAAACTTTTTCTAAAGCTAATATCTAACTAACTATTTCTAATATTAATTTCTAACGTGTAAAGAGTGTTAAACGTGCTACTAAGATCTATAGCGTCTCTTAAATAACTTTATTTTACGAACGCGCTAGAAGACACTTATAACACAACTATAAACTAAATTTAAAGCGCTTGAATAAGCTAGAAGGGGAGGCTATTATTAGGCGTATTCTTAAAAAGTCTACGCAAGGATTTGCGCCTACAAAGGCTAAGGTTTAAGCAATAGCTAATAAACTATTAGAGAAGCGTGGTGGCAACCGTATTAGTAAGAACTAGGTTAATAACTTTATTAGGCAGACTGCTAAGCTTTGTACGCGCTAGAGCTATTCTTATAATTACTAGCAAGCCGCCTACAAAAACTTAGTAGCTATCTAGCGCTAGTTTAACTTAGTCTAGGCGATAAAGTAGAAGTAGGGTATTATAGACAATAATATTCATAACTCTAATATAACTAGCTTTATAATAAGTAAGATTTTATTATAGTTAGTTATTATAGCATTAGAAAAATATAGGAAAAAGAAGTAGATATAGCTAGGCAACTATAAGTAGGTTACTATAATCTAAGGCGTAGGCGCGTTAAGTTACTAAATACTACCCTTTATTATCTTTGTAAGCAAGGTGCTTATTAACATTTAGTTTAAGAATTTGCCCACTAACTAAGTTCTTAAAGTTGGTCCTAATAGCTAAATAAATAATTAGCTTAGTCTTGCCTAGTTAGAGCACTTTAATACCTATATAAAGAGCTCTACTATAAGTAAGTATTAACGACTTATTATTAATAGCTATAAAAGCTACTACTCTATTAATTTCTAAGATCTTTGTAAGGAGAAGAATATTATGCTTCTCTATATACCTGCGCACTCGTCTTACCTATTACAGCCCTTTAACATCGCCTACTTCTTGCTATTAAAGCGCAAGTATAGCGACGCTATTTTAGGCTTAGCACGCAACCGCACTTACTATATTAGTAAAGAGACCTTTCTACTAGCCTTTAAGACTACTTTTAAGTAGTCTATTATAAAGGAGAATGTCTAAGCTAGCTTTAAAGGCGCTAGTCTAGTCCTACACAACCTATAGGCTGTGCTATCTAAGCTTAATATAGTAGTGCAGACACCTATATAATTACTACAATAGGTAGCTGCCTAGTAGGCGCAGACACTACGCAACGCGCGCGAAGTTAAGTCTTAAATTAGTTTTATTTAAGAGAGCGTAAGAAAACGCTGTAGGTCTTCTACTAATTTACTTACTAAGTAGATCGCGTAGTTAAGTAAGAGGGCCTAGCAAATAGCATATAAAATAACGCTTATAATAGAGGAAATAGGTACTCTTTAAGTAGCTTTTAATAAGTTAAATAAGCGTAAAAGCTATAAGCGGCTATATATATAGATAGAAGAAACTCTTACTATAGGCAAAGTACAAGAAGTATTAGCTAAATAGGCAAGTAGTAGTTATAGTAATAATAAGAGTGCGTTAAAGAGGGTGCGAGGAGAGCGGCGGTGCAGGCGTTGCAAGCAGACTAGACACAACGCTTATACCTACGTAGTTAAGATAGATAGTATAAGTAATAATAGCAATTCTAATCATTAATTTAGTATATTATGATAGTTTATTAACTGTAATAAAAGGCTATAATAACGTGTTAAAGTTAACGCGCTAGTGGGGAGGTGTCCGCTCGCTTGGGGTGTCCGCTCGCTTATGAACCACGTTATATATAATAATAAACTTATTATTTTAATAATTTTATATATAAGTTTACTACTAAAAGGTAACTTTAATACAATAATAAAAGAGTAAGTTAATATGTTAGTATTTAAAGCTATAGTAGATTGAAAATACTAAAAAAAAATAAGTATAGTAGCTATAACAAGCTTTAAAAAATAAGTATAAGTGTTAGGAGTCTATAGGTTAATAAATTAGCAGTCTAGCGTGACGCTAGCAAGAACTTTTAAAAGCCACCTCCATAATGTACACTATGTACGTATGTCGGCTCTTTGGTTGGATTGGGCTGGGCCGCGCACAAATCGCGGTGCGTGTGGGTGCTTTGCACGTGGGCTAATACTACCATGGGGCCGGATGGGGCCGGGGTGGGACCGAAGGGGGCGTGGGTGCTGGATCGGTGGGTGAGGGCTTATTTTGTGAGGCTTTTCTTTGTCAAGGGGGGAGGGGGGGGTGGTGGTGGTAGATAGGTACTGGTTTCTTTTGTTGTGGGTGATGATGATGTTGGTGGCGATTGGAGGCATGGGGGTGGGAGAGATATAGAATACTCGAGATGCTTGATGCTAGGGGACATGTTTGAACAGTGGGAGGGTTTGTCTTTACCAGGAGTACTCAAAGATGGGTGACTAATACCAGAGCATGTGAAGCGTGTGAGGTGAACGGGTCGTGGTAATGGCATTATGCGATCCTCACGTAAACCAGCACGGTAACCCTGGCAGAGATCAGCGAGTTTAGGGTGTGCGCGCGCCCAGCACCGGGATCTGCATCTTGCTGTATGTTATTCTTCCTGTGCTTATTACTGCACACTCGCGGAAATCATGGCCGACGATCAATAGAAGCACGATTGATTATCTGCTCACACCGTGAGACCGTTCAAGCAGAAAGGCGACTCTTTCGGTCGGTTTAATACTTACCAGCCAAACACGTGAACGCTAGGGATTTAATGCACACCGAGCTTTTTCTACGTGCGTGCACGTGTTGCTGTTGCTTGCCGGGGCCAGGGTTTCCTTGCTGCATGTACACGAGGAGGATCGGTAGTCGAGTCGAGAGAGGTAGCATGAACCGGTCGTGATAAGTTGAACTGCCTCAGCCAGATAACACACGTGCGCGCGCCCCGCTGATTGGCTGCGTGCGGAGCTTGGATCGCGTGCACCTGCCGCCTGTAACTCGGCTGCCGATTTGACCCAGGACAACGTCGACGACAACATCGAGCCGCGACACTACCAAACGCCACGCCAAGTTGGGCGACGCCCATCAAGAGATAGTCTAGCAGGACTGGGACTCAACAGCAAGACAATATGTCGAGGCCGGCAGCGCGCAAAGCCGCGCCCAAGGGGGAGTACATTGAGACGGTGCGTCCACCTCGCAAACAGCACAAGACCAACAAGCACGCATATATTCGGAAAGACGACTTTTCCTAAAAAAAAACACCAACACTATTGTAATCTGTTTAAAATACCACATCTAAAAATAACCATCATTCCAAATCGCCGACGCATCAAAACAAGAACCATGTACCCAACCCACTGATCCACCCCCCTCTTCAAACAGGACTCGGGCAACAAAGTCTCGCGGCGCAGCGCCATCACGGGAACCGCAAACATCACGCTAGGCGGACGCACCGTCATCATGGCCGACGTGCAGCTGCGTGGCGATCTGCATCCTACGCGCAGTGCGCCCTCGCAGTCGGGCAAGGACGTGACGCCCACGAGCATCAGCATCGGCCGCTGCACCGTCATCAGCCAGGGCAGCGTGATTAAGCCGCCCAGCAGAATTAGTAGGGGGCAGGTGCATTATTACCCCATGAAGATTGGCGACAATGTGTTTGTTGGTATGTATTCTTTTTTTTCTAATAATGTTCTGTTTTATGATACGCTGCTATATTGGAACATTTCTCCATCTACACTACGACGATGAGGACGTCTTGGTATAGTTGCATAGCTATATACACGCAATCTAACGAGGTTGGACAGGCCAAAACTCAACTATCCAGGCCATCTCCATCTCCTCGCATGTTCACATTGGCCAGCACTGCACCATCGGGCCCTTTGCTATTATCAAGGAAAACGTCAAGATCCTGCCGCACACCGTCGTCCCAGCCAACATGGTCATTGCCTCTGGATCTGTCATTGGCGGCCGCCCTGCCAGAGTCGTCGGCGATGTAGGCGAGGGATGGGGTGTTAGCGGCGGAGGAGGTGGTGGTCTTGGTGTGGGAGGCGGCGGCGAGGAGAAGTGGGTTGAGGGCGGCGATTTGAGGGAACTCGTTAGGAGTATACGGTAGCGTAGTAGTGCAGTACGAAAGCAATGGACGTTTGTGAGGTTGCAACAACGGAAGAGAAAGAAGTTGAAAGGGAAAAAATGTAGTGATTGGATTTGCTCTATTAGCGTCAAGTGAATGTGTGTAGTCTAATCTCATATGCTATAAATGAGTGAGTGAGTGTGTGTGTTACTTTGCTGTGTGAGCGAAAATAAGATAAAAGGCTTTTTGTCGTGGCTCCTGGGAGCGTCCTGTCTTCTCCTAGTCCATGTGACTAGGACGGAGGGATTGTGGTGATTATATCCTGGGTTTCGTGTACCCGTTTCGTGGATGGCAATGGTGAGCTGTCTCTTCAGCAACCGGCGAGTTGCTTTCTCTCTGTTTCTTTCTCTCTTTCTTTCTTCGTCCTGCTCTTTCTCTTCCCCTGTCTGCCTCTCACTCCCACTCAATCCCTTTCTTTCTCTTTCTCTTTCTCTCTCCGCCTGTCCGTCCATCCATCTTCCTACCCCAATATCCCCCTTTTTTCTGCCCAAGTCCCTCGCTCCGCATTGCAAACTGTGTCCCTCCTTCCCGCTCAGACACTCTCGAGACCTCATCACCTACACCACTCTTTTTTCCCAGAAAGAAGAACTCTGTTACTTTGCAAAGGCACGAAACCCAGTTCGCTGCGAAGCTTTTTATTCTTAAAAAAAACAATGCCAACTCTAGAAAGAAAAACCAAATATTACCGCCTAAGTTACCCAATTGCCAAGACTTGAAGTAAGTCTCAAACTATGTGATTGTCGCCCCTCTGTGCTTTGACTTCCATGCTAGTCATTTCGAATTCCCTCTTGGTGTAGATGCCTTGGCTATCCCATGAGTCGGGCATCAGTGGCTCGCTCTTGGTTTCGTTGAGGGTCGTGCGCGCGTCCGAGTAGACGTGTGCTTTGTGCGATGATCTGCTGCCAACCGTGGGACCGGGCCCGAATCCGAATCCGAAAGTCGAGGGTCCTCTGTGCGTGTTGTTAGCAAACGGCTGGGTTGTGATTTTGGGTCGGACAAGACGGAAGAAACAAGACAAAGATGTTGGTCATCTCATCTTGCTATCCCCTTTTTTTCACGTACTTGCTGCGCGCGGTCAACTCATCAGCTGATGAAGCCAGCTTTTTTGATGTGAGTGAGGTTTTGATGTCGCGGAGAAGAGGACGCATGACGGGAATGCACTGGACAATGATGGTGCCGACGATTTCCGATGAGTACCAGATGTTGGAGTGAGCGTTGCGCCAAAAGTACCATTCGTCTTTTATGTTGCCCTCGTCCTTCCAGCTGGTGCGGATGGCTGAGATGACTGCAACAATCATACCCTGGGCATAGTTAGTGACTTGTGCGATACGAGGTTGAACCGGGGTTGAAGAGGCACTCGTATCGTACCAGGCTCATAGCAACGCAGAGACCGATTTTCTCGATCCTGCGCATGTCTAGATTCCACGTGATGACCCATGGGAAGACTGCGAGGACAAAGTCCATGATGATGTTGTAGACATTGCCGCCCTCCTTGAAGTCGTCGCGGAACTTGGGATGGAGGCAGATATCGAGGCGGTACCAGACGTCGTAGGAGCTCTTGCCGCAGACTTTTGCCCACTGCAGGACAACTTTTGCAATCATGTAGGCATTCATGGACCCAATACAGAACCAGAGGATCCATTGGCCCCAGTTCTTGGTCAGCTTCAGCAACGTGACTGCGAAGGCTGTCTTGGTAAGGGATTGGTTGACGAGAGTGCCGCAGGAAGTAACGTTGATGAGAATGTGCATGCGGTCGTCCCATGTGTTGGTAACATAGCCGGTAGCATATTCAAGGGTTATTAGGGAGTTGTTCACGGCGAGTATCACCTGCGACACAGTCAACACGGAACCGTCACTTTGCATGACCATACGGACGAATCGGTACTCACCCATGCGACAAGCAGAATGTGATCGTCCCACCACAAGCCATGTCGGCGGGTTACTTTGACCCATACTCTAAGAGCAAGAAAGGCGGTTGCACCAGCAAAGAGAATCCAGAGTCCAAGGTTGAGTTCAACAGTTGGATCCACATAGCCATGCACCTCGCCGTCGTGCTTTCTACGGGAGATCATCTTGGCAAAGCCGTCGGGACGGGAGGCGACATGTAAGCGGAAGAAGGCGAATCGAAGGGAAAGAGCGTGACCAGGTAAGTATAAAGGAAGGTTTGAATGAGTGAACAAGCTGACGGGCGAGCGAAGGCCCCGGACGCTGGGTATGGAACAAGGGTGGGCAAGATAGCGACGACGACTGCAGAAAGGAACGACACACGTTTGGTGCAATCAGAAACGGGCCGGGCTCGACATCACTCACGCTGTCCCCCCTCGCCGTGCTGCATATGTACGAGGACCCATGTCTTTCTAGTGGCTTTGCAGGTTTCAGATCGCATGGCTCACCATCACATTGGGGATTCCAGACCCGAGAAATATAAAATGAGGTCCCAGCCCACAAGACGACTGGTGGAACCACCAATCCAGTCGCGTGCTAGTCGCCGCCGCCGTTGCCCATAAGTAGCCCGGTTTCCGTTAGATCGTGGGGAAGGCCCTGGGCTGTTTGCAAGAATACGGCCCTGGGTCGTGTTTGGGTAGCTCGTCCAGCATCGTGGACTGACGCGGAAGGCCCACTGTCAAGTCGAACCGAGTGAAGAGACGGGCAGATCCATACTGCATCTGTTTAAGCGGTGGATTTACTCGGGAATCGCCCGCCGCAACACGGCGTGCGACACCAGCGACGGATGTCAATTGAGATGCTGTCCGGTTTCAGCGCGCTAGATGCTGCCCTGGCGGGCTTCCGAAAAGGTCCATATTGCCCAGCGGCCCAGAAGGCCATGCAGGGCGCGTTGTTTTGCGTTTATACTGGCGGAGAATTGTCGTTCAGCGGAATCCCTGTTGGAGCGGCTCAGTGCGACATGGGGGGGGCCATCGAAATTTGATTAATGCCTGCTCTTTTTCATCAGCACGCGGCCGTGCCAAGCGACCGCGAAAGGGGATGCCCAAGGAGAAACCCACAGTTATGCCACCCCGTTATAGGCCAGCATGTCCGGCTGTTGTTGGCTGTTCCGACGGTCACGGCGACGCTGTTGACAAGCAGCGAACTCTTCGCACGGCGGAGGCGTACTGCCACGAGGCGACGCGCTAGGCCCGAAGCAGCAAGGCATATCCGATGAAACGCCCTGGCACGTCATCAGCCTGCACACGCCATGCACTGCTCTGCTGCCCGGAAACGAAACACTCAACCACTGCCGACTCCCTCCTACGCTCCACGGCCTCTGCGTGCGCCTCGCCGTCCCATCTGGGCAATGCGTGCGAGCCCGATGTGCTCGTAGAGACGCATTCCAGCATGCACGCCACCGCCGCTGATCGTGATGCGTGAGCATCGCTACACCTTCCACGCAAGACGCGCATCTCACTTGCCTCCCAACAGCTTCACGTCTTTGCGCCCTCCATCCCTACTGCGCATTCCCTCATGCTCGACAGTATAGTACACACCACTCCTCTCCCCTTTGCGGCTCCTGGTGCCGCGACGACTTGTGTGCATTCCTCCCCGGCTCTTGGGCCCGCGGTGGGCCCTTTTCGGGGATTGCGTCTCAGAAAGAACAAACACCAAGCAGCTCAGCCGCACTACGCCGTCTCGTGCCGGTCCTCAAGCTTCAGCTAATCCGAGTCAGACGGGGAGCGGGCAGAATGTATGCCAAACCTTAGTTTGGGTTAAGCATGACGGCTGCTAACTGAGCTTGTGGCTGAAGGACGAGCAATACGGCAACACCCGTCGTCGTGCGACGCAACAGACCAATGACTCTGCAACACTAAAGTCCCGTTTCAGACATGTCACGCGTCTTTGCAGCTAGCACATAGTAGATCCAGGTACGCGCGAGGCTTGTCCCTTCCGCTGCGCCCTGGACGAGCCACTTCGTCAAGCCTTCCTGTCCTCCGTGCTCGCATGATCGCGGGTCCTGCTTGTCGCGACATCTTGGCCGTGCCAAATACACTTTTTTAACCATCTTGGTATTGCCTCTAACGTCACAAGGGTCCAGCATGGGATGCTTCCACAAACAACGGACCGATGAATACACAGCGACTTTCGGCTGTTGAGGAAGCCGTGGATTGGACGGCCTGATACGAATCTTGGGGTAATGGGCACCGAGCACATGCTAAAAGACCAAAAGCGGCTATACTGCTACCAATCGGGTTCGATACTTCCGGCTGATAGTCTGCTCAATAGTAGGCTGGTCTCTACGGAGGTGACTGTCAAAAGTTCTTGCTGACAGGGGTGCATTAATTACCGCCGAAAATAGGGCCAAAGCTATATAGATTAGTCCCGCCGCCCCTCTTTATACTTATTACTACCTTTAAGTTTAATAATTTCTTAAATATAAAATAAAATACGCTTTATTTAAGCTTAAATTTAGTATTAAGGTAGCTTATCTTAGTACTATTACTATATTTTTATTTCTTTTACTTAACTTTTTAGTATGCCTTTTTATATTATTTTTCTTTTAAGCTATAGCTAAGCTACTTTAATAGCATTAAGATTAGGTAAATTACTTAGCTATAAGAGCTACTTTACTTTAGCGTTTTAGTATGTAGTTATTTAAGTGTAGTTGTAACGATGTTACAACTTCGCCAAGTATTGAGCCAATCCCAGAGCCGGATCGGAGGAAGTACCTGCCGCCCTTCATCAGCCATTCGCCCGAGGTCGGATCCGAATTCGGACCCGACTAGGATAGGTATATATTGAGACACTCCCTGTAGCTAGCTCTGTAGACTTTTGATATCCTTTCGTACAAGGCCTATAGGTGGCTTGTTGAATCTAG